CGTCCGAAGGAAGTCCGACCGCAAGCCAAGATTGCTTTTGTATTTTCGACGTTTACGTACCTCGCGTATGCGAATGAACATATGTATGACGAGACCAAGTCAACACATATCTCATTCCCCGAAGGTGTCCAGCTCGTAGCGTCTGACAATTATTACAAGATGGTGCGACGCCATGATCTTGGTCTGGCTATCTACCATCTTCACAGCGATGGCTCAGGCGTGGTGTACAGTACCACTAAACGACCGATTCTGAATGTGCGGCCGGATTATATCCACTGGGGCTTTCAGCGACCGCGAGAGTTCTCAGCGGATCTGTTGATGGTTGGATTTCTTGAGAAACATTTCGGTGACAGTTACGACATTCTCACAGACCACGACCTTCATCTCCGCGGTCGTGCTGCATTGTCTCAATACGATGTCGTCATTTCTGGCTCGCATCCTGAATATCCTTCTGCAGAGTCTCTTGATGCTTACGAGGGACATGCCAAGAATGGAGGATCACTCATTTATGCCGGTGGCAACGGATTCTATGTAAGTAACCAATCATACAACTGTTACAAAGCTGACGTTCTTTTAGTGGAAATCAGTTACGGACCCCAAGCGACCTCATCGAATGGAAGTCCGACGCGCTGATGTCGGTGCCCGAACCCATGAGAACCCCCCAGGCGAGCGCCATCATGCACTAAATGGCCAACTCGGTGGTCTCTGGCGCTCAATCGGTCGCCCGCCCAACGAGCTCTGGGGCATCGGCAGCTGTGCTTCGGGTAAAGGACCCGGTCGACCATTCGTTCCAACCGACGAAGCCCTCAACAACCCTTCACTGGAGTGGCTCTGGAAAGGTCTTAACGAAGAGTCCCGAAAGCTCCTTGGAACAAAGGGCCTTGCTGGGGGCGCAAGTGGCGATGAGCTCGATCGTCTTGATGTCGCGATTGGGAGCCCGGCTAATGCCATTTTACTTGCTCGAAGTGAGCGACATGATGACCATTTCATGCTGTTCAATGAGGAGCTCATCTTTCCCATGATCGGGACCCTTGGCTCTACGTCGCCTCTTGTGAGGAGCGACATGGTATACTACGAGACGAATGGAGGTGGTTCCGTTTTCAGTATTGGTAGTATTAACTGGAATAACTCTCTGGCTTGGGATGGGTATCAGAACGATGTTGCGCATGTGACTGAGAATGTCATCCGAGAGTTCCTCTCCCGTGGGAAGAAGAATGCATCAGCGTGAGAAAAATGAAGTGAAACCGGAAGGTCAAAAGCAAGAATAGATTTGTTTACTTCAAGCTCAAATACATATATCTATACAAACTCCTAAATCTATCCATCTATCTAACACAATTTTCGTATTTACCTTTCCACCACTCAAAGGCTTTCCCTCCTTAGTTCATCTCACTCAACCCCGCTGTCACTATGGATAACAGCCTTCTCTGCATCTTTCCCACTCGCCATCTCCTCGGAGTAAGACTCATCCTTCTTCTCGCGGCTGACATACCCAGGCGGTGTCCACTTCGCACTCTCCCGTGCCTTGAGGTCAGGCAGACAGTACATCATATCGATATGCTCGAGACTAAGAGTCTTTGACTCGTATAGGAAGAAGTATACGATGACGGTGCCAATCAGATTCATCCCGGCAAACACGTAGCCAAAAGCGTAAGAGATACCGGCGTCAGCGAAAGGAGTCAGAAAGCCGATGAGGACTGATGCATGTCAGCACTAGCACCCTTGATTTGTGATACGGCACTTACAATTTGCAAGCCAGTTGCTTGCCGTAGCCAAAGAAGCCTGTTTGGCACGAGTGCGCAAAGGAAATACTTCCCCAACAACGACCCAGCCGAGTGGTCCCCAGCTGACAGCGAAGGAGGCGATGAACATGCAAGCAGAAACAATCATGACGATACCACTGGTGCTGCTGTCCTCAGGATCTATAGCAGTTCCGACGGACGCAAAGATCAGAAGCCAAGCAGTCTGCCACAAGCCTCCGATGATGAGGGGCCAGCGACGACCGAACCTTTCTGCGGAGTAGATGCCGAAGAAGGTCATTCCGACGTTGATGGCGCCGAGGATTAGTTGGACGAGGATAGGGTCGTCAATGCCGGCAGACTCAAAGATGGTGGCTCCGTAGTACTGATCTCCCATTAGGTTTTGTCGCAGAATGGCAGTGGTTGACTTACGAAGAAGTAGTTGGCGCCGGTCCACTGCTGGAAGAACTGAACAGCCATTCCAAGGAGCGTTCGGTACAGCACCTTCGGTCCCTTATTGCGCACACCGAAACATTCCAACCAATTACCCTGCCCAACCTTTCGTTCCTCCTCAAGCAAAACTCTCATCTCCTGAATATTATCCTCGACAATTGGATTCTTCACATCACTCATCATCCCTCTCAATCTCGCCAACGACGCCCTCACACCATCCCAATCCTCCCTCATGGCAAGCCATCTCGGCGACTCAGGACAAGCCAAGACCCCAAGACCAAGAGGAATCGAGAAAGCCATCTCAATAGCTATAACTATTCTCCACGACGCATCACTATCTTCAATCTCACGCACGCCGTAGTTGACGATATTGGAGATGAGAATGCCGAAGCAGATCATAAGTTGATATGACGACACAACAGCGCCGCGGAGTTCTCGCGGTGCACACTCGCTCTGGAACATAGGGATGCCGATGGACAGGGCTCCGACACCGAGACCCGCGATGAGACGGCCTATCATCATGTGGACCCATGAGTACATGGCTGTAATCTGGATGACGTTGCCGAGGAGGAAGATGACGACGAAGATGGTGAGACTCCATCTTCTACCGTACCAATCTGCAGTGCTGGGTCGTTATGTTAATAGACAGACTGACAGTTACTTCAATCGAGATGGGAAACTTACTAGGATCCTGACAAGGCTCCAATGAGACATCCGATGCTCATGAGAGACACAAGGATACCTTGGATAGCGGGGACCCAGTATTTAGTGCCGTCATCGTCTGTTTGAGCGAAACGATCCACGTAGTCTCTGAATAGAAGCATAGCCGAGATTTGGCCTGTTTCACGTCAGACTCAGTCATTTCAAAGGTTTGAATATCGCTGACCAGTATCATAGCCAAACAGAAAGCCTCCAAGAGAGGTGATAAGAGCCAAGACCAGAGCCTCGGCTCCGCAGGCTGCCCCGTTGACAGTGAAAGATCTGGTTATGGGTCAGCTCTACTTTACTACCGCGAAGCTATAGGAGATGAGAAGCATACTTATTCCCAAACATATTTTCAATGTATTGTAACCCCCAAATGATTTGATCTGCTCTTCTCCTTCAACGCGGCCTCAATCATCTATTTATTGGCTCCATGTCCAATGGATCCTCCAAAAAGGAGTCCTGACTACAAGTCCCATGAGGGTTTCCGAAACCACGACAACGCGATACTCAAACCTTCCAATTCTGCGTAGCGGATCACCGTTATCCTATCGGGGAACAAGGCTAAATAGAACAACCTTCACCTTTTACCCGTCAAGGTGAGGCTCCCCGGATATAACCAAAGGGCCGAATCCAAGGGGTTTAGAGTACTGGGCCGAAGAGCGCCGGACCGGTGAGCATGGTTTATCCTGGCGGGTGATGTTTATTCTCCGTGGGATGTGTTTTTCTGTGGGGAAATCACGTCGTGGGGTCACCGCTGGACTTCCCCATGATAGGAGAAATGGGGTTGTGGGATGGAGAAAAGGTAGGGTGATTCAGAAAAGACCATGGTTTCTCGCTGCTGCCTGCACCGCTTGTTTGTTGTTACTCTACAAAACTTCCGCTGCGACATACAGAATATTTTTTGCAATCATCTGAGGCTCAGAATGGCACCTGAGTTGTACGAAATTTACAAATGAAAACGTCAGCACAGACGAAACCCGCGGCAGGGAGGCCGGTCTTGGCGTCCATCAGCTCGGGAATGAACAGGTATCAGCATCACCTGACTTCGGCAAAGATGCTGGAAGGCATGGGACTTGCGGAGATTTATTTAAGTATTATGCTTGAAGTTAAATGACTCAGTTAAATTGTCGCGTCACGTTTTTACAACGCAACGTTCCATTACCCATTGAGCAATCGCTGCGCTACACTCTTTCGGAAGATTTGGTTTGCGTGGCATGATGGTGCGAATAGCTGTCTCCAAACTGTTCCTCTGTACCACGGAGCAGTTTGTGTAATTGAGCATTGTCCAATTTTGAGATTGGCAATGAATAGTTTGCAATAAATGCCTCAATTAGTCTGAAAGCTTGGTGATCATGCAATGTCTCCGCTACATCCATAACCAACAAACGAGACACCGAGCATGCCCGTCTCAACTAAAGACTGTTAATAATGGTAGCATCAGCGATTTGGGACATGTACATAACTTGGACAGTTAGAAAAAAAGGATTCTAAGATCCCAAAGAGTAGCCAGCATAGTTTCACCATCGTCCTGCCTTTTGATGGCCCTATACAGAAGTAAATTGAGGAAATTGACATATTATCAAGCTCTAGGTTAGGCGAACTAGGCCCGACACGCAAGTCGCAGGTCTTGCGTTGATTGGATGGACGATACTCCACTTCAGCATCACTGACATCCACTTCAAATTTCGAACGGCTTTTTGGTTGGACAGACTATAAATAGAGTCAGCTCGGAGCTGAACGGCCCGGCCCCGATCCAGGAAATAACCAGAAATGGAAGCCAGGCAGCCAGGGCATGACCCAACAGCTCGGAAATAAACAACACGTAGAGCAGTGTCATTGAATCAACACCAGCCACCAAACCTTGATTATGTTTTCCTCTAGAAGTCCAAGGACAACATTTCGGATGTTGCTCGTCGTGGCACATGAACAAACTTGCAGTGCCTCGTTTGTTAAGCCTCACGTTTGCGAAAGCTTACTTCATGTGCGCCAGCTACGATGACAGCTCTAGGCATCCACGCCTCCATTCGAGTTGCCCATGAAACTTGATTCTCGCTCTCCAGCTTCTGGCGCAGTCTCAACTTTCCATCATCATCTCATTTCAAAATGTCAGAATATCGAGAAATCCCAAAATTCATCGTCGATCTATCCCTACCTCCCGAGACCCGCTACGATCATGTCGTTCCGCACTTCAAGACCGCTGTGGACTCGTGCGATTTACCCTCCCTGTTCTACGCCCTCCTCGATGAACCCGTTGGCAAATTTGCCGGAAAAATGATAGCTGCGATCTCGCCGCTGCTCATGCGACGCGTTCATTCAGATGAGGAAAATGCGGAATTGGTCGGTATCTCGAAAGCGATTGGCATTCCCATGCACATCCTCGTCGCCTTCAACGTTCTCTTGGACCTTTTGCTGGGATGCACGAGCGGCGGGGTCAGAACAATCAATCCAGATTCTGGTGGGAACGCGACGCGGATGCTTCATTTTCGGACTCTCGACTGGGCCATGCATCAGTTACGAAATATCATCGTCGAACTCGACTTTGTTCGTATGCCCGCAGGTCCGGTCATTGCCACAACGGTTGGGTATCTTGGGTACATTGGCGTTCTGACGGGAGTGCGAAAAGGCATGAGTTTGAGTTTAAACTTCAGACCGCACCACGCCAAAGAGACTCTTCGGCAACGACTGTCCTATAGATACAACCAGGCGATGGTGGTTCTTGGGCAGCGGCAGTCGATATCAAGCAGTCTGAGAGAAATTGTACTTGGTGACTCTACGATATCGGAGAAACAGTCTGATGAAACACACGAGACGGACGAAATCAGCCCCGATTTGCAGGACGAATATGTACAACAAGTCCTTACAAAACTCTCGACATCCAGTCCAACCGCCGCATATCTCATCCTCTGCCAACCAGACCGCGTCTTCATCATCGAGAAAGACAACCACAGCGCATCAATCCGCGAATCCGACACGTTCCTTGCTGCCTATAACCACGACGCCAAAGACGAAGACAACCCCGCGCATCTCCAACAAGCTGCGGAGGAGCTTGAAGAAGGCAAAGATCCAACGGGCATGGCAGACTTGGTGGCGTTTTCACTTGAGAGAAAGCAGGACTTGGATGAGTTATGGAGGAAATGTGTTCGGGCTTGTAGAAGAAGGTACAAGCTGCGGAATGACGTTGTGACGAAGGAGGATGTGGTCAAGTTTTTGCAGAATGATATGATTAGGAATGGGGAGACGCATTATGCTGTCATCATGGATCCCAAGGAGGAGAAGGTCACATGGCGGAGGGCGTATGAGTATGTTAGTGAGAGTGAAGGCGAGAGTACGGAGGACAGTTAATGCTTTCAGGATGGACAAGTGTACTATGGTCAGTCAGGGATTTCGTATGAGCAACGCTCAAAGGGCATGGAAGCTGATATGGTAGCTTTGACTATTAATCTTGTATACGACACTCGGGTCAGTTAATGAGTTGTGCTGTTCCTAGACATATCGCGATCAAGACATTTAGACCAGGAGAAATTACGACATCACTCTCAATGTGACCCTATTAGCCTTTGTCAGTGAATACTGAATACGGAGCACAGGGCTTAGCCTTACATGGATCTGAAAAGGAGAATGTAAGCCGCATTGAAACAGTAAGCCAATAGGACAGAGGTTTAAACGAACAGACCAATAAAAAAGAGAAATTGAACAGGCCATCATATGTAAGCGAAGTGGACCATCCAATCATAGAAGTCATCCGGAATAAAAAGAGCTCGGCATCTGATAAATGATCTACAGAGGACATCTTGGAAAAGTCCGAATGCGACCGCATGCTGCTTCATTCTCTAAAGAACACGGTTCGGGCACGCAGGACAAAATCTGATGTCAGCAGAAATGTGGTCATTCCAGTTTGTTGCATACAACTTCCTATTCTGTGTAGGATAGACCACGAATGGAATAACTTGCGAAGACGAAAACGGTCGGTATCTTACTGGATTCAGGTTCGACCTTGGCATGGTCAACATTGGAGGTAGCCTGCGATGCAGGGATTGACGACGGCAGGTCGTAGCACCTAGCGGAAAACATTATCCAGTTCATGTCAGCTTGTTCGACGCCCTTCAGCTGGCGCAACTGCCGACCGTAGATCATATCCAGTAGTGTTGACCTATGCCTAACTAGAACTTCAGGATATACCAGCTTTGCAACACTATAGGCCTATATGGTTTTGGAACTTCAGAATTATGCAAATTATGAACGCGTTGGTAGTAGTGCGTTTACGAGATGAACATGTGAGTACTCAACCTCGCACGTTTGTGGAGTGACGTAGCAACGATCCTTCTTGAAAGTATCGTCGTTGCCGTTTAGTAATCGTTTAGGTGCTCAGTCACCACTGTCAGCCCAACGGCAGGGTGACTTCATGGTCTGTGCAGTCTTGACAAAAGGACTGGCCGCTTGGACTCAAACCCCCTGACTTTAGCATCACGGCCAGATGATTCGCCAATGGTAGGCTTCAAGACCCGCCATAGGCATTTTCTGACAGTATCTGACATGTAGACGTGGGTAACTGCCGCGGGGGCTGAGTTTCAGCCCTATCATAGCTCAGCTAGGCACGATGTATACACCCTAGGCACTTGATGATGATCAACAAAAAGTCCCAGAGAATTGACGATATCTTTTCCCGAGGTGACCGTACCCACGATGATGCATGGGAAGGAATGAACTTAATGCGGGAACGAGATGAGAACCTTTTGTGGGAATCGCCGAAAGAAAGACGCTCAAAATGAGTTGACAAGGGAGTTGAATGAAGATAAAAAGGCCATGTCGCCCTGCTCAAAAAGTCCTTCATCACCATTCCCTCTACCAAATCAACAACAATCTCAACACAACCCACCTCTCCCTTAAGATGAAGACCTCTACCATCCTCACTGCTCTCGGCAGCATCCTCGCCTTCAACGCCCAAGCCGTCAACGCGGGATGCTACTCCGGCGGCGACCCCTGGCCCAACAAAGACCAAGCAGCCCAGTTCGTCTGGGACGCCTGCTACGGTTCCCAGGGCATGTTCTCTGGACAGTTCAGCCCCGGGCAGACCAAGTCCATGTGTCCCCAAAGCGGCAAGCTCGGTCTTCTCTTTGAAGTCCAGAATCAGTGGGACCAGACGCTTGATCTTGGCAATGATGACTGCTACACGCGTCTTAAGAACGAGATCTATGGCTGTGACCGTGGTGGAGAGTCTACTGTTTCTAAGTGGCGTTTCCGGTCAGTTTGTATGAGTGTAGAGAGTTGAGTTGCTAACTGTGGCAGTGCTGATCCTGGTAACTGTTAAATGTGGAGGGCATTTGTGCCTAGGACCCCGGATAGGAGGAAGTGGAGATTCAGAAGAAGGAAGACCAAGTTGGAGGATTTCATTTCCATGTCACTCATTTCAAAAGATAACATTACTTCTGTTGTTGTAAACAGTATTAGTCGCTCATTTCAGGTAGAACAAGAAAAAAGCCCAAGGCTTTCAAGGAGTTTATGGGTAGTCATCACATGTTTTGCTGTATTGGTATCTCGAAGCCCTATATCTATGAAACATTAAAAACAACATATCGAAAAGCCAAGTCTCATTAATTCCAACTTGTATCCCTCCAAGGTCTATAACCAACCGTTGGGTGTAAGAGTCCCATGGCTTATGGATCAAGCGTTCTGAAGCTGCGCCTCTTCATCCACATCTGGACCGCACGCTGCATCTGTTCCGTCAAGCCGTATGTCAAAGCGTTGACGAGCCCTATGAACTGCGTTGAAGCTTGGAGACCAGTGAGCCACTTTGGTGACGTGCCGACCGACTCAGCTAAGCGATTCCCCATGCCCGGCAGCCATAGGATGATATATGCAATTGGGTATCCGTTCAAAAGAAGCATTCTCCTCAGGTTCGGTGACTTTGGTACGCGATGGTTCGGTCCGTTGCCAATCGAGACATTTTGCGTATTGTTGGTTCCGTGGTCTTCAGCAGTGGGCGGATCTGGTTCAGGGATGGCAGAAGCTTCCCACTGGACCTTTCCACCAGGTGATGCATCGTCTCCTTCGCTCTGGTCTCCCTTCGCTATGCCTGTCGACTCAAGTTCATACGAAGCCTCCGCCGTGGTAGTCACCCATATCCGCTGCGTGTCCGACTGCTCGGCGTTTTCTCGATCGATTCTCGACTGTGCATTCGTGGTGTATCCTTTCGTGGTAGAGGAAGAGAGACCGTATTTGACGAAACTGAAGAGTCGTCGGAGTTTGATGTATATGTAGGTGTAGATAGCCACTGTTGCAAGGAAGATGGCGATGCGCCAACCGTGAGTAAGGCCATAGCGGAGACCTAGATGCTGCGTCTGGATCCAGCACCAGTTCCCGCTCACCGGGCCGTAGACATGGAGACCGAGTCCGACGAAGCCTGGAAGAAATTCAGCATAGTTGCAGGCCCTTGAGTTTCCGTAACTTACTGGTGATTGTGCCAGGAATCCAAGGTACAAGGCAGACAATTGCCGTCATTAGCCTCGACGAGTCGTCAAGAATCTGTTGTCGCTGAACTGCGAGCAGTACCGAAACAGAGATGATAAGAATGTTGAAGTCGATCGCCTGTACTGAGAATTGACCAACCCAAGCATTGGCGACGCAACCAGTACTCGGGGACGCTTTCGGATCCGCGTAGCCATCCTTGATGGCGAGAATACCAGATACTGTATTGTTGAGACTGTTGATGAAGTCTTGGTCATCGAGTTAGGCTGATATCGGTGTCTGATGGGATTGATTGACCTACCTGCAACGAGGAGGTTCACAATCAACGCATGGCGGAAATGCCGTCGTGGCGGAGGAACAATAACATGAAGACACAGCGCGAAAAAGCTCGCTACACAGGATAGCAGCGATCCAATTAATGTAGGAATTGAAATCGAAAGGTTGGCTGGAATAGTGGCCATTATGGCTGACGTCGTTGATGAAGAAGGTAAGACATTTGCTTCCCTCCCAAAATAATGCGAGACATGTTCAGCTGAAGAGTTTTACACGGCATTGTTATAAAGCATCTGAAAGGGGGCCTGAGCTAAGACTAGACCAAGCTTGGAATGTCAGAATCGATGAAACTGCGCCAAAACGTCACATCACAAGTATCACCTTCCGCATTTTCTCTCCCCATGACAGAATTATTGCCGTTGGCCGAGTTTGACACTCTCTGCTAAAGAGATCGGCAGAAAGTAATTGATGAAACAGGAAGCTCTTCCAGGGGTTTAGGGGAACATGATTGGTGGCTTGTTTTAGCTGTTGGAGAAACCCCTGTTGATAATCGCAATAGCGCCAGCGGACGTCGGACTCTCCGCTGTTCAGGGGCGGAGAATAGAGTTTGCAGTTATTGATTCTGTGACTTACGCGTCCAATAAGGGCTGTAGGTCCGTAGGGCCAAGGTTAAAGTGAAGCGATGATAGTCGGGCCACGAGGTCTAGAAAAGAGTGGTTCGATGGCTTACCCGTCGGTCTAAATCATACCGCCACCAAGACTATTACCTGAAAAGTCTCTGGAGCGCCGACGATTACCGCTTTTGAATCCCCTCACGAACACTTGCTGGGGTCTGCTGCTGCCAAGAACAATGGTGCTTCATTATCTGCACCGCTAGGCTGGGGTTGTTACTCGTAGCTTTGACGTTGTCGTTCCGAGATAAGGAGCCGCATGGACAGTACGGAGTAGATGCTCTAGCTTAAAACTTTACTCAAGATAACCATAAGGCGGGTAAACTAACTCCGACTAAAGATACGCGTACTTCTGTCAATGGCTTTGACAGTTACCCCAGTTCTTCAGGTGGACTAACCATGTATAGAAAACATTGCGAGAGCATCAAAGTTTATGCTGCAGTTAAAAAACAGGTTCTAAGACTTCTCGACATTCCCTAAACCACTGGGGTTTTGCTTGATCTGCCCTCATGACTCAATGCTAAACAGTCTGCATGGTTGTGAAACAGGGTCCACCATAGTTGCGTCACGTTGCATCAAGGGTAACTACCGGCATGTCGGCGAGGATACTATCAGCTGCGATATATGGAAACCGGGGCAGGTTTGTGCTACATCTTTTCAAACCCTAATTGGTCAGAAAGGTGTCGGACACAGCGATCGATCTATCGACTTGGCTCGCTCCAAATCATCTCCAGGTCCCACTATACCGCTCGATCGTGCTTTGACAAAGTCTATCTTATGCCGGCAGATACAAAGTTAGACTAATGATCGGATAATATCCCGTTTCTGGCTACTTTTCAGCTCGCCATGGGGGCCAGTTTAGGGTTGTAAGTGACTGAACTTCCGGGCAATAGGGACTATATCTACTGACATGGTCTGAGACCAACTCTATTGCCCATGTTAACTTTGTATCTGAAATTAAAAGGACTATTAGTATAGGTTGTGATGTTGAGGCCATTCGCTAATTGGTTATTGAAGTTTCGAGGCCTCTGAAGTCACAGCATGAGACGGGGACAAAGTCCTGGTGGTTTGAAAGATGATACGGACTTGCTGGAACACATGTGAATCATGCGGTATCTGAATCTGATTTCTCTTAGAAAAAGTTATAAAAATAATGGGCTAGTTATCAGCCATGCTCAACCTGTTCAAAGTTCTGCAGATTTGTTGTTTGTAATTGAAACGGGTTGCTGAGAACTGATTTCTAAGTTTCACGCAAGATCTTCGAAACGTCAACGAGAATACAGTAAAAAGTTAGGCGGACAACGTCTTAACCCGAGTAGGCTGTTCACTGTAAGCAGCGCAAAAGATTGTCACCCCAGACTGTTCATATATTCTGGCTTGGACACGTAAAGTAATCTGACCATCCCCGGAAAGGCTCGGACAACAAATGCAAAGTAAACAGGACATTGGACTTGAGCGCATGACCTCGCTGCCGCCTCAGGTAGTCGGAACAGTTGGCATCCGAATAGCCTTCAGCGATAATCAATTGTCTGTGATGATCCAAGCTATTAAATACCTTCCGTGCGCAAGTCCTGTAATAAGAAGTCGTCAGAGCTACTCGGCCTTTCTTCTCCAACAAATTGTCTACCCCTATGACACCACCAAATCGAATGCTCAAGGTACACTGACTTGTTGCACCCTTTCTCCGAGTTACCCTGTACTGCTACAGTGAACAGGATGCACGAGCGTTGCCTGAGTCAGTAGTAAGGAATAAAGAACGCGTGGTTTGGCTTCTGTGTACGTCGGAGAATAAAGTTAAACTATTATTTTAGTATTTTATTTTATTAATAAAGTCACAGGCTCTATGTTTTAAAAATAAGAAAATGAGAAAGAGGAAACTAGACGCTTAGAAGGAAAAAAACAAAAATAATATATATAACTTATTCCTTGTAAAATATTTAGTTATAAAGGCTTATTAAGCTAAGTAAAGAAATAAATAGTTAAAGATTATAAATAATAATAAAAAGATTTCCTGTAGACTTCTTACTATTTATTACTTTATGCTAGTTATTTACATTCAGGAGTAATATATAACTATTCCTGTATCTGGGAAAGAAGTTGATTGATGTCGAGAGTCAGAGGACCGAGTCCTAAAAGGGCAAATATTTCGGTTACCAAAAGAACCCGGCCTCCCGTTGAATGAGAACGTATCAACTGAATCGCTGTTTGCAAGCAAGCGTCATTAGTAAGGAGATGCAGTTTGGAGTGGGTTCGGATCAAACGTGCCGAACGGGACTCGGAAGGGCGGATAGGAGATTAGGGAGAAATTGAGAATTTGAAGACATTGCTTCACTTTACCGGTATTTATCTTGGGTAAGGATCGCCACCAAGACAATTAAAATCTCAAGTTGGCGGTTGATGCCAGAAATTCGAGGAGTAGATTACTTTGGTAGCCCGAGTAGTATAGATCATACTTCTGTCATACTCAAGGTATCAGCGGCTTAGCTACGAAGACACTGATACCTTACAGGATAGAGATGTGATAGCGCTCAGTGCTCAGCGATTAGTTGATATGATGTTGCTCAATTCCATGTTCTGGTGTACTGTTAACGTATCCCGGAGTGAAGTCTTCGCCTGGAATGTGAAAATGCTCTTGATGGCCGGACGGGGCCGGTGCATCCGCCAAGTGCCTATTTTTAGTACACTTTCAGGGGTCGGCTAGAGGCACATGCGCTGTTATTACAGTGCAAAACCCGAGCAATGACAGATAACTCCTGGCCATGTGGAATTCGATCAATAGCTGAACGCCCTGAGACCAGATCTCAACGGCAGAAGAGTCGCTTCGCACTAAGATTACAAATGTAGTATATGAACATGTTTAGACCTTTGCATGTCGCTGATGCACGATATGGCGAACGATAGTTCTGGATACAACACCGAATTACATCATAGGTCTTTCGATGTTGTCTGATTAGACACTTGAGTATACCTGTATCACAATAGACAGCTTAGATAGCTAAGTGCTCATAACAGTGGACATAATTCTTCAAGGAAGGGCGGCACGATATGCGTGATGTAGGTCAATTTAAATACCAAGCTCAACTCGTAGAGTGACAAGGTAGGGCTCGCTTCAGTCGATGTTAATCTAGGAATGCAAATACAGTGATCCAAACCCCACAGGAGACTATGAACCGTCGAAGTGTACAGTAGGGAATGCGCGTTTAGATGGCCATGGCAACGGCAATACCAGCAATGCCAGCCATTCCGAGGATATCGGCACCCATGGTAGGGGCAGCAGCGCCCTTGGACTTGGAGGTAGAGTGAGTGGTAGCGCTGGCCTTGGCGGTCTCGGTCTTGGTCTTGGTGGTGTGATGCTCAGTCCTGTTTCTGTTAATGAGATTCATACTTTTGAGATGGAGAAGACGTACTTGGTGCTGGTCTCAGTGGTGCTGGAAGCAGCCATGGCGCAGGTGGCCAGAGCAGCAGCGAGGAGGAAGTTCAGCTTCATGGTGAATAATTAAGGTATTAACTTGAAAGTTGTAAGTTGGAAAGATTGTAGTAGAGTGAGTAAAGAGTGAATGAGGTGTGATGGTTTAAGCTTTCGGAATGAGGCTGCCATCTCAGCCCTTTTGTACTCAAATTGTCCGTGGTGTTTACTGTCATAGACTTGTAATTGAGTTACACGATGTTCATTATAGGCTGATGCGTAAACCGGCATTTCGGTGCCGCAGTCAGCCAGGCTAGTACTAATCCGCTCGCTTACAAGCCTCAACGCGGGCCGAACGATGTAAGGATCCAATAGCTGTGGCGCGCAATGAGGGCAGCAGAGAATACGAGACGTCGAGACCTCCAACCGTCAGTCATGCCATAACGCTAGAGGATGACGCGGCGATGAAAGGGCTGACTGCGCCCCTGCGGATCACCGTTGGCTCGTTGGTGATGCCGTATTATCCAGGGGAGGTTTAGAGTTGGGGGAGCAGTTTACGGAAGTTGCCGAGGTCTAGAACACACTAACGATGGCTCTGATCCAATTGTTTGATCGTGTGCAACGACTTATTGGTGCTGACGCTGTAACGTTTCGGCAATTTGATACCGAGCGATCGGCCCCGTTTGAACGACGTGGCTTGCTTGATTGGTTTGCTTTGCCATTGCCCCGGAAAACGGCTGATCTGCTAATTTAGCCCACCTCATCCCTGGTGACATGCAGGAACATGATGTCACAGCGGTGTGCTAAGAGGAGAGTTGGATAGCTTCAGGGTAATAAAGGTCCTGGGCAACGGGTCAAAGGTTTGAGATACTGCTTCATGATTAGATCTGTATGGATACTCAATATTCAAGCTTAATGTGAATCAACGGGTATGAGAGGCACAATCATCTACTGAAAACAATATTCCGAGACTTTGGGATCTATGCTTAATGCTAAAGTCGGAACGGTTGAGAGATAAAATGAAGATTAGTCAACAAGCCGCTCTTTGTAGAGGTGAATCTCTGCAAAGGCAGTCTCTGACCTTGCTCAGGTTCCCATTCGTTACCGGAGAAGAATCAGCGAAGACGCGACGTCTTTCGGTATCCTGTCTCTGTCTAAACGCAGCAAGCGTATCATGAAGCTGGACATATTCTCGTGGCCCAAGACCGTCACAACAGATCTGTAAGAGCTGGCGTATACCACCGGCTGGACCGTGATAATTTTCATTCTGCCTTGGAGGCTTTGCCTTTGTTGGCTTCTTTTCTCCGCGAGTTCCATTCAGTGTACACGCGTCGCATACTACCCTCAAAAGCGATAGCGTAAGGCAGAGTCATTATTTCGCGCAACAAGAAGGTCGTAAAGTGAGGCTTGACTGATGGAGAGAATGAGTATGTATGGTCTATGCCGTATTGTTTACGAGCTTAGCTTGGCCTAGACCAACCACAATAGAGTAAGCGTAACTCGACCAGGTTCTAGAATCCACCCCACAAACAACTCCTACGCTATTACACGAGGCGTCATACCCTTGTCTCGTACTTCAGCTAAGCCGTTGTATAGTGTCACAGCGAGTCTCGGCCTAGACTGGATAAGCTGTACGAGTGACAGATCCCAAACGAACCGGAGCTTCTGTGTCATCGCTGTCCATTTCATGTGCCCGACCTAATACCTCCTGCGATGTTTGTCCACTATCATACGCACCCTGACCTCGGAACAGGTCAAGCTGAGTACATGTTCTGGAATGCTCTAAAGAACAATGCATACGTCAGCCAGCATTCCTCAATGATTCCCTTGTGGGCTTAGCGGCGACTCACCGTGATACGTGCGCAATGCCTGCAGAAATGGGACCATCAGTATCAGGAGGCACAGCAGCTGACTAACCCCCTCAATGTCGCTTTCAGACTCCATCCCTTCCCACGCACCAAGTACATATATCCTCTCCGCCTGAATCCACCAAACTCCAAGGCCAAACCACAGCACCCCATCGAAAAGAAGCACGCCCAGTGCTTCCGAGTTGAATGCGTAATACAGGGGCATAAATATCAATCGCCACCAGCGCCGTTTCTGTTCATTCTTTGATGCTCCCAGAACTCTGTCGCCGCCCAAAGTCTTCACTCGGTTCATCCACCATATTGAGACTGCGGGCCATAATGACAGACACTGGATGGTATACCCCTGAATGAGCAGGACATAGCTCGCAATCAGCCAAGAGAGAGGACTTCCCGACTTTTTCAGGCCGATTGCACAACTCGCTAACCGTTCGTCGTAATCATCCCATCCTCCAGCCCCGGTAATCCAGGTGCAGTACAGCAGCAACGCTGCAAGAATAAGCATAGCGAAAATTCGACACATCATGTCTGCGCTCAGAGATGAAGTTGATGTAGCATTTCTGAGAAAAGACCTGCCGTCTGATTGGTACTGAAAAGGCTTGTTGCTCGACCCTCCATTTGTTTCAACGCGTATGGCGTAGAGTGTCAGTATGTGCACACCACTCGTGAGCCATACAAGGTTAGTCGCTGTCATGAAATGATAGACCGATATCTCTTGTCTGTGTAACTCGATGATGGCAGTACACAGTATCGCCATCCCAGTGACGAGTTGTGTATCAGCGAGGGTTAACACGAATGAGTAGAGGCCGCGCCTTAACTGGTTAATATGCGCTCTGATCCATCTTGATCTGACAAGAAGCTTGACAAAAGGATCTGAAACATTTCTCCGCACCCAATCATCAATTGGATTGACGAATTCTACGAAGCCAAAACGAGGCGGTGGCCTCACACTTGGAGCTTCAATGATATTCAAGCCAGATCTCGCAATGGCAAGGTACAAGCTTATGCTGATAATTGCCAAGCACGAGGCAGTAATGAAAGCGGTGACGACCTGCTATCGTCAGTCATGATTGGACTCTCGTGTCACATCATGGACGCTTACACCAATTCCGGCAATGTCTGGATCAGGATCAAATTCAGTCGCGCATTCCTCCCAAGACGAGTTCATTGTGAGGAATCAATCGAAATGCCGCATCCTAGAAGATAGAAAGGCCAGAGAGAAGAAGAAATAATAATGCCTTGTGTTTAAGGGCAAGACCGTTTCTAGTATAGTTTGTCTCCTTGCGACGGATAAGCCCCGATACGTACGTCACCACAAACGCGCTAGGCCAGCCACAAGCGTGGTCCGATAAGGATTCGCATCCTTCTACACGAGATGTGCAGATTCTTTCGAGGGGCTGGATAGTAAACCGACAAGAGATCATGCGACTTTCGTCTGGTAAGTTTACAAAGTCGCGAGTTGAATCGTGGAGGAGGAGGGAAGCATATACACTGCTTACAACTAAACATTAATAGCAGTATTCTAGAAATCATGAAGCCGTCACAGGCTGGGACCCGCAAGCTACTAAGAAGTCGACACAACGCTACTCCTAGTTGGCGTATAGGCCCGAGACAGGTGGAGATAGAAAGAATTTATTTAGCTGCCTAAAGTCTATTTATTGAGGCATGATAGCCTCCCCATGTGTCACAATTTGTCTTTTGACGTTAGCCAAGATGAAAACCAATAGAAGATAAGTAAGTATACCTAATCTTGAATCAACTTGGCGAACTAGTTCTCCTAGCTTCGGGTCAATGACACATCCACAAGAAGAAACATCATAACCCTATCAACAACGGCGATAGCCCACAAAGTCCAAGACAAACGCCCTATTACCCAATTCAGCCCTATGCGAAAGTCCGACAAGTCAAGGTTTCAGGTATATGCTGTTATCTCATTGGTTGCATCGCCGGACTGATTCGCGGGTTGAGCTATGATGAAATTAGAGATTTCTTGAATGTGCTCTGTATGAAGTTTTAGGCTATTTTGCCGATGGGACCATTGAAAAAGAGAAAGCTACTATTTGCCTACTATCTAAAGGGCGCTGAAATATTACTTCCACTGAATAGCTAGGTACATCTCTTATCAGAGCTACCTTAGGTAAGCAACTCGCATTGGAAATTCTGTAACAAGAGCTTTACCGTATTTGAGGGCTTTGTTAGGTGCTGTTCAGAGGCCGCATTGTGTTCCGTCCAACCCTAACAGATGTTCACCAAAATTCTATTCCATGCACAGGGAACAGGACCTGAATGTAGAAACTGGGGCATGAACATGTGGATGGAGGAAACACAGACGGCAATTACCTAAAGATTATATATACCATAATCTCTCAACTCCCTTTCATCCCCATTGTGTCTTCACGAAGCAATACTCTTTTTGGAGAAGTCCGTTTCCACCAGTCGACTTGGTCATTTGCTCTTTACTAACGCCTTATCTCACACCAACTCACAATGTTTTCCGCTTTCAAAGCTAGTTACTCACCTGAGGTGACGGCCCTTACCAAGAAGCACGGTGTCAGCGATGCACTATTCATCAAGAATCTCGGGTATTTCACCAACATCGATCTGAACAAGGTTGGTGAGCAAGGCTTCATCGCCATGAGCACCGGCGTACGTAAGATCACCTCTGGATTGAAAGACCCTGCTGGACTAACATCAATCGAGTGTCTCATCTTGGCCTTTTGGTCTAACCACCTTGGTGGTGCAAAAGTAGCGTTTCTCACGGAACATGCACATACAATTCATGAGGCACGAGGACGGACAGGGCCGTTCTCAAAGCATGACCTGGAATTTATCCGTTGGACTGTTGATGCTATAAGGAGAGAGATTGCGACAACAGATGTAATGTTGGCTGAGGTATGTACGGAGCATGGAGATATCCTGGATGTGGAGTTTGAGATGCGTACTGAAGAAGGAATGAAACGTCTCTTGACTGGAAAGATGAAGTCTCAACAGTTGTACACATCGGGGGAAGAAAAGATGGCAGCTAGAGTGAATATGCTTAATTCCCTCTTTATCAAGGATCAAGACATGGACAAAATGACAGACCCGACACAGATCAGCACGCTAGCTGGAGTAGACATGGCGATCTCTCGGATTGACGCATATAGAGAAAGACTTGATAGCGAGAGAATTCGTCTTCGGAATGATTTCAAGGCTCTATGTCACAAGAAAGACTTCGCTGACAAGAGACTCAAGGCATTGAGCGAGAAGCGTGGGTATTTGGCGAGCTTGAAATAGTAGTCGATGAGACGGTTTAGGGACCTGGGGGCAAAGAGTGATGAGTCGATCTTTTGGTGGTGAGACTCGACCTGCGGGACTCGAGGAACAATATCTGGGATATCTTCTTATTATGTCTTTGGAAGGGCTGCGAGTTTGTCCTGAAGCTCAGGTAGCGAAATACACACTGTTTAAGAGGAATAAATAGAGTAAAATTGTGAATCGATTGGCAACAGAGGAATGTACATATTATCTATACTGCTGTCCTGTAGTCGCTCACAGGACCTGTCCTTTTTGGTTGCTCTTATAATGTTTGGTGAAATCATATTCGATACTGGACACTTTCTGTGGATGCGTCAGCCACCAGCATTAACGTGAGATCTAGCGACTTACCAACAAAAACGCCCTCATATCATTATTATCCCGCTGAAGATCCTTCAGAATGCCGAAAAACTTATCTGTTTCCAAGATGTTGTGGGGATCTGATGTCGCCACGCGATTGAGATTCTTGATCGATCTCGGATCAACATATCTGACAAAGATATCCCGTCTGATCTCTGCATATTTCTCGAGGATATCTTCACCCGCCAGACCGTGGTAGTATCCAATCAAGCAGTCTGCTAAACCGCCAACATCCAAGACGGCAGTCATGCAGCCATATCCTCCCATAGGATTGCAGACGTGCGCAGCATCACCAGCTAGAAGTACGCGGCCGACCTTGAAGCTTTCAACACAACGGTTGTGTATGTTGTATATATTAGTTCGTTCGATTCGGTATTGGTCTGGGTCGGGATGTCCCGGTAGCATTGCTTTCATATGTGCAGGTCGTCGGGCTAGATACTCGTCGTCTGTCAAACCCGTAACTGGATCTCCGTAGGTGACGCGCCATAGACCTCCTTTTCCTCTTCGAGCAATGAGGCCCCAGTGATCATTGTCGACCATGTAGTTTCCGCCGTCCCAGTTATGCTTCTGGAAGCCGTCGTAGTAGACCTATTGTTCATTAGTAATTGGGATATTACTTTTTAGGCGAGGAACAAACATTCTGAACAACGAATCGATACGGTAGTGTCTGACCAGGCCAATCTCTCCCGAACAATGAGCGTCTTACGGCACTAGATGCTCCGTCGCATCCCACGACGTAGTCAGCAGTGAGTCTTGTTTTCTCTGTCCCTCCTTCGCCTTTGATGCTAACATCAACATAGGCAGAACCGTCATCCTGGCCGACATTTGTGACTTCGTGATTGAACTTGACGTCAATCAATCCTTCTCCTCTCTCAAGGCAATGTCGGTAAAGGATTTGTATGATCTCACCTAGAGGTAAGATTGTCATGCGATCGGGATCATCCTCGACAAGTGACAGGTCCAGACTAATCAGCTTCTCGTGATCTGACACCCTTCTCCAACAAATGCTAGGGAACCTGGCAATGCTGGCTTTGCGAATGTCATCGAGTATGCCTGCGCGACGGAAGACACGGGTGGCGGGGACTCCATACTGCGTTGCTCGTAGACGCGTGTCAAGATACGGCCATGACTCCAGGACTACCGAGGGTATGTTTTTCTGGGCAAGAAGAAGAGCCAGTAGTAGCCCCGAGGGACCTGCACCGACGATAATAATCTGCATGAGATGATGTCAGGAATGGTTGCGAAGGACACGTAGGTAGTACTCTGCCTTGTTGAAAGGTCGACCTGAAGAAGATGAGTCCATGATAGTAAAAGGGCTGGGTTAAAGTCTCTGGAGATACAGTTAAGATAGAATTTGCTAGGGGCTTGGGTATTCAATTGTAATCACAGTGAGTAAAGAGAGTGATTAGGACGTTATATGCAGTCTACTTCGTCACGAGCCCTAAGCTCCGTAACAACCTTGTTGGCGATCCCCCGCCCCCAGCGCGGGGTTAAGTTACGGCACCAAATCTCACATCATCGGCATCTGTAAGCGGTAATAACAAGGGAAAAACCGACTAACTTGAATCGGATAAGACGACTGTCATCACACAAAATTCTACGAAGAAGGTTGGACAGGATAGTATGCCTTAGGTTCTTGATTCATATTATTTTTAAAATTTAAACAGAAGTCCACAGTTAACGTACGTGTCGCGAAACTAGCCATACTCGCAATAGTGATAATATAACTATGGTCTCTTATCGAATTAACTTAGAGCTTGTATGAAGCATAATACTGAGTCGATGCTGCCATACCCCTTTCTTCTTGTTCCAAGCGCCTCCTATTACAACTGGTACCTGAAGTCTTTATTATCCCTCTCGGTCACATCTTCAAGCCCATGCGAGATGCCTGGGGGCCCGTATTCCCTTTCGCGTCTCTTGTTTTCCCGCGCCAGCATAAAACGAGTTGTCTGACAAATCAACATCGCAGTAACATAACATACCATAATGCCAATGAATGATTCATTATATCCAGGCGCGAATTTCCTAGATAACAGATGTTAGCAGTTATTACTGTAATAGAAAATGGATAGGATACTCACGCATCAAATAGCAACGGACCGATAATATTACCAAGGCAATCACCAACAAAAGTCCCAGCAGAAACAATTGTCTTCTTCGCATAGCCAGCAAAGTTACAGGTGCCAAAGGCTATGACCGGAAGATAACATGATCCAAAGAACGAAACCAGGTAGATACCGACAATTCGCCCAGCAGTTTGACTAGCAGGTAGCTGCCACAATAGAACGCAACATGTAATAACTGGAAGGCATGCGATGGTATAAATATGATGTCTCATATTAGGCAACGTCCGGCCAAGCCACCCAGATCCAACAATGGTGAAGATGGAGATGGCACCCAAAGGGATGTTGAGAAGGAGGGTGTGAAACACGCTGAAGCCAAGACTTTTAAAGACCAAGCTTGAAAATGTGTTGGCAGCGCTTGTGGCTGTACTGCACAGCATTCCAAGCAAGCAGAGCGACCAAAACTGGTAACTAACCAGCGTCTCCCAGATCTGCCGTGGCTTCAAACGGGTATTCTCGAAACCAGTGTTGTTATTTCGCAGCCGCAGAATAGCCAGGGCTCGTTCGTCCTCCGTAAGGCGTTTTGCAGTGACAGGTGAGTCGGGGAAAAAGGCATACACAACAAACGACCAGAGAAGAGTAAGGGCACCGGCAAAGATGTAGAAGATACGCTAACCAGCGATGCTGCTCTTGATGCTTCCAAGCCTATAATTGATCATTGGCAATACAAGGTTGACTGCACCGCCACTGGAATACCAGAAGCCCATTCTAAGAACCTGTTCTTTATTAGTGTACCATTTAGAAGTGACAAGCATAGATAGCAGCGACATACCGGCTTCGATAAGGCCTAGAAAGAAGCGATTGGCTATAAAACCTGAGTAGGAAGTGCATGCTGGAGTAGAAAGCATGACTATGTCCTAGAGAAAGCAAATGGCCGCGCATACCTTTGCAGTAGGAAATTTCTGGCCCAAGATAGAGAGCTGCGCTTGAATTTTAGTATAGTGACTTAGCTATTGATTAAAACGGAACTTACGGGATAGCACCCGACGAGGAAACCAGAGAAGAAGATCATAGTACAGTTCGAGTATCGCAAACCTTAGATAATATCCAGGTCTTCTCTAAGCTCAAAGATAGCACCGTAGCCTATCATAACCTTGTCATAGTATTGCAAAGCGTAGGTCATACACATCTAAGATTTGTTAGATTCTCTGCACGCTGGGGCAAATAGAGCTCAACGAACCAGTGGCATCAGGTACCAATCGATTTTCTTGACCAACTTCTTCTCAGCGATTGGGTCTACTTCATCCGAGGCATGAGCTTCTGCAAGCTTGAGTGCCATGTTGTACGTGTTCGGGTGCGTTTCGTGGGACGAGCCATCTTGGAAGTCGATTTGGTCATTAGGTGATGTCTTCGAGATTTGGTTCTTTTGGTCGGCCATCGTGATGAGTTACCCAGAAGTGTCTGACTCTATAGGTAAAGATCAGCGGACGTTGCAATTGTTTTATAAAGAAAGTCGTCCAGCCAAATTACTTGAGGATGCTATTATTCCACTAGTCAAGTCGTAATCGGGAGTCCGGGGTAGCGGGGAGATCTCGGTCCTTATCTCTCGGCGTAGATCTCCCGGATTTGCCCCATGGGTATATTCAACAAACAATGGTTAGATTAGAGCATATAGTGTTCACTAAACACTCCCTTGTTGCTCAAATCCTGTAGCTAACGTATTGTCTGCCCACATTCCGAAGATAAACTAGTGTTATTCTTGCGATCTGTGTCTTTTGCGCCCGCGCATAATCGACTAGTCTGCGCTAACCCGGCAAGTTTTCTGCAAAAGCCACGCCCTCATCCACAAACGGGTCTATAGTTGATAGGAAAAGTACAGTTGGTGGAAACTGAGCAAGAAGTTCGTCCGGGATATAGATTAACGGAGACGCCAGCGGCGTCTTACGATCTTTTTCGTTGGGCATAAAAGAATCATGCATCCATTTCATTGAGGCTTGTGAAAGGAAGGGTGCGTTCTTGAACGTCTCGTGTGAGGGGAGTTTCGTGTCGTACGTTGTGGTGGGAGCCCACAAAAGGAGGTGACCAATTTTGGCTGGTAGTTTTTGCAGCAATGATAGATAAGTAAGGCCGATAGCCAAGTGGCCTTGAAAAGGTTAGTGTCATGCATCGATTTGATGAGAATGTGTAAATCATACCTCCAGCGCTATCTCCAGCGAGAGCAATTGTTTCAGCCAGAAGTTGGTGCTGACTTGCATGTTGCACTATGTATTCAAGGACTTCATATGACTGGTGAAACTGATAGGGAAACGTTTGATACGGTACTCTTGTGTACTCAGGGAAGACTATAGCTGCGCCGGTTCGCCGAGCTAAGTCCTCCAACAAGACAGCAAAAGACTTTGCACTACACCAGAGTCAGTTGGCAGTTCATGACCTACATCGAAGGAAATATTTACCTGCCCATCATATACCCACCACCGTGAAGATAAAACACCATCGATAGGGACTTGTTGACCAGAGATTTCGATCTAACCAATACAACAGTGGTAGGACCATATTTCCCACTAACTTCTATAGTCTCTGTTTGAATGTCTTCTGCAGGCTCATATTTCTGAAGTTTTTCTAGATTGTCGAAGGCCTGCTGGCAATTGCCTGTCTCGTGCGGAGAAGGCGAGCTAGCAATCTTTGCAGCAAAAGCGGCATTGACGGGATCGAGTTGATACATGGCAATGAGGTACTGATAGATAATTGAACTTAAATGCAATATATAGTTGTTAAGCAATACTGACGATGAAAAGGCTGTTCTGTCGATATATAGAGAAGTTGATTACCAGAAAGGGTTGGAGCTTGAGACGAACGTTAAGCCTTAAGCACTCTCTGCATACTGTCTTTTCAGTCTTCATTTAGTTAGTGGCAGTGATAGTGACCCCCGCCTTCCCGTTCGCTCCCCGTTTCCCCGCTTGCTACCTCTGTTCACTGCTTTTTGGCCAGTGTTTAACCTACAAGTATCCCTGGCTACAGGAAGATTCTTATAACTAGCTTATAAGAGAGCTTAAAATATTTATACATAATTATATTATTTATCTTGTAAAGAAACCTATTGGACTTTACTTAATATAGGTTCCTGATTAATATTATCTATATATAAAGCCAATTTGGACTTTCGGCAGCAATTGCCACGAACAGAATGAACCATACTTCAAGATACTCCTCCAGGCCTTGACTCTAAATCTCCTGGCCAAAAGCCGGGTATTGGGGTGCAGTAACGCCATCACAAGAGTAGCGCACAATGTATGGGCTGGCAGTAACATCATTGCCCACGAGAATCTGTCCATTAGGGGCTGTGACGGTGAAGGTAAAGCCACCGCCATATTGAGCCTGACCATACACGAATCGAATAGGAACGTATACTCCGGCAGGAATGTCGATTTCAAAGTGTGCAGTACCAGCAATGTGATCAGGCTGATTGTACAGGGCCTTGGCATCAGCATTACCAGAGTTCCAACCAGCGTACGCCTTTGAGCCAATCCACAGGTACACGGCGTCGTTGGCGTAGGGAATGTCGAACTTGTAGGTACCAGCGTCGCAACTGTAGAAATAACCGTGGTGGTTCAGGGCGAAGTAGTCAAGGGGGAAATCTTGTGGAGAGCCATAGATGGGGCCGGATTGGGCGCCGCTGCTGGGCTGGAAGAGGCCACCGATCTGATGGGTCGTGCCGACGTAGATGGGATTGTCCTGCTTGAACGATTGGGGTACGAAGCTGGAGTAAGTCGAGTCGGTGTTTTGAGCAGGGTTGCTATAGTATGCCCAGTCAAAGCCGAGGTTGTTGCAAGCAGAGGGGGCAGGACATTGTGCTGCACCGGTTGTTGTCGTTGCTTCCTCGGTGGTCGTGGTAGGGGCCTCAGAGGCAGTATCAGCAGCAGTAGTCATTGTCGCGATCTCGGTAGTGGACTCCTCAGTTGTCTGAGAGCTCAGCTCAGTTGTAGAAGCGGCTTCGGATGCAGAGATGGTGGTAGTCAGGTCAATCGACGTAGACAGTTCGGTCGTCGCGGAAGTGACCTGCGTAGCTTGAGAAGTAACTGGCTTGCAGGGTCCGGCAGAAACACCGACGCTGAGACAAGCCAGCACGCTAATGAATGTCTTGGAGTTCATCATGACGTTGAGGCGTTAAATTAATCTTGAACGAGAGACTAGAAACCCGTAAATGAGCGAATGGGTGAGACAATAACATGCTCCAATGGTTTTGGGGGAAGCGTAGATAAATACCGTCCTCCAGCAGTTAATTCCGCAGAAGCCGTCTGTCACAGCTGGCTGACTAGACCTGTTCCAGCGCGACTGCTGACTCGCTTGGTGGTTTAATCTTAATAACAGTGCGGCGATTGGTGAGCCCCTGCATGAAAATCGATAGTTTGGCCGCTAATGGGAATTTCGTGGACGCTATTGAGATAGAGCCCCGTAGCGGCTGAAAGAACAAGGATAAGGAGATGGCGATGCGCGGCAGGCTTCGACATCTGTTTCTGGAAATAAATGCAAAAATCGTCGTATGTTATTTAGTTTGGATAGAATTTAGCAGTATAGCCTGGATAATAACATTCTCTAACCCATTTTCAAGAAAAATATCGTGTTATCACTCATTATCTGTATTTGCACTCAAAGCTTAACCTTAGAGGCGGCAGTTATCCCTATAGTTTTAAGAGAAACTTCCTCTTACACTTAACACTAATTAATAAATATAAGGATAACCCAGAGATCTTAGGACATTTTTCTTATTGCTGTCCCACGTGCTTGTCGGGTTAGTGAAGTATAGTTGTATTCCTATTTGTTCTTGGTGCAAAATACTTGTGTTTTGGTCTGTTGTTCTTGGTCAGATGCCGCTGAAATTTATGGCCTGTTGCTTTTCTTCCAGATCTTATTCGCATGTCGCACACTTCCGTTGAATGAAAACCCCATTCCTCCCTGAGCAGGCATTTTGGGAACCTTGGAAATTCACCTGAAGGCCGTGCTCCCTTCTAGGTTTGAAGACACGCTGAAAAAATTGTAGAAAGACTGCGTGGGTTGAGATCCTATAGACTTAGGTAAGTTTTGTGGATCTTAGTAGATCTTTAGTCCAGTTTATGATGAGTTCCCTAATATATTGGGCAAACAAATTGTTAAAGTATACATGAGGCAGAGGGATAACTGACTTCTTTCCGCTCTTAGAACCCAAGATTATTAAGATAGTGTAGTCCTGACGAGGGTTCTCAAATAATAATATAATTAAACTTACGCGAGTTTGATACTATTTCCTTGTCAATTTCGGGGCTGGGCAGTTCTTGAATCTGACCGAAGTATTATGAATCTAGCTTTAAAATAAGGCTCAACAAGAGCTCTTAAAGCCATAGGCAGGTCTCACGCCTTAATAATCGGAAGTTCTGTTCACCCTGTCGAATATATCCCTGTTTGTTGAATTTGCAGGTGCCAAGCAGAATGTATTTGTAGTTGGCTGAACAAATCTCTACTGAATTGCTAGATTGGCTACTTCCGGGGATTTTTTATCTTAGAATATGGAGTTTCCAGTAGTCAATTAGTCTTGGCCTAGCGACAGTTTCCCATTGTTCAGTTAATGTTGTGTAGCCAATAGGGTAGGCTGAGTATTTACCGAGGCTAACTGGACTGGGTCCGTAAGCCATCGAATCAGCAGCCTCAATCGACTCCATTGCCATGTCTCTGGGTCCTGCGAAAGCGATCATCACCTCCCATCTCTAGTATATGAACCGATGCACCCAAGGTTGCTTAAATACTGGGCCATGCAGGTCCGCGAATTAATCCGGCAACCAACTCGTGGCGATTCCATCAAAATTTCATTTGTAGCGGTCAACCTCGATAGGCCTCATCAACGATCGTCCTCGTCAATTGTAATTTGTTAATCATCCCATACCCTTCACCCCCTACTCTTCACCATGCTCAGCAGCACGGTGATTAGCTTGCTATCGTTAGCAACCTGCCCTGCGATTGCAGAAGAGAATATTGAGTCTGGCTGCAAGGCACTCAAGCATGCCTTTCCCGACAATACCTTTTATCCCCACAACACAATCTATGAGTACGAGTCGCAAAAGTTCTGGTCCAACAATGAGGTCCTGAACCCAGCTTGCGTCTTCCGTCCTACGAGCGCAAAGCATGTTGCTGAAGCAGTCAAGCTAATGGGCACCGGTCATACATCCTTTGGTCTACGTGGAGGCGGACACATGGCCATCGCAGGCGCCAATAATATTGATGGCGGTCCGCTCTTCGTCATGTCTAATCTAACAACTCTCGAATTGGCCAAAGACAAAAAGTCGGTTTGGGTTGGGCCTGGCTTGGACTGGGGACAAGTTTATCGCTATCTGGACGAGCACAAGCTCGCTGTCGCAGGTGGTCGTCTCTCCCCAGTCGGTGTACCAGGTCTGCTTCTTGCAGGAGGTATAAACTTCCATGGGAACCAGCGAGGATGGGCAGCAGATAATGTACTCGAGTATGAGCTCGTGGTATCCAGCGGCAAGATCATATCAGTCACTTCAAAGTCCCATCCAGATCTCCTTTGGGCTCTGAAAGGCGGATCGAGCAATTTTGGTATCGTTACCAAGTTCAAACTAGCCACCTTCCCATCGGATCAGATTTACGCTGGCATTTACAGTGCCGCTGACATACCTGGGTTCTTGAAGGTACGAGGAGACATAAAAAAATCACGCGATCATGACTAACATGTAGACAGGCTGTGGCAAATTTCTCTGCCTTTAATACTGATCCACTTGCACATATTGTTCCTCAGGTTACTGCCGTTGATGAGCAGACGACTATTGGCGGTGCAATCCTCTTCTACGACAGCGACTCAAACCCGGAACCTGAGTGCTTTCGACCATTCTTCGACCTCCCAGCTATTTCCAACACGTTCGAGAAAAAGACTCTTGCTCAGTTTTCGGATGAGACTGGTCAGCTCGTCACACCCAAGATCAACGACCAATTCATCGCCGGCACCACTACGGGCAAAACATATGAAGAGCTGCTCAAAGGCATACAGATCGTAAACGATGGCTTCCTCAACGCTCTTCCCGACTTATATAAGGTTCTCCCCGCTAAGGACCGCGTGCTCATCTCTGTCGACTGGCAGCCTGTAGGTTCTCTCTGGACAAAAGCCTCTAAAAAGTACAACCCCGGAGGTAATACTCTAGGCTTGGATGTCGAGAAGAAGGGCACGCACATTGCTTGGGCAGAGGTTGTTGAGTGGAGTGGCGACGAGCACAACGATGCTGTGTTCAAGTGGATTGAGGACACGACTTGGGCAATAGCTAACGCTACGCAGAAAGCTGGTTTGTATGATCCTTTCACTTATATGGGCGATGCAGCTGGGTTTCAGAATGTTTATGGTGGCTATGGGAAGGAGAATAAGCAGAAGTTACTTCAGATCTCTCGTAAGTATGACCCTTCTCGGATCTTTCAAAAGTATTGGCCAGGTGGATTCAAGATTGGGTTGTAAACTCGATCACTATTTGCTCAATCACAGGGATTGATATAAAGCGTTGTGCATACATAGACTAGGTACGAGCAAAATAAGATTTTATTATTGAACGACTCGAGTCAAGACTAAGAAATTGTAACTGCTGATGTAACTATTCGATCGGCTGCAGGATGATCTGAGTTCTCCCGTTGATCTTAGCATCAATAAAAGCCTTGCCAGCTCCGTTGGCAGTGACAGATCCTCCAGTGCTGACAGAGTACTGCTGACCAGGGATCAACCGCTCAAACCCAAGCTTGAAGACTCCTGCCTCCTTTCCGTTATACACAACCAAATCAAGCTTCTTCCCATCCTCGCTATGTGCCTTAGCGACCAAGACTTCTGGGAAAGAAGCCTCCTCAAGGACAGGACCATTCAACGCCTCCTTAGAAGGTCCGTGAAGTGTAGCATTGGCCAAGTCGCGTTGCTTGACGAGACGCGCCATGAGGGCAATGACCTGGGTAGTAGCCGAAAGGCCCTTGTTGCGAAGAGATCCTGTCTTGGTGGCTTCGACGGGGAAGTAGACGTTGTCGAGCTGTTCGAGTGCTTCCTTGCGGATCTTCTCGTCGCCGAACTCGGCGGCTGTGGCGGCGATGAATGCGCGGAGAGGACCCTCGCCGGCGCGGTAGTTACCGGGATCCATCTTATCGGCGCCCTTGAGGTCTCGGACTATGAGTTCGCCCTTGCTATCGTACTTGATGAACTCCTTTCGAATCATGGCCCAGTTGCGGTGGGCGAGGTGGGGGAGGTACGCTGTGAGAAGCATGGCGTTGATGCAGTCGGTGAGTGTTCCGCAGAGACCGGGAAGCTGGACGTAGTGAGTTAGTTGGCTGGAATGGAATAGCATTTAGTGGATGTCCTTACTGTAAGACCTGTGAATTCACTGCGGATGGGGAGGATACGACCATCACACTCGGTGAATTCCTCCTCGAGAGAACGTTCAAAGCGGTTCCTGAGCTTCTCTCCATAATCCCGACCAAGGATACGGTCAGAGATGACTAGTCCAGCCATACCAGTGAGACTAAGCAAATGGTCAGCATCCATCTATTGCTCGAGGCACCGCGGGCAGGTGAGGGTATAGCATACTTGCAAAGAGAGTAAGTCCAGTTAGGCTCACATGGATAAAGGCAGTAGGGGTTATCGGTCATGTTCTCGTGGAGAGCATCGGCAAGTCCCTCAAAATTGGTCTTGTAGTGTTTGCCATCGTCGATAACGAACTCGAGGGCGTTCTTCTTATGATAGCGGTAATCTCCGGAAGCTTGTTCGTACAGACCAATAGCTGAGGCGAGGTATCCAGTAACCATCTATGTCCAGTTAGCGACATCATCTCAGCAGAATATTGTACAAGTCAGCACTTACAATATTGTCCTTCTTGATCGGGTCCCAGTCACTGAGAGTAAACCTGCCAAAGATGGACTCCCACTTCCAGTAGCTGATAAATATTAGAATTTGGTTACAGAAATACGCAGTTGGATGAAAGACTGACCTCATGATTCGCTTCTGGAGACTCTTCTCGATACAGTTCTGAGAAGCCTTTGAAAGGTAGCCATGGAAGCCAGGGGCGTAGTGACACTGGTACAAGCTGAGAACATCCACAACACCGTAAAGCTGGTATCTAACAGCGCCGGTCTGGAACTGGTCAATGACGTCGTGGAAGCTAAAGTCGTCATGGGGGCTAAGTCCTCGCTCGAGCATATGCTGGACATGACGAAGAGTATCGAGAGAGAGCTCACGCGAGCCTGGTACAGGTGCAGGCGTAGCATTGGCAAGCTGCTCCTCAACAGCTTGGACGAGATACTTATTGCGCTCCTGCGCCTTAGAGTATCCAGCAGCGTTGAGAGAGCGAGCGTTGCTCATGAGCCAAAAGATACCAGTGTAGCAGAAGATAGCCCATAGGATGGCAGAGGGCTCGAATAGAGAGTCTGTGGCAAGGTATCCAGCTGCGAAACTGGAACCTACCCATAGACCAATGGGGAAGGCAATGCCACCCATGGCGAACCAGACAAAGATGGTGACGGGGATCAAGACCAGAGTAGCCAGGAACGCGGCAGTCGACGCAAGAGTGGCGACTGCGGTGAAGCCTGCACCTGGGAATAGGAAGCTAAGTGCAGCTGCGCGGTAAGACGTGTTCTCGAGATTGTAAAAGGCCCAGAGGCCGGAAAGAGATAAGGCAAAGTACTGGTAGAGAGTTCGTCGCTGGTGGTATTTCTTGACCAGTCCCCGACCAGCATTTGCGGGGATGAGAACATCTGGTAGTACGTTAGTAAGATATCAGGCATTGGCTTTGGTAAGACTATACCTTGAACCGTCCAGTGACCCCAGCCAAAGTCACCGACAGCTTCAGTTTTGTGCTCAACTACATTGGCCACGGATTGAACAGCGGTTGTATGGCCATTGGACTTGGTGAAGCCATTGGCTTCCTTCGGCTTGCTAGAGACATGAGATGGAAGCTCTATGACTCCATTTTCATGATTGCCATTGGTAGCAGGAAGTATTTTGGAGAGCTATATAATTGTCAATTATTATTAATAAGTCTGGAATAGAGGAAGAAGGGGGCAAATACTGTGACAGTAGCCATTTTCAGGTATACTTTTTCGAAATGGATATTTGAGTCGTTCTCTGGATCAGTGTGGATCTGAATGAAGTTGCTGGAAGCCGTTGATAATTATTCTTTTAACTCCGTTCTCTTTGACTCAGGTGCGGTCCGGTCTCCGATGCGGGGGCCCCGGCTTTTGATGAACTCAAAGACAGTCTTTGCGGGGAACCTGGGTGCGTGGAAGTCATCACACGGACTGAGTTTGGCTAAGATCCCCAGGATAGCGCTTCCTACGGGCGGGGGTTTGTGAATTGAGAATTCTCGGTATGCGCGGACCGTCATGGTCCCGGTCAACCGATGTTGTATGGGCAATAATAGTTGAGCTCCGTTGTATGCATCTCACGAGTTTATCGGCTGGTGCAAGTAACCTCTTCCTCCACTTGTGTATCATATTGCTACCGTAAAATTGTCTCACATTCTCGTTGGCAACACAGTAATATCGCTATTCATCACAATGGACTCTATTCAATCCACCACTGCAATCGTCGCTCATGCTCCACAAGATGGAAAGAGAAATTGGAAACTTGGGCAGCTACAGCTACGAGCACCCAGTGAAAACGAGGCTATTGTTGAAATGGTTGCTTCAGGAGTCTGCCATACTGATCTGGGCTGTGGAACCGACCCGGATGGAACTCCAGGGTTTCCTGTTCCTCCCTATCCGCGTGTCTTGGGCCACGAAGGTACGCTATCAATATCCCAATCTCAAACTTGTCTGACCATCCAAGGCGCCGGTTACGTCCGGGCTGTCGGCTCAAAGGTCACAAAGGTCAAGCCTGGAGATGCCGTTCTCCTTTCCTTTGCGTTCTGCACCCGATGCCACAACTGCAAATTTGGCGCGCCTGGCTACTGTCACGAATTCAGCGCACTCAACTTCTCAGGCTCTCAGGAAGCCTTCCAGATTTCGAAGCCAGCCGCTCAGAAGGTCGGGGGTTCGTTCTTTGGCCAGTCGAGCTTTGCCAAGCTCACGCGGGTCCAAGAGACTTCTCTTGTGAATGTCACGGACTTGATCACACATCCGGAAGATCTGAAATTATTTGCACCTTTGGGTTGTGGTATACAGGTAAAGATGAGCCTCGATGAATGGCTGCGACGATGCTAATATCGAGGTGATAGACCGGAGCGGGCACTATTACTGAGCTGACAGCGGCCAAACCGGATGACAAGGTTGCCATTATGGGTTTAGGTGGTGTTGGTCTTGCGGCCATCATGGTATATTCAGCAATCGCCATACTATGACGAGAATGCTAACGTGTGATCAGGGTGCGAAGCTCAGAGGTTGCAAAACCATCATTGGCATCGATCGAGTTCCAGCACGAATCGAGATGGCCAAACGACTAGGCGCCACCCACGGCATAGACACATCATCAGTCGCCAATCTTGGCGATGAGGTTCGCAGGATTACAGATGGTTCAGGGAGTACAATCACTGTTGATGCAACCGGCGTGATGCCTTTGATCCAGCAAGGCCTTGACTTCACCGCCAATCAGGGTAAGATGGTTCTTCTCGGTGTTGCACCAATGACAGCTGGACTGGAGATCTCGGTTGTTCCTTTCATGGTTGTAAGTTTCTCAATACGCAGGGTTGAGTTTTATGGCTCACGCTCTCGCAGACAGGCAAGCAACTTATGGGCAGTATGGAAGGTGGTGTGCTTCCTGAGGATGTAAGTTCCTAGCCATCCAAGACGTCCATCAACAGCTGACATTTGAGGCAGTACATCCCTCGCATGATACGGTGGTTCCAGAAAGGCCAGTTTCCGATAGAGAGTCTTATCAAGTTCTATCCTGTAAGTCAAACCGTGAATCCCCATAGTTGTACTTTCAGAAGGTTAATCTATCACAGGTTGGGGAGTTTGAGAAGGCAATTCATGATATGGAGAATGGATCTACGATTAAACCTGTGTTGATTTGGTGAACTGTCTGCATTAGAGATACTTACGGATATCTGTGAAGACGTGGCTTATCTGAACACTCGTAAGCCCGTATCATACTGGGTGTCATTGTTTCTTAGGTACATTCTTCTGTAGCTGTATAACATTACTGCACTTTTACATCACTCCGCTCTCTATGAGCCTTTCCATTATTTAGTTTTTGACTGCGTTGGTTGCCTAAAGGTTGACTTTGTTGGCAGCAAACAGCTATGTAGTTTAGCTCAATCAACCTCGTAGCATAATTCAAGCAAAATCCCCCTCAAGACAATTCGCTGAACTCAGCTCTCTATGTTACAAAACCTCTGTTACTGATAATTACTACGCCAGGTCTCAAACCCGGGGCAACTCTGGGGTATTGCAAAGCATCCCCAGGGTTTGTCAATCCACGGTCCGCCAATCCGGGTATCTGATCAAGAGATCCCTGCTCTTCTGGGGAAACAGTTCGTGCTACCCCGCGTGCCCCGCGTGTGATGCACACCAAGCAGCATCGGTCCGGACGCTAATGAGGTCCACTCCATGAAGCTCTTTATCCGGCATCACAACGGGTTCTCCTATCCGATTCATCATTTACCGAAACAGGACCGAAACGCCGTGCTGAGGCTTGGCAGCGAAGACAGTACAGGGCTCACAGACAGCGTGTTATGCGATAATATCATGTGTTCATATTTTCTGGCTAGCTAAGAGAACGATAAGTCCCTAACATAAAGCCTTCAAACCCTTTCCATTACGATACATACTCTCGCACTCCACCACTTCTACCATCAAAGCCGTAGCCACACACACAAGTCTACATCACTATGACAAAGCCCTCAAGTCATAGTAGTGATCCCGAAGTGGGCCACCATGAAGCTCTCCATGCTATCCGATCAGCAGCTAGTATCTCCATGAGCCCCGAGCTCTTTGAGAAGCTCTACCTGTCACCTCCCAACGCTGTCAAGGGAGATCTGAGGAAGACATTTGGTAACCCGACGCCTCTGTTAGTTCACTTTATTCATGAGTGCCTGACTAGCACAGCTGATGACAAATCTTAGGGCGCTCGCGGGTTTCTTGCTTGCTTTGATGCCTCTTTCCTGTGACTTGATGGGTTGGCGTGGTGCTAGCCACTTTGGTGCAGCTTCGATGTAAGTTGATCTTCCCTCTGTAAGTTATATTAATGATGGGATTCTGATACTTCCAAAGCCCTGTCTACTTCTTCGAGGGTGGTGTTCTCATGGTTATCAGCGGGATCATGGAGTGGATCCTTGGCAACAGCTTTCCTTCTTGTGTCTTTACAAGCTTTGGCTTTTTCTATCTCTCCTTCGGTGGAATCCTTCATCCATCCTTCGCTGCATATTCTTCATATGCACCGGCGGATGCAAAGTCACCTGCTGAAGGAATGGCTACCAAGGGCTTCAATGCAAGTTTGGGTAAGTCTTTCTGTCCATTAACTTTTATCTCACCCAGCTTTCTAAGGCACTGACACAATTGGGTAAGGCTTCTTCTTGCTGGCCATGACAATATTGTCAATCATCTACCTCATCTGCGCCTTACGTACGAATGTCGTCTTCGTTGTAATCTTTGCCACCCTTGTCCCAGCTCTCCTATGCCTCCTTGGAGCATTTTGGGCTTGGGCAGATGACTATACTGGAAACACGTTGTTGGCTCAAAGGTTATGCGTGGTAGGTTCTGTTGATACAACACTACTTCACCAAGTCTGTATCTAACAACTCACCACAGGGTGCCGGCGCACTACTCTTTGTGACATCGTTTGCCGGATGGTATATCCTCCTCGCTATCTTACTTGCCATTGTCGATTTTCCGATCCAGATTCCTGTGGGCGATCTATCATCAGTCATCAAAGGCAAAAGTGAGAGAGATATGAGTCTTAAAAGATAAAGAGACACCTGAAGTAATCGCGGTATTTCAACAAACAACATGGTCTAGAATTCACCAGTATCTCTTTCTGGATGCAAACAAGGTGATAGCAAAAAGGGATTAGATTGAAGTATTTACACAAGTGTAGATTGTTTAGATTCTTATTATGGGTGGTACTTAATTACCATGTTGCGAAGGTAGAAGCAACTGTGCTGTACATTGTGTATCTTCATATGGCTCAGAGGCTGGGAGACCATGACTGTAAGAGACGGAAAGCCTTGTTATTCTACAGTTATACCTAAGGAATCCGTGGTAAAGACTATACGTACATCAATGGAGATAGGGACGTAGCTTCCATATATAGTCTGATGCATTAAACTTCCTAAAAATTAAACCACTAACTTATACTATTTCTTTGATAACGCCCCAACGACTTTCTCGACATAACAACACGACACGAATCTACACTAAGCACAAAGGTAACTTCACCTCAGTTTTCCAACTATGATACTAGTAAGACAGAGCACCATATCAGCTCATAACATAAGATCTCATGGTATGACGTGCTCCATTTATGCCCTCAACTCCAGACAACTCAAATGACCGTGGCGTCATGTTCACATCAAAGTTGAAGAATGAAGGTGAGTTCATGCCGACGGAAAATTGACCATCGCCAGGACTGATTGATCGTGTTCTTGAGCTGCCGCACATGGATCCGTAATCTACCATGGACCACAGAACTGTTTCCAGATCAGGCGATATATCGAAGACAGCATGTGGATCAATCATCTTCTCAAAGTCCTGGGAATGTGTATCGAAGTTGAGAAGTTGAGTGTGCTGTGAAAGAGTCAGCTATGTCTGCATTATTGGACCAGGCGTTACAATTACCATCTTGGCCGCGTGGTCCCAGAAGTGGCCCATTTTGTCTAGTATTTCTAGCGAGTGCTGGCCAGATTCCAAAAGCTGCTGAGATGGGACTTGCCCCATGCTTTCCTTCCCGTGGATAAACATGGAGAGGATGCTGCCAGCAACACATGTCGAGTAAGCGTAGAATGAAGCATCGACATGGCAGCCTGCCTCTTGCGCACGGTGCAACAGCGACGGGATCTTGGAAGCGTGATCACAGCACGCTTCATAAGTTCTGGATAAGAAACTCGCTGGTGCCTTTACCTTTAGGTTTTGTAGACGTAGTGCAAGGAGGAAAGGGTGGCCAATGAGACAGTGACAGAGATGGAAGACTATACGGGCAAATACCGCGTGTCCGACGACCTGATGATCCGGCGCTCCAGTGGGGAGTTTGTTCTGCGATATTATGTCTTCGATGGGGACTTCTTCAACCTGAAGATGCTGCTCAATCAGCAGGAGGAAAGAGTTGATAGCTGCGAATTCTGATCTCGAGTCCCAGGGCAAAGTATCGTCTATCTCACGTTGATGAAGGACGTATCTGGCACATCGTCCGAGAGCTGAAGCGACGAGAATGGCGAGGGTGAAGTATCCACGGATCTCACCAAGATCAGCGTCCCAGTTCAGAAGTCGATGGAGCGTAGGGGTTTGTTTCCAAGTGCCAGTTCGGAATACTTCTTCTTCGCAAGGCAGTTGGACGTGACAATCCTCGTCAGCGATGGCTGGTGGACGTGCTCTCCCGCAGGACACGAGTTTATCTAGAAGGTAGACAGACCAGAAGACGCGTCTTCGCTCTTCTTGTTCGACGATAGGGAGCATGGGATTCGGTTCGTTCATGAGTTGTAGATCTTGGCAGATGCGTACTGCAAGTCCAATCTTTAACCACCCAGAGCTTGTTCGACCAGCTTGCCAAGCATCAGCCAATATTTTCACTTTGGGGTTTACTTTCAGACTCACCAGTAAAGTCAATAATAGCCAGGATGTTAGTAGTCTGTGCCACGTGAAAATTGGGTTCATTCTCAACGGTTAAATGGTCGCTCAGCACGCACAACCAAGCCTGTCTCGCGTATCCCTCCATCGCATCGTGGGTGCGTCCTGAGAAGTACTCGTGATCCGAGAATCTCACTGAAGATGCTAGAATCGCAAATGTGAGACACTTTGGTAGGAGCATGAAGCTGAACAGCTGTCTGTAGTGTTCTTCTTGGAAGTAGGCGTACGGTTGGTTGTGGACGTGAGTGAAATAGGTATCGACGAGATGCTGCACTACATCGTCTGGTGGCATCGTGCTGAAGGGCCTGACTCGAGGTTAATGAGGGTGATAAGCTATTGGGGGGCTCATTTCTGGGGGCGTACGGTGTGATGGACTCGGCTTGATCTGGGGATGAAGACACTGCGTCTGAGAGCCGGCGCTGACCGTCTGAGCCATTACCTAGGTATGTTGATGAACGAAGCTGGGTCGGAGAAACAGGTATGTCGCAATGTTGCGTCGGGAACGGTTGATTGAAGTCGAATCTGTGAATGTGAGTTCATGACACTTAGCCAACAGATTCTTAAAAAAAGACAACACGTCGCGTAGACGCGCGCACCTTTGTTCCTGGCCTTCCTGCTCACTCAACTTGGCTAACTGGGCCTCAATCGTGCTCAATCTCTGCAAAAGGTCCGGCTATCATCAAGTTAGTCATGGCATCGTGACGCGACAATTGGTCCAGGTCATACATGGCCAAACTGAGGAGCCAGAGCTGCAAGCGGGTTTGCAGTTACAGAAGCCATCGTCGCCGAGTATGCCTCATATTGGCACGCGCGATTGACACGTCGGCAATTGTTGCATCGCGGCTTATCTCCCGAGCATTTCATCTTCCTCTGTCTATGATTTGTTTCCACATCAGTATCGTGATCAGACGTGAGAGAGTAGAGGAAGTGGTGGTGTAACATGACGGACCGAGAGATCCATCAGAGGCTGGAGAGCACTGGACCCATACCGACAGCTGGCACAAGCTTGCCGAATACGGCGTATACCACTACTGGCCGCAGGGGCATGAGCTTGCGAGGGAGCCTGTGGCTCGACGCTGGATGATGGTGCTGCTGACATTGCTCTGGAGCAGGCAGGATGCGGTCCGAATTGCGGGATGAGAAGGAAGATAACGAAGTGTATCCAGTCTGCGCATTTGCCCAGCCTACGTACAACCCCCCTTGCGCTATCTGCCGAACGCCCGTGACACGGAACTTGGCCTGGGAAGAAGAGCTATCACGGAGCGGGGTAAGGGAGCTCGCTAACGCATTAGGTTCAGCATGTTGGCACTCTACTGTTACTTGCATTGCTTTGCTCAATCCTAGTGGAGACTTAACCCGGGATTATGGGGTCGCTAAAGATATAACAGGGAATGGATTGAATGGCTGGAAGTTTATTATCCTTGGTATGCAACGTTGACGTTGCACTAACCCCGCATGGTTGAAGTCAGGACCAGATATCCGTGGATTCGTGGATTATATCACAGCTTTAGGGTAACTATATCTTAATAACTATTTAAGATATTTATTATATTATTAGAAATACTACTACTATATCTAGAATCTGCTGCCAGAATAGACTTTTCTATTATATAAAGAATATCTTAATAAATTTTTAGAATCTCCTATTTACTAAGTGCCAGGTAGTATTCCAGCTATATTTCTATTAAGAGCCTTATATTTACTTAAAGGTATTCCAAAGTCTGTATTAAGTCAATACCTACTTTCAAAGGATAAGCTGTTTAGGGACAATAGGCCTTTACTATTATAAGAACATTTTGATTCTTAAGTTGTCGAGGAGTTTGCTATATGTCGAATATTGAACCTTTCTTAGTATTTCCTTCCCTGCCCCGCGTGCGGCCTACGGTCCGCACATGGGCTAGCCCCAGAATATTACCCGTGTCAGGGTAGCTATTACAAGGCCACCACCACCTAGTGCCCACTGCAACATTCTATACATACTATAGATTAAGTCATTCAACCTCAGTCAACAAATACAATGGCTTGTTGTTATATTGCTGCATTCTGCATTAGCCAGTTGGTCAAAGTCTATCAATTCCTTGACGTCGACGATGCCATACGATACAATGAAGACGAACCCGAAATACCTTACCCCGATGCCAAATCCGCGGCTGGTGAATATACGGAATGCGACAAACGTGATGCTTCTCTTGTTCTGTCGCTTTCCGGACTTACTTGCTCGGCCTGTTCGAGTGCAGTTGAATCAGCGCTGAGAAGCCACCCGGATGTGGATCAAGTACGAGTGTCGTTGGCGTTGCAACAGGCGACGCTGATTGGAAAGACGTCGAGTTTTGACAGTCAGTCAATTATGAGACTCGTTACTGATCTGGGATATGGCGTTGAGCTTGGACAGCGATCACCTCAGGAGGTGATACGGGTCCTCAAGGCCAAAGAAGAGATTGCTAGGCTCAAATCAAGTCTGTCCAGTCTGGCTGGGTGCGCAACAGTCAATCAGACGATTGCCTTCCTTGTCTCAATTGGACAAAGTCGCATACCATTGGCCATTTTATTCGCAGCCCATCTACTGTGTGCATCAATTACTCTGTTTGCACAATGGCAGCATATACCGTGGATTCATGAGGATGGCTGGAAAGCGATTTGTCGCGGGCAACCTAACATGAACACCCTGGTCTCATCCTCGATTTCCCTTGGGACCTTTATCTCATTCATCGATTTGTTGGCATATGGAACTACCGATGCAAACTCATATTATACGACCGTTATGGGCTTGGCTCTTGTGGTGGTTGCTGGTAGATACATTGAACTCATGTCAAGGCGGACGACTTCCGAGGATCTACTGAGAGTGTACAAGCCTCTTACAAAGAGTAATTATACAAGACTTCGCCCCAGTGGGAAGGCAAGGGTTCTCTGTGCACACGGTGATTAATAAAATCGCTAACCCTTGTCAGGTTGTTCCTCAGAGCTATCTCACAGTCGGCGACCAAATTGTAATCCCACCTTATTCCATCATCCCATGCGACTGCTACGTCACAGAGGGAACGTCTTCCATCAACCAAGCCCTTATCACAGGAGAAGCACTGCCAGTCCAGAAATCCGCTGGGGACTTTCTTCTGGGAGGAACACGAAACTTGGGAAAAGAACTGGTGGCTGTTGTCGACAAAGAGCAGGGAAATTCATTTTATTCGCAGCTCGTGCATGGTGCCATTGAGGCAGCGGGCTCAAAAGACCAAGATAATCATGCGGTTGAGAGGGTGACGAAATACTTGGTAGGGTTTGTTATGACACTGGCAGTAGTTGTCCCTCTCAAGGAGATCTGTACATCTGCGGGTCCGCTGAGTTATGAGGCGATTCGAGGTGCGATGGCTCGGGCGATGACAATACTCACTTGCGCATGCCCTTGCGCCCTGGGACTGGCTATCCCCTCAGCAGTAGTTGGAGCAGTAGGTAAGGCGTGACGACGGAAGCACCAGAATGTCTTACTGAGATACTAACGATTGCCTCCTCTCAGGTATAGCAAGTCAGAACGGTCTTCTCATCACCAAGGGTTACAACACCATCCAGAAACTCAGCAGCACCCAATCCATCGTGTTCGACAAGACTGGAACTCTGACACGCGCAATGCTAGATATTACAGATTTCGAAACAACAAAAGCGTGGAAGAAGCCAATTACAGAGTTCTGGACTTATATCTGTGCTGTAGAGGAGCGCAGTATCACGAGTCACCCTATCGGCAGAGCTATCTTTTCAGCAGGAGTGAATCACCCCAATGGCCCGTGGTCAGAAACGAAAGTCCTTTTAGAGACGCGAAATGTTGCAAGCGAATCTAGTAAAGGTGTTTCAGGAGAAGTCTCTTTAGGCCAAGAGCCTTGGCGACGTGTTGATATAGGAAGCATGCGATACTTGGGTTCCTGCGGCGTTTCCAATCTCCCGGCTATATCTGAAGGAAAGGATAGTGGTGTGATATCAGTATACGTCGCTGTTGACGGGAAGTTTGCTGGGACTATCTATGTCACGGTAGTGTGATCCCGAGAAACATAAACTTCACATGCTACATGCTTACCTTTGTAGGATGCTGTTAGAGACGATGCAGAGAAGACCATTCAACAGCTCCATATGATGGGTTATGCAACGCATTTGGTAATTGCTCGGCATAACCTCGAGGGAGCTTGTGACTAACGTCTATAGTTGACTGGCGACATGCCTCACTCGGCATATCGTATTTCCCAGCAGCTGAAGCTACCGGTGCTCGCATCCGAAGCAACGCCTCAAGACAAGCTAAACCTCATCAAGAGACTGCAGAAGGAAGGAAATGTCGTTGCAATGGTACGTACCCCACTCATGTCGGGCATAAGGTACTTCTGACAGTGCGTTATAGGTCGGGGATGGACTCAACGATGGCTTGAGCTTAGCAGCAGCCGACGTTGGTATCGCTCTTTATCACGACGTCGCTACCCCAACAGTCGGAGCAACGGTATTTATTCTTAACTCGCGGCTGGACTCTATACCCTTGTTGCTCGAAATTGCCGAACTGACCATGAAGCAAATCCGATATAACTTGGTATGGGTCTTTGGCTATAATGCCCTAGCGTTGAGCATGGCTTCTGGGCTCTTCTCTCCTTGTGGCATTGTCCTGACACCGTGAGTGGAATTTTCAACCCTTACTGAGTAGTGCTAACTAGAATATTCATGTAGACCGCTTGCTGCGGCTTGCATGTCATTCTCGTCAATCTTTTTGACGCTGAATGGGTTTTGGCTACGGAATAGGCTAGCTACAGTTTTTAGAGCAGAGAATTAGATAGACGCAATATAGCAGTAAGGTCTAATTGCGCAGAGACTCTCTATGATAAATTGAGCTGCAGGTGAAGTTTGATTCGATAGAGAGCTTGTCGAAATTGATCAGTGATCAAGTCGTTGGTTTGTTGATCCTGGTCTTGGCCCTCGGTTAAGAACTTCGGGCAGTGGCCCCGCATTCTCGGACCGTAGCGTCGGACTGAAAATACGCTAGTCTATTTCTGTAGTTCTCACGGTCCGGTTGTATGAGTCGTTGCATAAGTGACAGCATCAAATGGCCGTTGCTTCACCAAAATCTCACCTAATTTCCATATTGATCTTTATCTCCTGAGTTCCATTCAATCAGAGCTTTGCAAAAATCGCCAAAATGACCAAGCCTAGCATCAACTTCAAAGGTGACTTTGTCCAAATCATCGATGGGCAAAGCGCCCCCACCAAAGAATCTCGCCATGGATTAAACCCTGCAAACCTACAGGAGATGGCCAAAGTCCCCGTAGCGACTCAACAGGATCTCGATCGCGCAGTCGCAGCAGCCAAGAAAGCCTTCAAGACATGGAGAAAGACTCCTTACGAGGAGCGTCGCGAATCTGTTCTTGCTTTTGCTGATGCTGTTGACTCTCATCGTGATGAGTTCCAAGCTCTCCTCACAGCTGAACAAGGAAAGCCGGTAAGTGTTGACGGAATAGTGCTAGCATGATGTTTATGAAACTGATACAGTTAGATTCCTCAAGCTGCGTATGAGACTGACGCTGCTATTGAGTGGATGCGTGGCATGGCTCAGATTCCTCTGCCAGAGGATGTTCTCGAAGATACTGAGCAACGCACCATCATTAGCCGTTACACGCCCATTGGAGTCGTTGCAGCTCTTGTGCCCTGGAACTTTCCTCTTTTACTTGCCACGGGTAAGATCGCCCCTGCGCTATTGACCGGAAACGTGATTATTGTAAAGCCATCGTAAGTGCCCCTGTTCAAGAATTCCTGGTTAACATTGCTAACGTCTTAACAAAGTCCTTTTACCCCCTATGGAGGTCTTAAGCTGGTAGAGCTTGCCCAGCAGTTTTTCCCGCCTGGCGTGGTTCAATCTCTGAGCGGCGATGATAAACTTGGGCCTTGGATGACTAGCCATCCTGGCGTTGACAAGATCAGCTTCACAGGGTCTACAGCAACAGGCAAGGCTGTTCTTCGAAGCGCCAGCTCCACGCTGAAGCGCGTGACCTTAGAACTGTAAGCCTTCCTCCACTTTTCATGTCCCCTGTAATCACTAACTCGTTCAGCGGTGGCAACGATCCAGCTATCATATTTCCAGATGTCGATATTGACAAGACTGCTGAGAAAGTAGCCTTTTTTGCATTCCTCAACTCAGGTCAGATTTGCCTTAATCTCAAGCGAATCTTTGTGCACCAGAGCATTTATCCCCAGTTCAAAGAAGCACTTGTCAAGCATGTCAAGAGCTATACTTTAGGCGATGGGTCTAAAGAGGGTGTAACACATGGCCCGCTGCAGAATGCTCCTCAGTTTAAGCGCGTCAAAGGGTTCTTTGAGGATATCCAGAAAGAGGGCTGGAACGTTGCTGTCGGCGGCAAGATTGAGTCTTCCGATGGCTATTTTGTTACCCCTACTATCATCGACGTACCCCCTGAGACATCTCGCATCGTTGTTGAGGAACCATTCGGTAAGCTTCAAGTATTTGATATGACCTTGAACTAGACTGATTATGTATTCTAGGACCGATTGTGCCACTTCTCACCTGGAGCAGCGAGGAAGAGGTGATCGAGCGTGCAAATGATACGACTATGGGACTAGGCGCCTCTATTTGGTGCAATGATATACGTCGTGCTCACCGAATTGCACGAGAGATCCAGGCTGGCAATGTCTGGGTTAACACTCATTTTGACTTGACTCCAATGGCAGCATTTGGCGGACATAAAGAGAGCGGTATTGGAACTGAGTGGGGTGCCAATGGTTTGAAGGGCTTTTGTAACGTTCAGACCTTATTCCTGAACAAGAATGTCGTCTCGTAGTGACGTAGGCTTGTATGTAAGATTTTTGCAGTTTTTTATCTTCGTTTGATCTTCTCCAGTCGATTGTTGTGGAATTCGTCTATGTGTCTCGTTGGAATGGGATGGCACCAATTAATCTCTATAAGTATACGCAATTAATGCTGAAAGGAATACCGCTACTAATATTAGTCGCTCTAAATACCATAATTCTATGTATAGAGTCACTCGGAATTTATAATTAGTTAAGTGCCGAGATAAATCTGTGCTGAGCTACAAAGAGGACGCGTTGTTGTGATGCTGAAGGTTTAGCATTGAATGGAGGTGGCAGATCGACAGATCGCTCCAAACAAACATACTACACGGCTCCTCGTCTGGTTCAGTAGCCTATACCCTCTAGGTAGGGGCACTGAAAGGAACCGGGTAATGAGTCCCCGCTCGGTCCGATGCCCGGGTTCGCTATGCTAAGTTCGTCATGTGCCGTTGCCTTGTCCCGGACTACGGCTGATAAATCGTTCAAGACGCGGGTATGCACAATACCTCAGTGTTTCTCCTGCAGAAGTACTCCCCTTTCGTCAACAGCTCTTGGTTACAACTCACTACCAACAATTAGAGATGGCCTCTGTAATTCTCCCAATCATGACTCGCAGGCCCCTTTCTTCTTTCCGAGGGGTGATCAGCTCCGTGGGCTTATCTCGTCCGTTTATCCCGCATCTCACTCCAGCCATACCCTACTCAACATCTGCGCAGCCGATCTGCTCTAGTCCACCGAAGCCCTACCTTTTAGTCACTAGAGCTCCGAGATTCTCCATTGTGCAAGGTCCCACCATCCCTCCACTCTGGAACAGGACCCTCGGGAATCTAGTCAAAGAGCAAGCTGAGCGACGTGGCAAGAGAACTGCACTTGTTGTACCATGGCAAAACATTAGGCTCACGTATGAGGACCTCGAGTATCGCAGCTCTATCGCCGCTAAGGCCCTGATCAACGCAGGGTTGAAGCATGGCGATGCCGTTGGGATATTTGCTGGCAATCGCTTTGAGTACATCGAATTGTTCCTGGCATCTGCTAGAATCGGGTGTCCTTTTGTGGTGTTCAACACGACAAACTCAGCCCATGAGCTTTGCTCTGCTGTTGCTCGTAGCGGTCAGTCGACCAAACTCATCGACCATGCAGACCTCTAATGTCACTTCGCAGACTGTAAAGCCCTGTTCATTGCGTCGTCTATTGGATCTATTAAAACGGATGATCATGTCTACCAGGTTGCTACGACAGAAGTAGTCGGCGCATGTCTGGAGCAGCTTATTATGTTTGACCGATCTCCTTCGCGGGAGCTCTTTAACTGTCATAGATACGAAGACTTCCTGAATGACGGCACTAACGGACCTGTAACGAATCACCAACTTGAGCGAGCTGAGACTCGTGTTCGGCCTTCAGACGTATTGAATATGCAATTTACTTCTGGTGAGATGATATCTATCGAGGAGGTGGCTTTTCGACTCGCTGTACAGTCTCTAACATGTCACAAGGTACTACTGGCCTTCCGAAAGTCTCAATGCTCACAAACAAGTAAGGACCTAAGCTCTGTTGAGCTATCTTTAATTTACTAACAAGCTATTCTAGCAACTTGCTCAACGATGGTAGATACGTGGGGCATGCCATGAGACTCACCCAAGACGATGTCGTATGCTGTCCGCCCCCGCTGTTCCACTGTTTCGGTCTAGTCATGGGATTTCTTGCTTCCTTCACCCATGGTTGCACTATTGTCTTTCCTTCCGACAGGTTTAACGCGAGGCAAACTCTCGATGCAGTTGAGACAGAGAAGGCTACCGCACTACTCGGTGTCCCCACAATGTTCATATCGGAGCTGGAACAGATGGAATCACAGCCTCGGGAAATCACAACAGTGCGTACTGGTCTCGTTGCTGGCTCGCCCGTGTCGCCTAGCCTGATGGATGAACTGAGAGCCAAGATGAATGTTCAGGGAATGCTTATCGCATATGGAATGACGGAGACGAGTCCAGTGACCTTCATCACTTCCCTAAACGACCCAGATGACAGGATGCTGACAAGTCTCGGCCGCGTTCTTCCCCATACCGCAGCTAAGATAGTCGACACGGATGGAAACATAGTTCCTATTGGGGAGCGTGGAGAGATCTGTACCAGTGGGTTTGCCTTGCAAAAGGGATACTACAAAGATGAGGCCAAGACACAGGAAGCAATGAGACGGGATGAGAATGGCGTGTTGTGGATGCATACTGGTGACGAAGGCTACTTGGATGAAGAAGGTTACGGTTTCATCACTGGCCGTATCAAAGACTTGATTATCCGTGGTGGTGAGAATCTGTCGCCCAGCGAGATTGAGAACCAGCTGCTACGTCATCCAGCAGTCAGAGAAGCTTGCGTGGTGGCTGTCAAGGATAGGATCCACGGCGAAGTAGTCGCAGCCTTCTTACAGGCGTGCTCACAAGAGAAGAAACCATCAGATGGAGATATTAGGGATTGGGTTCTGCAGGATCTGAGCCCAGTCAAAGTTCCGGCTTTTATCTTCTGGCTTGGTCACGATGGCGTGGATGCTGAGTTGCCCAAGACGGGAAGTGGAAAGTATCAGAAGCATATCATTCGCGATATTGCAAATCGGCTAGCAGGGAGGAAAGCAGGACAGAGGATTGAATAAAGGTGGTCTTGATGATTGGATTACTCCAGGTCTGTTAATATGTTGCTTTCTGGTTCGTGCACCCATCTCAGCCTCTCTAAGGATTGCCTTGTTGCGTCTGCGATCAAGGCACATCGCATGGAGGAAGGGCCATTATAAGTTTACTTCTTTTATAGAGTTAATGCCATTATTATGAAAAGTGGCATAAATGTAGCCTATAGTTAGCATATATATATGTTAGCTAAATCATTTCCCATCATTTGATAATACTTCAAGTTACTGCCTGCTTACCAATCTTCCAAGGCTCTTTCTTTATCCAGCATCTTAACGGCCTCTAAGACCTCTGGAAGTCTGCTGTCTTTATGAAAGCTTGCAAGCCTAGTCCGAGCATATACCCGTGCAGGCTCCTGGACTAAGGGTGACGCTGCTACTGCTGATAAGGGCCATACAAGCCACCGCACTAGCGTCTGGCTCAGATAGGACTGAGAAGTCAGGCTCTGGAAAAAGGGCACACTGCAGAGGATATCTACGGCGACTTTGTCCGCGTTTGACTTCGTGTAGTCGAGAAGGTTGAGTCTATTCTGCGGGAGGGTGCCTGTACAATCATCGACCGTCGCATTGCAGTCAGCGAGAGCGGTGGCAGACCGGTGAATCCATTTACTGAGAAATAACTTCATTACACGCAGGATGTTCCAATACCGGGCTGACTGAGGGGTTGGATACTTGTGAGTAATGCCATTAAATGAACAGTCTGGGGCTTCAGTTGTCGGTATCACCTCGTAGGGGAAGAGTGTAGATGCTTGATCTAGCAGACAGTCTATCTGCGACACCAACTGGCATCCCTGAGCCACGATAACCTCGGGCGCTGGTGTGTCCTCTGCGTCTGTCGATGTCAACTTCGCGAGGAGTCGAGACATGGAGTCCAGAACTGCGCCAAGGTCGACCACTAGAGAGCTTTCGCCGCTTAAGTCACCCAACTGTGTCCGCATTTCTGATACAGTTGCAGGCACAGGAACACGGCGCTGCGCACATGATGCGTATGTATGATTGCTGACATCCGAAAATAGGGCACGGCCTAGGGCAGACTCGAACTGACGGGGTCCTCGCAGCTTGACGAGTTGGACGGCGCCATCTACATGGGATGTCCAGTTGTTTAACGAGTCACAGCGGTGGAAGGCAATAGCCTCGAAAAGAGCCAAGAGGAGCACTGAGGCAAGAGTGCTGTCATTGGCCGCTTTCTGTGGCAATGACAAGGCTGCGTTGATGTTCTGAATGGCCGCGAGGTAGTTCTTGCGAGCGAGGGTCATCAGTGACGGCTGCATGAGTTCGTAGGAGAGCATGGCCAGTGCAGGCGCAAGCATCGCCGGTGACGAGAGAAGGTCAGTTGGACAGTCGAAGGCTATAACTGATAAGAACTCCAACGACGCGGTTGGCGCGTACATAGACAAGAAGAATGCAGTCCCAGCATCCTGTGGTGACAAGGCTAAACTAGTACCCAGAGTCAATATGGCACCGCGGGGAATAGCTTCAGCCTTGGTGAGACGATGGGTCGGGGATGTGGCGGACAGAGAAGATGAGTCATCAGTGCGCCGAGACCCAGTTGAGATCGGTCCCTCAAACAGTGTATTGGGGGGTTCTAGCCCTCGACGCGTCGTTCTCTTCCCCCATCTGGAACGCGCCTTGTCAAGAACTTCGCTGGTTTGATCCCTGACGATAATAGCTTTTGGATCTCGGTACCCGGGACAGGGGATGTGCTTCCTGATGCACTGGCCACACGCGGGCTGCTGCTTGTCACACTGTGAAGACAAATGAGACTTGATTTGGTTTTCAGCATTTCAAGTCGTTCAGGTCTAACTCATCTTGCCTCGCTTTTTCTTGCACGCATGGCAAGCAGTAGACGGCCGGCCGCAGTACGTCATAGTGAGCAAAGATAGTGCCCTTATGAATTTTGGATAGTCGTGAGATGCTGGACGATGGCCTGAGCCCAGGACGGACCCTGTATTGCATTTGTCGAGTAGGTCGTTGTTATTTGCAGCGACTACACGTAATCATAATAGATCCACCTAGAAGCCGAAGTCCGAGAGAGTGGGGACGCTATTTCTTCTCACTGCATACTCAAATTGGCCTAGTCCAGTCCCTGTTGTTTTGCACTGAATACGCTAACTAGACGAAGCAAGGAGATGGCAAGTGAAAGCAGTTATGGTCAAGAGACATATAAATTACTTGACTCGCCGCCATCGCAGACAAAGTCTTTCCTCTGTCTTGACAGTCATAGACACAATTCTCTACCCGTCTCACACATATTGATGGTGCGTAGTAGACTACTACACAGACTTACAGGAACAAGTTAACAATATCATGGTTCTCGACTCGTGGTCAATCGTCGCTGTTGTTCAGCTAGCGGCCTACATCCCAGCAATCTGTCTCGCTATCTACATATGCAATCTCCATGGCTTCAGCAAGAGTTCAGGGTTTGTGGTAACTTGATGCAGTACGGCACGTTGCAAGAGCTGACCCTAAAACAGATGGTACTATACGGTCACCCTGTCCCTCTTTCGCATAGCAGGAGCTGCTTGTCAGCTCATCTCCATCAACAACAAATCTAAAGGTCTCCTGGAGGCTGTGATGATCCTCAACCATATCGGCCTGGTCCCCTTAATGCTGTCGACTCTAGGGATGCTGTCGAGGTTGTACGTATTCTACGTGGGTTTATGCATGCTTTTAGTCTTGTTGCTAACGTTTGTCTTATGTCAAATATAGAGCCGATGTCATCAATGCCCAGTTGACCGACCCAGCTATCTCGATTAGGTACGTCCGGTTAATGCAACTCATTATGCTGCTCGGAGCCGTGTTTGGAATCATTGGCGTGGAGAGCAAATCATCAAGCGGCACCTCTCCCTCTGCTTGGTCGTACGTTGGTGTTCTCTGCTATGCAGCAGGGTTTTGCTTGCTGGTCGTGGTTCTGGCCAAATCAATATCGGTTGTAAGCCTGGCGCCTGCGAGAGAGCGCATCCTTGTACCGGCCGTCGGCCTCGCTCTCCCGCTCGTATGTATTCGGCTGTTGTACCAGATTTTGCTGGTGTTTATCCATTCGGGGCATTTCGTGCTGATCAAAGGATCGGTACTTGTCTTTGTCTTCATGTGTGTTGTGGAGGAGTTTCTTGTTGTCTGTATCTTTCTATTAGTCGGACTCAGGCTCGAAAGACTTGACGAGTCCCAACAGGGACCTATCTTGTCGCGCAAACGGGATCGGCGTCGAGACCGGCGTCATTACAGGCGCGGTGAGTCTGATCCGCAACTGTAGAACTCATTATGAGGTCAGATCTAGAAGGCAGAGAGGAGCGAAAGGAGGAGAGAAAAAGGCTAGGAGGGTTAAGAAGTAAGAATTACTATCAAGAGAGTGAAAAAGAAAAGTTTGCAACTTAATGAGATATTTTGATGAAAGCAAAAATTAAGATATCTCAAGTTGACCATATCAAGCTACCTAGATCATACAGTAGGGTCAATCCGACCAATCAGGCAGGGCTGGGCTGCTCACAGCGCAACACTGGAGCATGGCTCTATTTCATAACGTCCAGGTGAGGAGCTGTGACGCCTGGATATGTGACGCGGTTGGCGCCTAATGAAACAGGGCTGTATCGGGTTAATAATCTTGCACTGCCGGCGGGGCGTTCCAAATTCATATAAAGATGCCTGTTGCAACCAACACTTCGCTGCAGCTTACCAACACCTGTTTTCTTCGCACTTACCATCCTTCAAACTATAATTCCTCTATTTCACTGCATCTATTGCAATAATGTCAGATAATCCACCACGCGACAAGCCAATAACTACATGGTTCAGGTTCAAGCTTCCAGAGGACATTTTGCTAGATGTATCATTATTCCATGCTCTGCACCCGACTATGGAACAGTGGACACATGTTCGTCTCTGAAAATAGCCCTTGAATAAATTTTACTCACCTTTGCCAGGCCTGCTATGGAAGGATTAAGGAATCTCCACGAGACTGTGTGCTTCTAATTAACTGGGATCGCACCAGATCATGGCTGGAGTTTTCGCAGTCAGATAGCCATGCAGAGCTGCTTTCCAGCCTCGGCTCTCACTCAGATGTTCCAGTAGTCGGTGAGATCATCGACTTCGCCAGGGACTACGTCACGATTGCGATATCTTCTCATACCGAACTCAAGAGAGTCTATTTCCCACCTTCAATCTCACAAGAAACTCGCCGTGCCGTATGGGACAGAGTGCGACATCTGGGGACTACAGCTGCCTATGGTAAGAAGTTTCAGCATAGATACCCGTACAGAGCAACCCCGAGCTTGGGATGGGTTGACGGAAATGTAAAATGGGAGGGGCAAGATGCGGTAGCATGTGTCTGGGTTCATAAGTGGAAGGATCAGGAAGCTGAAGAGAAATTCAAAGCCACTGAGCGATATCCGCACATGAAGGATGGCGAGCTCATAAAGCCTCTAACTCTTGATCTATTTGAGCAAGGCCTGAGGGATTTGGGTGCCTTGGGTTGGGAAGAGTGCCACGTTGGCTTTGAGACGAGGTGCTACATCCCGTAATCAAAGCGATAATTAAGTAGTGTTGTAACATTAACTCTCATAGTGCTGGACAATTGATAGCTGGCAACATCACCATAAATTACCCTCCTTGTTGTCGCACTGAATTTTCGAGGGCCCCCCGGCACTTGCAATTGCCCTTTCCACACAGCCCGCTTTGATAGTTATCGGCAAGGTGAAGGTAAACCTATGTCGCGCAGTCCATCCATCCCCTGTCTCAACTTCAATCGCACTTGAATGCCAATCCGTCATTGCTCCACAGCCTTTTTCTTCACTCTTCAGCTTCTTCCCGTCGTCGTCTATCCAGCTGTAGCCGTTTGCCACAATTGTCACTGTGTAGAAGAGGGGAACGGCAAGGCCATCCTCGACTAGCTCGCAGGCAGCCTGGGGTTCAGGCGCGGGACCTTGCTCGCAGTTGGGAGAGTGGCACGGGTAGTGGGTGCATACCATGCCATCGGCGTCTGTTGTTGTCGTTGCATCGTCTTTGCAGTTGGGCATACAAGCAACCTGTTATACCAGTTAGACCACTTTCTGATGATAGATATAGTTGGACTACTTACGATACCGCCCTCTGCCGTAAAGGTGAACCTTTTCACATCGACATCTGATGTTTCGAACAGCAGCTCAACATAAGTGCCAGCTGTAGGTATTAGCATCGTCTAGAAGCACGGAAAGAAGAGGCATCTTACTGGAGTCATCGGGAACTTTCCACTTGATCTCAAGATCTTTCCCGCCATCTCCACTCTCAATATTATCGTCATCGTCATTCCCAACCTTCCAACCCTTGACGGCTTCTTTGACATCATCATCATCAATCAGAAACTTCCAATCCGACCCTTTATCATCCGAGACCGGGATAAAAAACTTTAGGGGACCGCCCTGAGTCGGTATTGCTGCATGTGCTGTCGCCGTGTAGGTTTCGTATCCCGCGTCGCAGAATGGTGTAATTTCTGGTGTCGTCATGGTAACAGCTGCTGTGTTGACCCAAGATGCACAAGTGGGCTTCTCGACACATGCTTGTCGGTTACCAGAGCCTCCACATTCTGTGTAAGTGGCTGTCGAAACGCAAGAGAAGCCAGACGACGTTGGAGCATCAATAGAAGGAGCCCGGGTGAGTGTGGGGAAAGACTCGGTAGTAGCTTCGGTCGTTGTGACTTGGGATGTAGGAGATGCGAGTCTGCCAAACTTTTTATCGAGTCGAGCTTGTGCTGCATCTGCTATGTCGTTGAGCTGCGCTTCTGTATACTCATCGATGTCCCATTCCTCCCATGTGAGCCTGGTGGCCGTTACAGTAGGGGTCTCCGTGCTAACAGTAGTTGTTTTAGAGATGGTTTTCGAGGAATTTTCCCCTTCTACATCACAGCCGTATATGGTGCCGCAAGTGGAGATAGTACTCTGTGCTGTTGTAGAAGTGATAGTCCCATCAACAGAAACCCCATAAGAAGTGGTGGTGATGCACATCTCAGCTGTCTCAGTCTTACAGTCTTTGGGCTTGCTGGAGAAGGTTGGGTTACCGGCGGGGTCGATACTAAGATATGCGGGTTAGCCTGAAATACCAGGAGCGAAGGATCTTGACAGCTACATACGTGAATCCAGGCCAAGGGATAGACCCTGTGATATCCACCTTGATAGGTGCGGTGGGGTCGATCTTGATAATCGGATGGGGACCACTAGAGAGGTCAGTTTTGGTTCAACGTAACATATGCCGTACTAGAAAAGCTTTATACGTACGGTAGATGCGTCCCAGGAGGAAGCACGAAGCTCCATCCGCCAATGGGAGCGAGACATAGATCAAAGAACCACATGTCGCAGGGAATCTTGATACCATTATCGCTTGCCTGTGGATCTGGTACTGGTGTTGTGATTGGGATGATAAGGGGAACGACTCCGGCCGTTTCAGTGGACTTTGGACCCTTTGTAATATCACTATTACTATGCTTGGGCAGTGTTGTGACCTGACCATCAGGCAATGTGGTTACGGGGTTGACGGTTGACTGAGACTCAGAAGCTGTAGTAAGTCGTTCCTTGGTGACGGGAGAACTATTAAGGGGATCATCTGACTTGGTGGCGTCTGTACGACTCGACTGATCAGTGTCTGGGATGAGGTCGACCGATGTTGGCGGAACAGATGCAACAATGGAACTGGGCTCCTGACTGTGATGTTCACTATCAGTGGCGCCTTGGGATGAGAGAAGGGAATCAAGTGTCCCAGTTGGGAAAGTTGCCGTGATAGGAGCGTCTGTTCTAGTGATCGCTGTTGAGAGAGTGCCAGTAGGAACCAAGAGGGATGTAGGAGTTTGATTCATGGGCAGAGTTGTGTCTGGAGTCGAAGCCGTGGGAACACCACTAGTCGTACTGGGGGTGACTATTGTATTGGTACTCCTGTCGGCGTCCCCAGGAGAGTCAGTGGTGGGCTTATAGACTGTCTCGGAGAGGTCTGTTCCTGGTGAGAAAGGCTCGGTGGAAGAAATGGCAGTCACCAGGCCACCAGGTAAAGTTGTGACAAAGGCTGGCTTAGACGCAATGGGGACGACTTGGGTGTTTGGTAAGGTGGCATCTCCATCTGGAATATCATGGCTTGCATCTGATGGCTTCCCGGGCCTGTCAGTTGTCGGCTGGCCATCGAGAATGGTAGTAACGTAGCCAGTACTGGACACTACCTCGTTAGAGGTGGAGGTAGTAGTGACGTGGTTACTTGGCAACGTTAAGACTGGGGGACCTGCTGTGATAAACACATGTGATTGTATGGAGGATACCCTTGTGTGCTCTGATAGCCCTCGTTCTGGAGTGACTGTAACGGGAAGGGATTGATGGGTTGTGGAGAGTTTGCCGGAGATATCTTGATCAACTGTCGGGGAAGATAGTGCAGGCTTACGGAGAGTAATGATGGTAGTTGGGTCAGCAATGGATGGAAGTGGAGGTCCACACATTCTATTAGCACCACAGGTCCATCCTTCTGGACAGCAGCCTTCACGACAACACGCTTTATCTAAGATACTATAAGCCAACATCAGATACGAGGTAGGTAGTTGATCTTACTTGGGCCACAGATATGCTCTAGCCATCCGTCTCCAGGAGGGCAACAGCTTTCGTCTTGCAGCAGAATACGGCAGTCGCCGGTGCACAAGCAAGACCCATCAGGGCATGTTGACCTAACTGGCGAGCTTGACACTGCCGCCAGATTGAGGGCAAAGAGCAACAGCCACCGTGCGGCTGGGATACTCATAGTTGAAAAGGTTGAACAGATGTAGACAAGTGATAGGAGGGGAGGATCTTGAAGAAGAGAATATCCAAACCAGTTCGTAAACAAGGGATATTATGAGAAAGTATAAGAAGATTGAACTAAATAAAATCAAGCTGGGGACTTCTATTGTCGTGCTATACTGCCATATAAGATTGGGCTGTCAGTATGTACATATGGGAGGTAGCTGTTTAAGTCTTTACAGATGAGGAAAGCGCCGATGTACTACTATGACTGTCACAATGCCTTGTTATAAATAGAGTAAGGCTGTATCCAATGTCATGCACGCAACTGAAGCAGGAGCATCTTTGAAACGGCTGGCGCATATACGAAGCAGACATGGACATGGAATAGATCCTACTTGACAATTGACGCGCCACACGTGTCGCGGCGTCAAGGCAGACAGCAGGGCAGCAATAGATTGATCATGCTCTCAGAAAGCCCGATTGGTTATGTGGACAAGCCTCAATTGCGGTATTAATATATCGTGATGCAGGCATGATGGTACTTTGTTGGCTTTGGGAATTATGGTCTGGTGATGGGGCCAACAGCTGCATTGTCCAAGCGGTAATACCGCGCGGCTGGGGTACCATTTCTTTTTTTAATTGAGTCATGCAGTAGACTCTCGACATTTGGGTAGCAGCCCGAGGCTGAGCTGCAGAAAGGATTGTTTCAAATGAATTTCTCTCGGGACCAACAGAGTGGATGACCAACAGCCAGTACCAGTGCTGGTGCTTTCTATAATTGCATCACCTGTTGGGACATTTCTAACCAATACGGTTCGGCGCTGTTGGCCCCCAGAACCCCTGCCATAACTTTATGTGCTCGGTGTTTCCACTCACTGCGGGCGCTTAGACGAGCACGACGCTGATCATTCGACATGGCATGCACCACCTTCTTGTTCATGTTGGTGCTCAGACCTTTGGAACCAACACGCAAGAAAACCACGGAGAGTGCCTTCGCGTACATTGCCGCAATTTGTAATGGGTCCTGCAGTAAGAACATGATTCTTGGCTCCCACGAATGTTTATACTTAAGCAGAACTGGAATCTCTTGAGTTCCAGTGCCACTCAATTACCATTGAACCCCATAAACTACATATAATTGTACACTCGCCTTCCTCGCATATCTTCTCATATATCCTTCCATCCTCTTTATTACTGCTGAGCTCAGTCAGTCACTCTTGCTTTGCTTTGCAGCCCCCGTCAACCGATCTTTCGTCTCGTCTTGTCGTCCGTCCCCCTTTCCCGTCATGACTTGGCTTCAAATTCCAATCCTCTTTTCCTATAGAGCGTTGTTACTTATACTTCTTGCTCAATACGCCCTGGGTTCGATTGACTCTGTATTTAACATTAAACAAGGCGGTGTTGGAGTCGGTGGATGCAATGCTCACAAAAGCAAACTCAACAGATGGTGGACAGATGCAAGAAAGCTCGTCGACGCTGCTCTCTTGTACGCACAAGATGACAGCGTTGATGGACCTGAATACGTCTACACCTTTTTTGCATTAGACCCCCCTCCTTCCGATGCTGAGTACAGAGCACAAGCGCGCGGTATGTTCTCAATCCCCCAATCTCACAACACCCTGGATAGTCAGTTGCTGAACCGTTCAAATAGCTAGGTTGCTGTTGGTCAAGAGGTTTATCGATGGCGATTTACAGCTCCCTACCGGTAAACCCTGGCTTTTCTGTTCGAGCAAGTGGTTGGAGCGTAAGTGTGTGCTGTCCCTGCTAAGTCACTATTTGAATAACGTGGCCTACGTCTAGGTATGGACTGGGATGACGTTGCCTATGATAAGGAGACAGGCGACAGGTTTACAGGTGATGACGCCAAGAAGGTACGAGATGTATATCATGAACCAACTCCACCTCCAGATGAAGCAAACCAGCCAAAAGGTGCGTAGCCAGGTGCCAAGAAAATCACACTTTCCCTTACGGTCTGTCCGACTGACATTTCCTCAGAGTTCCCATTTTGGTCCTCGGACATCAGGGAATACTTCACAGATGAGGCTGATGACTATTGTACGAAGAAGGTCGACGGACTTGCCCAGCACTTTGGCGCTACTCATGAGGACCTGACGTGGAAAGCAGTCACCATCTGTGTCCAGAACTTGGGAAAGAATGCTAAAACTGAACATTTGCGCCTTGGAAGAATCCAAAAGGAGGGTCAAAGTATTGTGGACTACAGAGCAAAGTCTATGACATTATTCCATGAACTCTTCCATGTTGTCCTAGGCAATGCGGATACCCAGGAGCATGAAAAAAGCTGTAAGTCCAAAGATAATTACGTAATGGCATGGTCTAATGAGCCATTAGATGAGCTGAAGTATATTGCGAACCCTAGGAAAGAGGAAGGTGAGGACCCTGGCGATGAAGATCAAGACATCATCTCCACGCAGGAGGCCTTGTATAACCCGGAATCCTACACCATGTATGCTCTTTCTTGCATTCTTGGGCAGACAAATAAGCATCTCACGTTCGCTAGTACAAGGTCGAAGCTCAAAAAGACCGAAGATTCAAAGGATAAGGATAAGAACAATGGAGGGTCAGAAGGCGCTGGTCATCGAAAGAGGCTGATGAAGGTTTGACTTTGTATAAACTTCAAAGTATTATAGTAATATATATCATAATACTCTATATGATGTTGATTAAATGTTAGATATAACAGTTGGTGATTGTATTGCGTGCCTTACTAACTAGGTGATCTTGAATGGAGTTATAGATTATTTCTTCCAAGACGGACGGGCTTGATGCAGACTACAGAATGGTTAATAACAGGATACTTGATTTAATTCCCCAAACAACTAATGTCCTTCATTACAGCCAGGCTAAAAATTAGAAATAAAAGTCTAGAAGAAAGATATTTCAAGGAAAGCCTCCACCAATATAGTGTTATCTGCATGTTAAAGTCCCCAGGAAAACCTTCATCTTTAACATTAATGTAGAACAAGAAGGCATACCAGATAACAAGCCACACTTTGTTTAAGAAACAGCAGGGAAGAGCGGCAGTATTACTGAACCAGGATTTCGCCTTGGTAGAGTAGTAGTGGGAGAGGAGACAAGGACTGAGAGTGACAATGAAGCGGCGACGCCGACGGAGGGCTTTGAACATATAACGCACCTTCCTGTAGACAATGGTGTGCTCGTCGCGGGGTGTAGTGACTTGGATGCAGTCCCTGATTTGGATTTAAACTTTGGCGTCTTGTCATGCGAGTCGATGTATCCAGAACATCTTTCTGTAATAAGTCAATCGGAAGTGACACACCGAGGGCTTTTTGCCTTATTCGTCCCAAGCTATTGTATGCCATTATGTACTAATTGTTTAATCACGATTGCTATTTTTAGTAGGCTAAGGAACAACTGCGGCCTTCAAGGTTAAGCTTTAGGCTGCGAATACAGGTGATAAATGACAACATGATATTTCCACAATAGTGCGATTTGGATAGAGCGGCCCGATAACAGAGGGAGGGCGAAACTCGGATGTATAATACATTCACAACCAGCTCACTGTGACGCGGTAACCATTTTATTATCCCACTGGCTGACTCAGCCACATTTACATCAAGCAAGATGGTATGATGAATGGCTTGTCCAACGGTACTAAAGCGGAATATCCGTATCCGAAAACTGATCGGATATTCCATAAACGGCATAATATGATGCTACCCTAAGGCGAAAAACCAACTGACTCGTGGTTACCCTTAAATTGTACCAGCCATAGGTGGAAACGGCTGGTTTTATGTTCCATAGACTTATACACCCAAAGGACCCTGATGCCATTTTCATGCATCCTTGGCAGAGACCCTGTTTCTAAGACCTATCCCACTCGGAAAATAGTAAGCAATTTCGTACGCAGAGGCGGTCAAAATGCAGTGGCAGTCAACACTATAGCACGGGCCAGGTTTAATTGTATTTATGCTCGTCGACTAGCCTCAATTCTAAACTTTACTCAGCATCGCAAACTACAAACTTTCGTCTTCTACATCTTCCAGCATGCGTTCTACTTCTTCCTTTTTGACGGCCGCGTTGGTTCTAGGGCTGAACTCATCCCTTGCCTAGGCCCAGATCAAGCCCATCTCTGAGTTCTTCAACATCACTTCCTTTCCAAATGAGCAGAAAGAGAACGTTACGCGTCTTCTGAATGAAGGCAGGCGACTCGCCACCGATAGCTCGATTCACCAGTATTTCGTGGATCAATGCATCACCCAACAGGTGTATCCGGCTATGTTCACTATGCCCCCCTGGCTTTGTGGATCCCTTCGCGGCTTTTGACAAATTCTTTTTCGTCGGCCATGCATATGTTCATGCCTGGGCGTATGATACTGGCGATGGCTTGGTTGTGATTGATGCTCTTGATAATCAAGACGAGATTGAGAAGATCATGATCCCCGATTTGGAAAAGCTAGGCTACAAGGGTAGCGATATCAAGCACCTCATAATCACACACGAGCACATTGACCATTTTGGGGGAGCCAAGTATATTCAGGATCAGTTCAATGCTTCTGTCTACGCCACCGAGGCGGCATGGGAGGGCATGGCTGAACAAGGCAAGGATGGCAACACGCCAGTCCCAGTCAAAGACAAGGTGGTAGTCGACGGCGATGTCCTCGAATTTGGAAATATCGCATTTGAGATTGTGCAGACAAAAGGGCATACTCCCGGCACGCTTTCACTGATCTTCCCCGTCGTTGACAAGGGCAAGCGTCACATGGCTGGACTATCTGGTGGCACCGGAACGCCAGCAGACAAGACTTCGCGAGAACAGAAGATCACGTCGCAGAACCGCTTTGCCGAGATATCCAAGAAGAAGGGGGTTGATGTCCTTCTCTCAAACCACAATGTCGCCGACCACAGTCTTTACAACGCCGATATTCTCGCCCATCGTGCCCCAGGTGCATCCAATCCGTATGTCGTTGGAGTCGATAACTTTTACAAGTACATGAGGATCAACACACTGTGCAGCCAAGTTATTGCTGCTCGTCAGGGAATGGACTTGGATGTTTAGTCTGTATGTTTGAAAGTTGGGTGTCAATTGTTCCATGTCCATGGATCAGATATAGTTATCTCAGAGTTAGAATTCTTTTTAGATAAATATTCTTCAATTAGTTTTAAATACATAAGATCAGGCTGCCTTGAGACCCTTTCCCAGAAAAGTCTTTTCACCAAACTCCTGTTCCGCGACCTGGAAAAGAGGGAGACCCTGGAAGTATCCATTGCCTGTTGTTCCAACTGCCTCCCAGGTCGATTTAGCTTCATGCTCACCAATTGTCAAGAGTGGTTTTCCTGACCCTGCCGAGCTTGCGTCCGCCAAAAGTTGGATTTGACAGCATCTCTCCATCAGCACGAACCATGCGATAGTGGCCTCAATCGTGGGCCCGACTGTCATGATACCGTGGTTGCCCAGAAGAGCTGCTTTCTTGTTACCCAGAGCTGCTGCAATGTCTTTGCCTTCAGCTGGGGCCAGCACAAGCCCGGAAAAGTTCGACCATAAAATATGATCGTTCCAGAATACGCAGAAGTCCTGGGTGAGCATATCTAGTGTCCTTCCGGTGGCGCAAAAAGCTCGTCCGTAGGTACTATGCGAATGGGCTGCGCAGAGAACACCAGGGCGAGCTTTGTGTATCTCTGCATGAATAGCGTAGGCCGCTAGAATGACTGTATTAGAAAATCGGTATTCAAGCCAGTTCAAAAGGGAACAAACCATAATTCAATCGCTTGTTTCTTCCTCCCTCGACTACCTTACCCTCATGACTGATACGAATCAAATCTTCGTCACGGATGAGCGAGAAGTGTAGCCCTGTGCAAAATGAGGTTAGTAAAACTGTGTAAAGACAGGCGTAGGATCATATGCAGTCTGCAAATGACATACCGAAAGGGTTTACCCAAAAGCTGTTGGGATCAACAGGATCTCTCACAGTTACATGTCCAGCGACGCCTTCAGCAAGACCAAAGTTTGCTAGCACTCGGAATCCTAGTGCTAGTCGGTGCTTGACATACTTGCGCTCCTCATAGGGATCATCAAACGTGGGAGCTTTCTCCGCTTCATCGTCGACGAAAGCCAGACTTGGGTCTCCACTTCGATATTCTTCCGTGTTTGATGAGGGCGACATAATGACGGGTGGTTGAGAACGTTGTATGCGTATTGAAGTGTTTAGATCAAAGCTGTAGTCTGTAGATGATAGGGTTCATAACATCTGACATTATATATCTGGATATCTCGGAATATTATTCCGACTTACTATCACAAAGCCTTTACCTATTTGAGGAAGCCTCGGAATGGTGATATTTGCCAGCAAATCACAGGCAAAGTTCAAGGCCATTACTTGTCATATCCGAAATAATGTGCTGTTCGGGGTCGGATCTAAAGCCTCGCCTTACTCTGACCCCGCAGTTCGGAAAGACAGTCCAATAAGGTACTGACTGGTCCAACTGCACTATACTGTATGCGGCCGCGATTAATCGCCTGATGCACTTTGGGATGATCGAGTACCATAATTAAAGCTAGGTTGAATGTACTTATCCGGAATTATAAGATATCTGTTATCAAACTAGTTACGACGTGTAAAGAACTTGCTAAACTCTACATTACTCTCAAGCCTCTCCAAAGTTCCACTGCTATATTGTACAATCAGTTCCAGTCCATGGCCTTCAGCATGGCGTGGTGGTAGGATGATGCACCGGCCGTCAGGCTTTCCCTCAGTGTCTCCAACCGTAACGCGAAACGCAGAAGGATATCCCAGATCACGCCCGAAATAAATGTCATCATATCTATGTGCTTGAAGACAGACTATGAGCATGTCTGGGCCAGGGTATCGGTCAACATTCCAGGTCAAGGAAGTACTCTTGGGCATCTGATTGAGCAGTCCAACGAGGCGCCTTACTGCTCTGTTGTTGACTGCAGCAATGGCTCGCTTGACACTAGTCGCCAACTCCACATAGATCGTGGGTCCGTCTTCTTCATTCTGTAGACGAGCGACAGATGCTCTGGCGACTGCGTTCGGCTCCGCAAAATTCCCCCAATAGTTGGATGGGAGTGGAGGATCTTCCATGCGTTCCCTCGCATCAACAGTGATTGATAGCTTCGCCTCTGGGTATCGATGGTGGTCTATCTGCCTGGCAAGAACAACGTGGCGCCAAAGAAAAGCACATATAGCTTCAGTTGTGCTCAGCTTTTTGTTCGTAGCGCTTTTTAGGACATGGTTCTTGAGAAGAGAAAGCTTTTCTGCAGAGATGGAGAATATCCCATGCTCAGTAGACTGAGCCTCGGCAGCTTCGTAATTTGTCGGGTTCAGAAAGGTGGAAGAGGTCTCTGTGAGCTTCCAATCAGGAAACTCTTCTAAAGTCACGCCTTGTTCACCCTCAACAACTGAGCTTCGTTCAAGGGGGGTAATTGGAAAAACTCGGAGGCCGAGCTCTTGGGTAATGGCGGCCAAGTGCATGCCTATTGTCTTGTGCAAGATAAAGTTGCACACGCCATCGCCCGCCACATGCTGCATTTCACTCAATATCTGTACGGGAGAATAGTAGGACTACGATGTTTGTGTTGCACCAGTCGCATCGCGGGTGGCCATGCAACAGGAGAAAGAAATATGTCGCGCGGGTAACGTGGACTTACATGAAGACAGGTCCCGAGTATAAGGCCTCCACATATGAAGTTACACTGAAGCACCAGCGCCGGAATACTGGCACCGGACACGAGCTTTGCAGATGTGCCGAAGATGATGTGTCTCGGGATATTAAGAGGAAAATAATCCCTCTCAAGTTGGTGGAACGTTCCGAACTTCCATAAAGTCCGAAGTTCCGGTGCCGTGTAATCCTTGTAGTTGAGTCTGGCGCCCTGCTCCATATCGAATAGAAGCTCAACCTCTTCCCGAGTGCTTCCGATGGGCTGTCGCACAGAACATGCGAGTTCCGGGATGTCAATGATCGTGTTGACCAAGGCTCGCTCGAATAGATGAAAGATATGTCTCTTATCCGCATTTTGTGACACAGGAAAATACAGGCATGATGAGATGTAGTCTCTTGGAGCGATTTGATCAATTGCTGATAGTTTGACTATCTTTCCATGGGCGCTTGGCTGCGGCTTAATGGTAGTAGAGGTAGAGCAGGTGGATGGAGTGAATGGAATGGCAGTGGACATGTCGAAAATACTGCTTTAGTGATGTCAAGCTTTAGAAATGCGTATGTGCAAGAAGAATTAGTTTGGAAAGAATTCCAAGATGTCCCGGGCAGATCATAGATAAAACAATACGAGAATCTGATGCGTTAGACACTAGATGCCGAGATTGTAAGTATCTACCCCAAACATTCTGTTATTGACCCACGGACTCAAGAGAATCCGAACGATTTCGTATTACGCTTTGACCAACACATGATTGAGACGATATGCTGCACCAGTACTCCGTACTTGAGTCTTGTTTATCTGACACGTTGCGATAAAGCTTGTGCGCATTCTTCTCCTTGACTGCAGATCTTTATACGAAGGGAGCTATGTGATCGGCGCTTTTGGTCCAAGCGCATGCTATCTAACGTACCTGATAGGCGATATCGCTAAGACAAGATTCGACAGTGACATGTGACAAAACAGCGGTCCGAGCCACAGCTGTGCAGGGTTTAGTTTTCATTCCGAAGCTTGCAAGTGTAACGCAAGAAACACTACGGAGTAACGGGTAGATGATCGACCTTTTATCGTACGTTCAACATTTTCGTGGCCTTTACTGTGTTGAGTTTAGATTGCGAAAATGAAAAGGGTGTAGTTATAATAAAGCTGAAACGGAGGTCAAAGTCAGGATGATATTACAGAGCAGCATTGAAGGGATAAGCGTGATTGCTTTCACATGGCTCGCCCGATATCGTACAAAAAGATAACCGATGTTCTCTGAGAGAATTGCCTTATCTCTTTAAAGAACGAGAAGCAACTTTACTAAACCAATGTCTGCAAACAGAAACAACGAATCAGCCATGTCGAATTCATGGGTCGAACCAGCGGCCCCCGTACAGCCTTCCATCGTCAAATGCTCCGCCCTCGACAACCTCACCGCTTCAGTGTATCCTTCGCCTACACACTTCTTTCCTCTGAAACCGGAATCGGACCCTCGACAGCTCTACGAAGACTGCAAGAAAGGTCTCTCCCGATGTATCTATGAGCTTCCACACCTCGCAGGTGTTATCAGGAAAGACGAAACTGGACGTTGCGCCATTGAGATTCAAGAGGCACCGCATGCTGGCACAAACTTCTGGTATCGGGATCACCGTCACGACGCAGACATGCCTTCTTACACTGAGCTCAAGATCAACGGGTGGCCGTTTGGCGATGGCGAACAAGATGGCCTTGACAAGCTTCGACCAGGGGATTTTCCCTGCGTCCAAGATGGCGATCCTATAATTGCACCTCAGTTCAACGTCATCAAGGGCGGTATCGTCTTGACCATGTCGATCACGCACGTGATAGGTGACCTTGTCCAGTTCATGGACTTTCTCCGGTCTTGGTCACAGAACACGAGCGCGATAGCAACTGCCAGACTTGATGGCCAACCTGTACCTCCACTCCCGAAGCAAATATCGGCGGACTTGATGGATCGCTCCTTGTTGACACCTGAAGTGGGTATTGAGGAGGATCTTGACAAGCTCGGAGCTCGTGCGGCGAAGCTTCACCATCTTGACATGCTTGACCCTCGATCTCCAGAAGAAGTTGCGGAGAAATTGTCAAACCTGTTCACAAAGGCGCGCCTAACCAATGACGATCTGGTGAGGTTTACCGAAGATGAGCTTCGCACTCTGTCTTGTTCTGTCTGGACTTTTTCACAGTCCTCGATAAAGCAGCTACAGAACATGATCCAAGAGGTCTTGCCCAGTGGCTCAAAAGTGTCGGCTACGGATTGTTTGACCGCTTTCTCATGGAACCGACTATTTGGCGCCAAATATGCTCCAGGGGTACCAGGCCCAGATCCTCTACCTGAGACTAGCAAGATTGTCTTCGCTGGAAGTATTCGTCGTCGGTTGACCCCTCCATTACCCAACAACTACATGCCTGCCTGCGTGGACTTGTTCCCTGTGTCTGTGGACACCAGCGACTTTATCTCGCCAGACCCCAAAACACTAGCCCATGCAGCAATGGCAATTCGCAACAGCAATAACACTTGGAGCGAGGAAACCTTTCGAGAGATGCTTGAGATAGCCCACTCACATCCTGTCAATCCAGGTCTGATACCCAAAGCGCCCATCGATGCACTTGTCACGGATCATACACGAGCAACTGCAGCTATGCTATCAAGTTGGGGTCCCGAGCTTGGTTCTTGCGAAGCCTTCAGAGAGCCGTATCTTGGTAGAATTCCGCCTCATGGGGAGATCACCCTCCTGCCTCGATGGACTAATGGCGATGTGGAGGTTATGTTTGCTGGAGAGGCTGTTGTGATGGAACGGTTGAGAAGCGACCGGCTTATGAACCAGATGGCCACTTGTCAGTTTGTTATCGGTGATCCTAGGTTTCAATCGACTCGTGGGAAATATGTCTCAAAGCTGTAGTAGATACAGCAATAGCCGTTCGATATCGCGGCTCAGTGTAACTAGGATATTCTATTTATAATACTAGCATGGCGGAGTTGCTCTAAAGCCACTGTATCATAATTGAGCTCTATTGGCCTCGTTACCATCTTCGTCAAAATGAATCTTATTCCCCATAATCATAGACCGTTGCAAAGCGGCGCCGATGCGGACTGCCGTTACCGCTGATTCTAGCTCAACAGGCACTGGCTTGTCATCCAGCACGCATTCGGTAAACTCGATAGCCTCCCTTGTGAACGCTGCTTGGAATCGTCCCCAGTAGTTTTGCGGGAGCTCATGCCTGATACCTTCCTGTCCATAAATCCGAACGTGGTTCTCAACAGGGATCAAGTTCACAGACAGCTTACCCTTTGTTCCGATAATCTCTGTCGTATCCTCTTGACCAGCAGCCATCATTCGTGAGGCATACAAATACGCAATGCGCCCATCGTAGAATTCGACAATGCCCACGGCATTGTCTCTATCATCATACTTTCGGAGATCCGGTTCCACTGCCGTGATTCCTACAGCGTGTACTGATCGAACCTTGGACTCTTGACCGAAGAACCATAGAGCCAGGTCAATATCATGAATACTGCAATCAACGAAGATACCACCAGAGAACTGGGCATATGCGACAAAAAAGCCTGAAGGATCTAGCACATCGCAAGTCTGGCTCCTAAGAACAGATGGGCGGCCAATCAAGCCTGACTTTGTTTTCTCGTATGCGTCGCGGTATGAAGCATCGAAACGGCGGGAAAAGCCACACATGACTTTGAGATCGGGGCGGGTAGCAGCGGCATCAACAACAGATTGAGACTAAATCATTAGCATAATGCGAACCCCGTCAAAAAGAAACACTCACAATCTCGACCGTTGTGCCGAGGGGCTTCTCGCACAAGACGTGCTTGCCTACCGCGATAGCGGCATTGGTCTGTTCAGCATGCACCGCAGTGGCAGAGGCGACGCAAACTGCATCCAAGCCCACGTGGGCTATCATGTCAGAGTAGTTCTCATATATGGCTACCCCGTCAGGGGCGAGGTTCTCGGCAGCCCATTCCCTCTCGGCAGCATCAGGGCTAGTGACGGCGACTAGAACAGCTCGAGGGACATTTTGATGAAAATTAAGGGCATGTCGCTTGCCCATTCTGCCGAGACCAGCGACTCCAACTTGAAGCTTGCGAGGTGCCATTGTGTTAAGTGTAGAGAGGGGAGTGAGGATTCAGGAAGTAAAGAGAAGGGAAGTAAATAAATGGTAGGAAGTGGAATACTGCCGACCTGGCCTTTGTAGTTATTATATACAACCTGACACTCGGTTGAATGTCTCCATGTCAATGGCAAAATTTATATTCTCCTGTCCTAGATTTTCTATGCTGGAATCCGGTACTTACCTACTCTGTCGCGAAAGAACATACATTCGGAGCTTTAGGCCTTAACTTGGATGCTGAGTCGGGGTAACTTGCCCCGACACAGAGTATACGAACAAACCTCCCGAGTAGAGCTCCACAGCTTTTCAGACCGCCGCCATCCGACACTGGAGGATCAATCGCCTTCCTATATTACTTAGATATTTATGTAGTATCAAAATTAATCTTTACGTGAATAGCATAGCTCAATTCTTTACCTTTTAGATACTTTAGTAAAGACTATTTTACCGTATCAAATATTGCAGCTATGGCCTCAACTCTCTTCCAATGCTGATTCACTAAGAATCCACCCAACCCCATGCTTTCTTTAAATGGTCCTGTGCTGATGCTGTGGGCCACGAATGGGTATTCTGGGTCAGCATTAACACATCCAATAACGCTTCTTGGTCCCGTCTCTCGGTAAATCGATCTCCACACGCCGTCACTCCCATGCACGCCGTAAAGGTAGCGGGTCTTGTAGAGGGGTTTGAGAGAGCTATCCCGCAAAGTTCTCGGACTTGGGTCCGGATATCGTCCTGAATCTGTCAGAATACACTGTTATAGTGGAATGTACATCTTAACCTACGTCGATTTGCTTGCGAGCTAGCTGAGCAGATGGTCCAATTCGTGGTACTCGGTCATCATGGCACATGAGGAGAATACGAGCAAATATGCTATGGACTTGACCAATAACTGACGTCCGTTAGCAGACTTCCTCCAATCAAAATCGACAACATACCGACAGCGTGGTTTAAGTAAATGATGTGTGGAAAGGCTTCGCCCAAGGCCTCGTCAGAAGCACTATAGGCAAGGGGCAGCCAGGACACAGGCCGAGCTCGCAGCCAAGCTTGGTCGTAGTCAACTAGCTCCTGATAGTGATGTCTATTTGGCCCGGTGTTTCCAAAACAGTAGTTTATAACATCTGCGCTGTGGACAATAATGCGATTCGCCCATGTATCATCATCGGCCTCAGAGAGAGACCGGTCCATGAATGCGTGGTCGAGCCTGATTTTGACAGGCCTTTGACTTGCAAAGCTCATCGTTACCTCCTGTCTCATACCAACCCAGAACGAAGCTAACCGGAGGCTGCTGGGGGTCGTTGTAGAATCGCAGGTGTTCATAAATAGCTGTATTCCCAACAGGTGACCTTCGTGATCGGTGCCGATGAGGGGAACGTCCAGTTCCTCGAGAGTCCGTAGAAGAATAGTCGCGGCGAGCAGATTGTCGTCGTTTAGGGCGGAGGAGTCGTTTGAGATCGTTGCCAAGTGCCTGAGACAGGCTTGATGATACCGATCGGAGGCGTAGGGGTCGTATTGCGCGTTTAGGCTGAGATGTCTGGAGGACAAGGCGAAAATAGCATTGAGGAGGGTCGGACAAGACGCCGCTCGAGGTGGCACAATGTTGGCAAAGTGGCGTCTGGAATCGCAAAGATCGAACTGCGATATATCAATACTGCACGATGGCCTAAACAGAAGATAGAATGGCGTACCCATGTGCACATGTAAGTCAAATAATATTGCATCAATCTCACTTCATGGTTCTCCATCAAAGGGTACGGTACTGATCCTACGTTGGCCAATCCCAGTGTCGAACCATGTGGGATTGGGCCATAATCGCGATGACTGTCTTTGCCTACTGTACTGGCTCCATCTGCGCCCACAAGCCCGACTGTACGAGTGTGAGACGTGGGAGAGGCATTTGACCCAAAGTTCGAACGTTGGTCGTTATGAGATTGAAGCGTGTTATCCTCAACTTGATGCCATTTGTTTTGACTCTCCGAGTCTGATAGGTAGTAACCTTCAACATCAGGCGTCTCATCCACGAATTGTACTTGGACTCGTCAGCGAAAGCCTGCGCGAATAGTAATTACTTACATCGTCTTGAGGAAGGGACCCAGACTTGATTTGGTGATGACCTGCGATGGATCTTAGCGTTCTAATCATCGCAATGACACGCAAAAGTCTGGGGGTGGACATACGTAGTTGAGTGCTTGAATCGAAAGACAGGCGCTGTGGCGCAAATTTTGCCCAACGAAATGCATCGAAGGCATGTCTGTGTACCTCGTCCAGCAACTTGTGGACCCCAGATGCATTTGAGATGCTGTTTCTTGCAGGCCTAACGGTGGTCAGAGTGGCAAGTCGCATCTCGGCATGGTTACCGATTTTTCATTTCACTTACAAGACACGCAGTAGCTGTGCTCATCTTCTCTCACAATAGATTTCGGGCTTGATGTCGGGTGCAAATTCATCTTGAGGGGCAGGTTACCCCGATTATATGACATAAATCCAAAGGCAAAAAAGGCCGAAGTGTCGGGGCTATGCTCCGTTTCTGCGTAAAAGGGTGAAAGAGTCCGATGCTCTAACCTAAATAGGCTTAAACCCCCAAGAACACGGAGCCTAGGCCGGACCATCCCTTGATGTTTGTTGGAAGAGGATTTGTCCCACTGTTAACCCAAAACTCTACAGGCCTGACTCGCGCTTCCCCACGAACTACCCCGTGTTTGATGATTTGATCCATGTCACTGCCGAGATCGAACGTAACCCGCCTCAATTCATTGGTTAATTATCGTCGATCGTAAGTCGCAGAGTAGGCCGAGATTGTGGACTATAAATTATAATAGATCAAGATCTCTCCCTCGAATATCACCAGAGATTATTCATGCTCATCTACATTCAGAATCTACTTATAACACCTTTTCAAAATGGATAAGCGACTCGATACCGCCAGGGACAAGCTTGACGAGTGCGGTGCCACTACTGAGGAGCACGTTGGCATCAACACTTCTTTGGAGCCATATGGTCCTTCCGGTAAGTTACCATCAGCTCTTAGGCTTCAATATGATTATGATGGCATGAATTGAGATTCCACTAGCTTTGATAAGCTGACAAACTAGGATTCCGTGGTCTTTTCTCATCTCCCTACGTCGCTGCCTGCGCCGCCTTTTCGGCGATCGGTGGCCTCCTCTTCGGCTATGATCAAGGTGTCATTTCCGTGACGCTTGTGATGGGTCACTTTCTCGATCGCTTCCCTGAAGTCTCGGATGATGCTCCTGGCGCAGGCTTCAAGAAGGGCCTCATGACCGCCATGATCACGCTCGGTGCATTTATAGGTGCTATCAACCAGGGTTGGATCTCTGACTGGATATCCAGAAAGCGCTCGCTGATGGTTGCTGTTGTGGTATTTACGATTGGATCTACTCTCCAGACCGCTGCTGTCAACTATGCCATGCTGGTTGTAGGACGCTTTATCGGGGGCATTGGTATTGGACAGTGAGTACAGCCTAGAATGTTTTCATCTAACATTCCACGAGCTTTTACATTGACCATGAATCTATTAGACTATCGATGGTGGTGCCTCTCTACATTGCAGAGATTTCTCCACCTGAAATCCGGGGTGCTTTACTCGTCTTTGAAGAACTATCGATCGTTATAGGAATTGTTGTTGCATTCTGGATAACCTACGGGACAAAGGTAAACCAACTCCCATTCCTCAGACACCGCTATATACTCATCTGCTCCAGGGAATTCCCAGTCACTGGTCTTGGCAACTTCCGTTCCTCCTTTAAATCCTCCCCGGCCTGCTATTGGGATTCGGCGCTATTTTCCTACCATACTCTCCTCGATGGCTCGCTTCCAAAGATCGCGAATCAGAAGCCTTATCTAGCCTCGCCAAGCTCCGCGCCCTTCCCGAATCCGACCTACGAGTTCAACGCGAATGGATGGACATTATTGCCGAGGCCCGATTCCAAGCAACCGTCCTCCGCGAACGACACCCTGATCTTACTTCAAAGACAGATATGATGGGAAAGATGCGTCTTGAGTTTGTCAGCTGGGGAGATTGCTTCAAGTCTGGCTGTAGGCGTCGAACTCTTGTTGGTGCAGGCCTCATGTTCTTCCAGCAGTTCACTGGAATCAACGCTCTGATCTATTATTCACCAACCCTGTTCGGGACCATGGGCCTCGACTTTGACATGCAACTAATCATGTCGGGCGTCCTCAACGTGACGCAGTTGATTGGTGTTCTGTCGAGCTTATGGACCATGGATCGTTTCGGCCGCCGGGGTATCCTCCTTTGGGGTAGCTTTCTAATGTTTGTGCCGCATCTCATTATAGCTGTCTTGGTGGGCAAGTTCTCGAATGATTGGCCCAGCCATACTGCAGAAGGCTGGACAAGTGTCGCTTTTCTCCTATTTTACATGCTTGCCTTTGGTGCCTCTTGGGGCCCTGTTCCCTGGGCCATGCCAGCAGAAGTCTTTCCATCATCTCTCAGAGCAAAGGGTGTGGCAATCTCCACCTGCTCAAGTAAGCCCCCAATCTCAATCAATTGATAAGCACTAACCTCGTTAGACTGGATCAACAACTTCATCATTGGTCTCATTACGCCACCTCTTGTGCGCGAAACAGGCTTCGGCGCCTATGTCTTCTTTGCCGTATTCTGTCTTCTGTCCTTCGTCTGGGTCTGGTTCAGTGTGCCTGAGACTAACGGAAAGTCTCTTGAGGAGATGGACAGCGTTTTTAAGGATCGGACTGGAGTGGCAGATATTGCCACGAAGGACCGTATCCTTGCCGAGGTCTACAACGAGCGACAGAGCCGTTGACGGTAGATATTCAGTAGATATCTTCAACAATTTCCTGATCTTAATAACATAATTCCTTGTGAACATCCTCAAAACTGGAGATAATCAGCTGTACGAGGGGGTTGCAATTGGGACTTGTGGCTAAGAGCTTAAATCAGCAGACGGAACTTAGCGGAAGCTAAGCATAATTACAGTAATTCGTGTAGAAGTGCAACCACTCAATCCCGACATGTCCATCCCATACTAACGCTGAATGGGCTTGCATCATGGCATCTATCAAATCACTAGCGCAGGGGGCTGCTGGGGTGTAAAGGCCGCAATGGCCCGATCATGTTTTTTACCATGTATGAAGGAGTTAACCGTTCACTGTCTAGTTTCCGACACAAGAATCGATATACATGCAGAAATTATTCTTCTCGAGTCACGGCATTAGAGTGTCTAGTTTTCTACATTGAGCATTTAATTATCCATCACAAGGAGGTGAACTAAGTCGATCATCAGTTGGCTAAGGGGGCCGAAGGATTCTTACCCTGGACGCACATCGTGCTCTCGGACCGACAGGCTAGCCACAGGCAACTTCCCTCCTACATACCACTTTCTTAGCACCTTTTGCCAAGGAAGCTATTAGCAATACCAAAATACAGAACCAAACCAACTATCCAGACGCCCTTACAATACCCCTGCCTGTAGCAGGTACATTAGCAGGCAGCCTTTTTAACCTTAGATAGCAAACGCCTTATAATCTGTAATCTATTACTTAAAACGCCTAGCTTATAGGATAGAAGTATCTTCTTTTAGATATAATAATCCCCTAATATAATAATTATAATATAGCTCTTACTACCCTATACAGTAAGTAATAAAATAAAGTTACTATGCCTTAAGTTACTGTAAGTAAACCTAATAGGCCTACTATAAGAGCCCTAAGCCTACCTAGTAATAATATCTTTAAATATATAGATACTATAGAAAGGAATAATAATATTAGTATAACTACTAATAATAAAATCTACCTTATAGGCTATAACTATACTACTATAAATATTTATACTAAAAATATTTATACTAAGATAGAAACTAAACTAGATATCTTTATAGCCTTTTATAAGGCTATTAATAGTATTAGGAATATCTATAAAAGTAAGGGAAACTATACCTAATAGTATACTAATACTCTAGCATAAGGCCTAATTACTTACTAAATAAAGTTATAGGATAAGGCAACTATAGTACTAAAGCTAGTAAAAAGGGATATTACTAACTATATAAAAATCCTTAAATAATAGATAAACAGAATAACTAATAACCCCTAGAAATAAAGCATAACTACAATTAAGCCCCTAATACGTAAGAATAATATAAGCACTAACTACTATATCTTTATCTAGCTAGAAGGCCAGTTCCCTATATAAAGCTAGGAACTATATACTATCTAGGATAAGCTTCTATAAAAGTAAGGGAAACTATACCTAATAGTATACTAATACTCTAGCATAAGGCCTAATTACTTACTAAATAAAGTTATAGGATAAGGCAACTATAGTACTAAAGCTAGTAAAAAGGGATATTACTAACTATATAAAAATCCTTAAATAATAGATAAACAGAATAACTAATAACCCCTAGAAATAAAGCATAACTACAATTAAGCCCCTAATACGTAAGAATAATATAAGCACTAACTACTATATCTTTATCTAGCTAGAAGGCCAGTTCCCTATATAAAGCTAGGAACTATATACTATCTAGGATAAGCTTATAAAAGTATATAGAATTATAACTACTAATATTCTATATATAAAATAAGTTAGAAGTAAATAGGTAGTTAGACCTACTAGCACTACTATAAAGAATACCCTCCTAAATATAGCAGGTAATATTATATCCTAAATAGGTATAGACACTATAGAGAAATTAAGTAAATAGTATACCTATATTATTAAAGATATGCCTATAAATATACTTATTAGTAATAAAAGAATTGACCTAATAAAGTATATTAAGATAGAAATTAAAGCCTAGATAGAGCGCAGATTATAAGAAAATCTAATAAAATTACTAGAAAAGCAGGTATTATTACCTCCTTTACCTAGAAACTATAAACCCGCTTTACGCTCTTTAGTATAAGCTAACTTTTAAAAGCCTTAACCAAAAACACCTAACCCTAATAGTATAATAACTACTAGAAATACTACTCCTTATTTAACTATACTAAGACCTCTAGGTATAAGAATTATAAATAAATAGAATATAATAATAAAGTATACTAATACCCTAATACTATTTAATACACTAACTGCCAGGGACTATATAGGGCAGACTTTAAAGACTACCTAGTAAAGCCCTATAAAACCCCTTAAAGTATAACTAGAAAACTTAGTAAGAAAGAACTGCATAAACTGTAATAGGAAAGGCACAGGCTCTTTAAAATAGCTAACCTAGAGGTTATACTATTAATACTAGCTACTGCTATCTAATATAGAAGATTATCCCTAATTACTAACCTGCAGACTTATAAATAAGTAGGTCCTTTAATAATACTAACCCCCTATACGTAATAAGTATATTAAGAGAGACATACTAATAGAAAGATAAATAACCTATTACAGTCTTTTAAGTAAATATTAGTAAAAGCAGGCTATTATATAATATAGTACTTGCCCTAGTATATAGTAATAGCTATAATATTATTATACTATAAAAGCTATAAACCTTTATTATAAGAAAAGAGTATAAGATAAAGAAATACACTGTATATAGTATATATACTCCAGTTTACTACTAAAAGGACCTAATAAAAAGACCTAGGGTTATAATATATACCCTTAATACTAGCTAGCTAATAGGGAAATAACTTAACTATAAGCTTAGTAAAGATATAGTTACAGTATAAATAGAAAACATATCCCTTACTAACTTTTACTATAAACCCTAAATAAATAAAGCACTAAATATACTAATAGCAAGACCTATTAATAATAAGGCTATTATCCTAGGTAACTTTAATACTATATACTACTTATAGCAGGCTATAGAGATAAAAAATAAAAGAAATAATATTACTAAGTAGGCAGAAAACAAAGGGCTTATACTTCTTAACCCCCTAAATAAACCTACTAACCTATATAGTAATACTATAGACCTAGTATAGTTAAATATTTTAAAAGCCTTAGTAACTATTAAAGACTACCTGGCTACTAGCTCTAACCACTATACTATTACTATTATACTACTAGTAATATAACCTAAGCCCCTTTAACTAATAAGATTTACTATCTTTAATAAGGAAAATATATAGTATATAGTAAGCATAGTATAAAATAATATTTAGCTATTTTTAGATAAAGAGGATATATAGAAAAAACTTAATACTATAGTAACCATGCTATAAGACCTAATCTTAAGGGCAGTTAATAATATAGGCTAAATGCCCTAAAAGAATATACTATATATAAAGTAGTAAAATAAATAATATAATAAGTAGTATAAGCTATACTAAGAACTTTAGTAAGAATAACTACTAGGCTTTAGTAAAGAAGTCTAGCTAGTATAAGTAGCCTTCTAAAGGAAAGTATAGAAAGCTAAAAGAAGTAGTAAAACTACTATTATTAATAATATCTAGGAACTAAAGGATATCTAGCCTATTATACACTAGACCTAACTAAAGAACTAAGTATAAGCACTACCTATTAAATATAAAGGGAAAGTATATATTAGCCTGCTAGAAAAGATAGAAGTACTACGCTCTATAATCCTAGACTAATTTATAGCAGAGGATAATATACCTAACCTATAGGTACCTATTAACTTTGCTCTAATTATTAAGCTTTCTATAAAACTTATACTAAAAGAAATAATATAGGCAGTTACCTTAATAAATAATATATCCCTAGGCTTTAATAATATTACTATTAATATCCTTAAGGCTATCTAGCTATATATTAAGAAGTATATACTATAGTTATATTAGAGATACCTTATACTTAGATATTACTTACTGGCTTTTAAGCTAGTAAAAGTAATAATAATACCTAAAGTTAGAAAAAGAGACCTCTTTAATGTGCGCTTCTGGTAACTAATTGCTTTCCTTTCCTGCCTCTCTAAAGGCTTAGAAAGGCTAATAGTAAAACGGATAGCCTATACTATAGTTAACTAAGGCATATTATACCCTAACTAATTTAGTACCTTACTAAAACGCTTAGCTATAGACTTTACTGCTATCCTTATATATATTATAAAAGATGCCCTAAACTAAGAACTAATAGTTACTATAATTACTGCTAATATTAAAAGAGCCTTTAATATAACCCTATAGAACTAAATAGTACTTACCTTTAGGTAATAAGGCTAGCTAGAACTAATAGTTTAGTAAATATACTCCTTTATAATAGATAGATTAGTAAGGATTAGGCTATAGGACTTTACTATAAACTACTGCCCCCTTAACTATAGCCTTCCCTAAGGCTTACCTATATTGCCTATCCTATATATACTATATATTATATAGATTTACAGTATAGGGAATATAGGCTTTATATACCTAGCAGTAAAGATAAAGATTGCCTTAGTAATTAGACTAGGATATACTAATAATACTACTATAATATAAATTAGCAAGACCCTTACTAAGACTGCCTAACTAGCTACTAATAACCTAGCTAAAATTATCTAAAAGGGAAAGAAATAAGGTATTCTATTTAGACCTAAAAAGATAAAAGTAATATACTTTACCTGTAAGCACTATAAGAAAAGCCTAACTATTACGTATAAAGGCTAAGCAGTAAAAGTAAAAAGGAAAATAAAATAGCTTAGTATATAGTTTAACAGGAAGCTTACCTTTTATAACTATATAATAAAGTAGTTAGCTAAAGCCTATATAGTCTTTAGTCTGCTTTAAGGCTTTTCTAATACTGCCTATAGGCCCTAACTAGACACTATTTAACGTACTATACTTGCCTATACAGTCCCTATAGTAATATATATATTTAAAGCATAGTATACAGGAAAAAGCACTCTAAGGACAGTTAACTATAGGTATATATTAGTAGTAGCTAATAGAAATAATAGTAAGGTATAGGTTAATACTAAAGCAAACTACCTAATATAGCTTATAAAAGGCGCCCTTAAGGACTTAATATAAGCTATACTTTTAGTCTAAAGAATAATACCTACCTTAATACTATATAAAGAAAGTAGTATTTTACTAGCTAAATAAATACTAAAGGTAAAATAAAAATACTTTTATATATAACTATAGGTACTAAATAAAAGGTATTTACTAGTTATTACTTTAAATAGCCTAAAAAAATAAAGACGCTTTTATACTTAACTACAGGCATTAGATAAAAGGTACCTGCTAGTTATTACTTTAAATAGCCTAAAAGATATAAAGGGGAATAAAATATACAGTTTAATATAGCTTAAGTATACCTAGAAACTCCTCCTTACTGCACTATAGCCTAAACTTATAGCACTAAGGCATATATACTTCCTACTACTAAAAAGGAGCTACCTAAAGAAATACATAGCCCTTAGCTTTAATGCCTAGCTATAGTTTACTAATGCCCTAGACCTAATTATATACTCTAATAGGTTATAGCTAATATTTAGGGCTATAGGCTATAGATATATAATCTACTGATTAGGGCTAATAGTTAGTAAGGGTAATAGGTAACTTAGGAAAGTAGAGGTCTTTAATATAGAGGCAATAGGCGCCCTATAAGGCCTTAAGGTAGCTATACAGTTAGCCTAGCCAGAAGACCGCATAACTATATACCTAGATAATATATTAGTAGCTAAAGGGTTATAGTAAAATGCCTTAAACTCCTTATAAAATATATTCCTTAAATTTTAATAAATATCTTAGGCCTATAGCCTTATTAGGGTTAAATAGTGCCCTAGGTATATAAATATTAAAGGCAATAAATAAGTAAATACCCTAGCTAAAGCTAGCTATAAACTTCTAGAATTACCTAGGGCCTAACTAATACTAGCCTATATTTATAAATAGGCTAAAGCTAAAATAAAAAAAGATTTTAAGGACTAGTAGACTATTAATATCCCTAATAGCTATAAGAACCTTAGCCTTAAGGCTATACTAAAATATCTAGAAAAGCTTAGCCTTTATAGATACTTACTATGCTATTTACTAGTAGCCAGAACAGGCTATAGAGACTTTACTAACTACTATAAGAGATTTTAGCATAATAATGCCCTACTTAAATGCTCCTACAGGTAGCAGAAATTACCTAACTATCTTTTCTATTATTAAAAAATTGCCCCTAATAAAAGGCCATGGCTTATACCTACGCCTTAAAGGGAAATTAACTAAATAATAGGCAGAAAATACTAAGACTTTATTAAGTTTATAGAGGTAATAAGCTTTTTTATAGAGATCTGCCTATAATACTAAATAGGGCCTAAAACTTCGCTAAATAGGGCCTAAAACTTATACTAGAAGCAAGTTAACTGCCTAACTAGGCAATAAAAATACTCTTTTCTTTTTCTTTTATACTAATATTCCTTTTAATTAATAAAAGCATACCTAGTTAATTAGCAGCAGGCAAGCTAATATACCTAAGGAAATAACTACTAGTAGTTATAAAAAACAGGTTTAGATAATTTAACTGCTAAATAATCGGATTAAATAGGCAGCAATAGCTACACTTATATACCTCTGCTAACAGAGACTAAGCTCTAGAAATAAGGCCTTTTTAAAATTAGAAAGGCAAAGGAGTTACTAAGATTCTATTATAATTCGGATACATAGCCTTATAAAGCCTTATTTTTAGTAGGCTATTACCTGGCCTACCTGTAAAATAGCTTAATTTAGCTAGCTTAGCACGTCTCTTTACTCCTTGTAAAGGTTAGCTAGGGGAAGCCCAGTAGGACGTTAAATAATACAATAACAACAATAACAACAACCGACAGGCTAGCTAGCGACAACCACTTGCCTGTTAGTCTACGTACTATACCTAAAAGGAACAGCACCAAGCCAAGTTGGTAGTTCAGCTCGTAGCCACAAACATCATCAAGGAGATCACAGGCCTCTACGAAGGATCAGCGTCCCAATCAACCGATCTACCTCGATTTCCCCAGCCATGTGATGCCCAGCCGTTGTCTAATTCCTGCAAAGGTCAGGGGAAATCCGGGGAAAATGAGTCCGGGGAAACGAATTGTGGCTTCCCGTAGTGCCTGTATCAGACCCAAACTCAAATCCTACCAAGTTTGAGAGGACTTATATACCGCCATGCCCCTTCCAGTGCGGGGAGGGCCATGTAACATTGAATGCATGTCCCTGATGCATCTTCATCTCTTTGGACCCCGCACTCTGGTTCGCTGAAACAATGTTTCTGTCAAATGCCAATCCCAGCAAAGATGAGGTCGTGCTCATATCTATGACTTCCAAAGGAGTTGCTTCTCATCACGAGTCAGGCGTCGGCGAAACTCCCTTGGCAGATCTTGCGCCCCAGACCTCACATGTTTACCACAACGCCCTTGACAGTCCAATATGGCTCCCCCGCCGATCAACAAGCTCGGGTGGTGTCGGCGCACGCATTCATCGCGGCTTGGCAAGCGAGAAAGAGATGACTCTTCTGAGCTGCTGCCGACACTTTCCCAAGGCGATTATATGGTCTTTTCTTCTCTTCCTTACCGTTGTAATGGAGGCGTACGATAAGTCACTCATCTCCGGCTTCCTTGCCTTTCCGTCCTTTAGACGTAGGTACGGAGAACCCAAGCTACCACTTGCTGGCTCCGCTGGGGAGCCAGACTATGAGATCTCGCCAATGTGGCAAATGGGGCTTCAAAATGCTGCCGTCGGTTGCGAGATCATAGGCCTTCTTGCCCATGGTTATATCTCATATGCGATTGGATACCGCAAGATGATGATCGGCGCGCTTGTGTGGATGTGTCTTGCAGTGTTCCCGGCTTTCTTCGCTAACAACATCGCTCTGCTACTTGCCTCCCAAGCTCTCTGTGGTAAGACTGTCCTCGCCTCTCAATTTAATGCGCCATGCATACACGATTATCCGAGAAACTAACGGTACTATCCAAGGCTTGTCGTGGGGTGTGATTCAAACTTTGGCAGCGACCTATGCTGCTGAAGTAGTACCCTCAGTCATCCGTGCCGCCATCCTCAGTAATGTCAATATGTGTTGGCTGGTTGGCCAGCTCATGGGCACCGGAATACTGCGCGCGCTCATCAACAATACATCAGACTGGTCGTATCGCCTACCATTTGCCCTGCAATGGGCATGGGCAGCCCCATTGCTGTTCCTCATCTACTTTGCCCCTGAAAGCCCTTGTAAGATTCTCCCTACTTGATGTATCTTATGCCTTCTTACTAATCTGTTAACTACAGGGTGGTTAATCCGTCACGAGAGGCTAGCAGAAGCTCGACATTCACTACAAAGACTCACGAGCAACAAGCACATTGACATTGAGGATACAATCGCGATTATGCAGCACATTGATTCGACAGAGAAGAAACTAGGATACGGTGGCTCAAGCTTCCTAGATCTATTCAGAGGCTGTAACCGTCGCAGGACCGAAGTGTGCTGCCTTACCTGGTCTTGCCAAGCTCTATGTGGTGCCACCTTGACGGGATATGCCCCATACTTCCTAGAACAAGCAGGCTTCGAATCCACCAAATCATTCACTCTAGCTACAGGAATGTATGGACTCGGCATTCTAGGCGGCATGATATCGTGGATCTTACTATCAACAATTGGACGACGAAAGCTCTACCTAGCCGGCTTGGTGGCTGCGTTGCTTATTCTCACCACAGGCGGCACCCTGTCAATCGTCATGGCCAACCACTCATCGCTGAATTGGGCGCTTGGGTCCCTGATCATCCTCATGACATTTACTTATAATATGTCCATCGGTCCGGCCTGCTATGTCATTGTGGCCGAGATACCTTCAACAAGGCTTCGGGTCAAGACCATTGCCCTCGCGAGGATTGTTTATAACATATTCACTATTATTAATAACTTTGTCGCACCACAGCTTTTGAACCCGTCTGCATGGGACCTAGGTGGTAAGTCTTGTCTGGTGTATGCTGCTACATCTCTCCTTTGTCTTATATGGTGCTATTTTCGGCTTCCTGAAACGAAGAAGCTATCATACTTGGAATTAGATATCCTTTTCGACAAGGGGGCTCCTACAGCCAAGTTCAAAGAACTACAAGATAGACTTGCCAATTCGGCGTATATCTCTATGTCAAAGGCAGAACGGGTCAGGAATGCCTGGCATGGTTGGCTGGCTTATTCCTAGTGAGCCATTAGGTTGTGTACTTCGCAGTTTTAGTTATTTATGAAAAGGCAGTTATAGTGTTTATATCTTCTCATAATCTTAATCTCGGAGCATTAATATCGAGAAAAGGAGGTAGAAATTTTATTATTCCTTAGTTTATATACGTATATATATACCTGATCTACTACATCTTAATCTCTAGGTTAAGTCCCCTGGTAGGGAGGGTTGGGGAAGGGGGGATCAGGGGTAGGGTAAGGAATTCCCTGACGGAGACAGTGGATATACGTTTCGTATTCTCGTTGACACGAAGGGCAGTTATGCCAGGTTGTTTCCACAGGAGTGTCGTACCGAATGGGGCGGTCATGGTGGACCGCACCGATCTGTATGGCATAGGTGCACCTTTCGATTGTCTCCCACGTATGGAGAGTTCTACGGCAGCGGCGGCAGATATATGAGCACTTAACGGTAGTACACATTTTAACGTAGGTTATTATTAGGTGACGAGGGAGTAGATTGAGTAGTGATTATAGAATGCAATATATTAGAAGGTAGTAAGTTAGTGGTAACAGCGGGGATAGTATAATGTTGCTTGATAATAAAAGAAAGATAATTCGGAGGACTTACTGAAAAGTAGTAATACTGAACTGCCGCTGTGATTCAGAGAAATGACTAGAAGTTATCACTGTCGGAGGAAACAGTGAATACTCACTCCTTAGATAGTGAGAACAGGCTGTCAGTGTCATGCTGATTGAACGAGTATAGAGAAAGAGGAATTGCTGTTGACGCGAAAATAAGTATGCTAAATAAAAGCATGGGGCCTCACTGCGTGTATATTGGCAACCCACTGTGGGCTGCACTTGGCTTTTGGCTGTTGATAGTGCTAAATGTGATGATCAATGTAGCCGTCGTCAAGGCCGTCAGCCCGCACATCACTAGTCAATCACTCGGGAGGCCGCGGCTATGGTTCGCAATTCTACACAAGTGTCTTGGGCGTAGCGTCAAATTGGCTCGATCAAGAGGCAAATCCTCTCGTCTGATAAGGCCCAGCATTACTATAAGCAACTATATAAAACAAGATTGCTGTTTTACTTCTGTGCGCTGTCTAAAGCAGGTATGCAGTTAAATTGGCCAACACGATTCTAGATCAAAAGCTGAAAATGATTCTGAAAGAGACCGAGTTCTATATACTTCTATGATGATAATAATAAGTATAAATGCAATAGTATTCTGTCGGAGAAACCAGGATTCACCAGAGCTCTTGTATTTGCAATATGGTCCTTATAAATCTGATTATATCTAGCCTTGAGAGTTATACGCCGAGTCTTCTATTGTATATTGCTGTGCGCAATAGACAGGCGGCCCTTTGTTAAGGGAGATGTAATGAGATGTCACTGCAAAGAGAGGAATAAACAATTAAATGCAGGTATATAATATTGATCACTAGCTGATAGAGTAGTGGTATGCTATACTTCTATTAAAAGCAGTGTATCTAATTTAAAATGCATCATCATGAGGCTCATCATACTGGTTAATAAGTCTTTGCGGTATTAACCCCCGTAACACAACAACACCAGCATGCAAGATCCCCCACCGAACCTTGCTCAGCGTCTCAGCCATAGTCCAGACAAGTCCGACAATCTGTCGTTGTTGACCTGGTTTCACGTCTATACCGTCAGGCCCATTCTGGGCCATTCTTGACACGAGGTTATGCATTTCCCCTCGTGGATTCCAGATGATCTCATCGCTCTCATCATCGCTCTCATCAGCATCATCGTCCATGTCAAGCATACCTCCTCTATTGGGTTGACCGTGGCAAAATGCCCAGCATGCTAGAGTTGCAAGGTATAGACACCACGGGACGTGGAAGAGCTGCATTGCGTCTGAACGAGTAAGTACCTTTGTGTTTTCATGAAGCAGGCGGGATGCATGCCATGCAGCCACAGATGCTGGCCTCTTGTGGCTTCTTGTATTGTGTTCGGCATTTGAGGTTTGATCTTTGCTTGGTCGTTCTGCTATTGAAGCCCACTGTTTGACCGCCTTAGCGGATCGACGATAGTCCTTCTGCTGAACTGGTCGGCCCAGGATATGGCGAGCGCCAGCATAGATCTGTATGTCGAGGAACTCCATATGAAGAAGTGCTTGTGCTGAATGAAACAGAGCATTGTATGCAGTTGCAAACGCCACGTACTCGCTCCTTCTAGCCTGATCTTCAGGTGTATTCTGGAGTCGAGAAATAATTGAGGTGATGTAAACATCAAAGTCCGCCTTCCAAGCGTCATAAGCGTTCCCTATGAGCTTCCGCCAATTAGATCCAGGTCCGTCACCGTCTACCACTCCGAGCGCTGTTTGATCACGGCGTTGCATGTCCCAAGCGATGGACATCAGACCATGCAGCATAAGTACATGAGACAACCCCGTTAATGCTTTCGGACGTGGTACTGATGGCCCTAGGTATGATTTGAGACTAGGAAGGTAGTAGACCGGCTGGGAACTGCAGGCTGATGAGCGCCATGCCATAGCCCAGGATGTTGGGTCTGAAGCTTCCCATATCCTTTGGCTACAAGGCAGTTCAAGACGGAGCTCAAATGCGGACATGCAGAGACTCTGACAGAAGAGAACTGCATGCTGTGTATCCCACATGAAGCACAAAAGTGCGAGACTGTAGTTAAATGTCAGCTGAATATTATCATCAGGGGACTCCCTCGAGCGACATACCGTTTCTTTTGTTCTGCAATGGCCCATCGTCGCCAAGCCTCTCGCACTATACCCTCTTTTGCACCGGCGCAGTCAGCAGGCGGCCCTTGTGGACGGACCGACTGACAGTCAGATCTGCGAATGAGATTTATGAGAAGTCCGTGGAAGAGATGGCTCATGTCGTGCTGCTTCTGCCCAGCTCGAGACTTTCCAAAGCATTCCACCAGAAGGATAGTCTGCAGAGTCCACAGTTCTGCACGAGCCGAAAAGCTAGCATGGGAAAAGATGCTAGGCCGTATAACGTCGTGGATGCACACAGCCAGCTGATGGGCATCTTTGGAGGAGTAGGTTGCACCAAGCAGGAGGATGGATATGAGAAGCAGAGGCTCCGTCCTGCTGACATCAAAGGTTGCAAGGTGCATGAGTGGGTAGGCAGTATTGAACTTTACGAAGAACAATTCTAGGTATGTCTGTAAGGAGTCTCGGGACAGTAATGGCTCATCCCACACAGAGTGACGAGAATCAGGTAAAGATGGGTTGGCAGCCTCGACGACTTGAAGGATTCGTTTGCGCACGGTTTCGTCGATCTTGGGTATCGATTGCCCTTTGTCGAGCATCGAGAATGGCCTGTTGAATTGCGGTTCTTCAACGTCCTGTTGATCGTGGGCAACGTTGGGCCTCAGTAGTTTGGTGCTTTTATTTACGGTTGGCGTTGTAGATTCAGTTCTAGAACTGGAAATGCTCCCCGAAGTTGTCTTGGTATGGCTCAAGACCGCGGTTCGTGGATCAGAAGTATCTGGCCTGGTATCGCTGTTGTGAGAATGTACCGACTCCGACCAACGGCGCGTGCTGTTGATAGAGTCTGGTGATAATATCTGGACGGGCTCTGACATCTGGACGGATGGGATATACTGCTCGTTGGCTTTTGTGAGGGGTGTTGATGTTGGGTTCAAGTTCATGTTAAATAGCCAGCTGTAGTCCAACGCAGTCGTATAGGGCATATTAAAGGAACTGGCAGTATCTGGCTGAAAGTTTTGCGTGTAGTCAAGTGCCGTGTTATCCACGAACGATTCGTTGAGAAGTAGAGGGTCGAGCTGGTCGAACGAAAACTCGCCTATGCCTTCACTGTGATCGAAAGGGTCGGTTGAGGTAGTAAAGTTTGCAAGATGGTCATCTGTAACCAATTCACCAGCTGAGTGAACAAAGATGGAGTCTTCGATGTGCAAGTCGGATGAGGAGTGAAGATCGACTCCATGCACTGACTGGCCTTCGCTATGGCCCCAATTGATCAGCCCAGGGGACTGACTCCTTGCGTTATCTGCTTGGTCGGATTCTGGAGATGGAACTTGTTGTGTTTCTTGAGGGTTCTGTCCCGAACCCTTTGCACTTTTAGCTTTCGTGTTGCTGTTCCGACACGGCCGCTTTTCAACGACCGTACCGTCGGGTGCTTCCCAGGATCTCTTTCGTGTATCGAGAACGCCAAAGCCGGTTCCTCCAGCCTCAAGATCCTTTTGGCGATGCCTTTCCATATGTCGCCCTTTGGATACGTAAGAACACATTTTGATTGACTCGGCTATACAAAACATGGTCACTCACTCAGCAAATCAGGCCGTTTGAAGTGTGCACGGCATATGTCACATGAAGAACCGCCCGGCAAGTGATTGAGAGCATGTCGCTGCAAGTGTTCTGAGCGCGTGAACTTCTTGCTACAGCCTGGATGAGTACACTCAAACGACTTGTCACTCTGAGGACCGGGCTGTGAGGCTGCAGAACCTCTTCGAGAGGTCTCTGATTGACCCTGCGATTGTGTCTGTTTGCGACCCATGGCCTCTGTAAGAAACGCATCGACCGCTAGGGACAGCTCGTCTTCGGGGCCGTACATGGCTGTAGAGTGGGATGAGGTGGGAAATGTTAAGGATGAACGAGAGATAGAGTGAGGGAACGGTTGGGTTCTAGAGTGGGAGGAATTGCCGAATGCCGTTGAACTCTGGCTGATTAGTAGTGTAACTCTGATAACTGATAGGCTTGGCTGGACTCCGCCACAGTGCTACCAAATCCCCACCCTTATCAGCTTTCCCCGCACATTATCTTGATAAGTGGGAGGATGCTAACGGACATGGGTGAGTGGGTAAAAAAAGGAACTCGGGTTCAAGATCCGTGCTTGAGCTAGCGATCGCTATCTAGACCCAGAATGTAAAGGCACGACCATATCGGCAATGGGCCTCGTAAATCGGACAAACCAGTAATCGTACCACCACTTGTGTCTGTTTTGCCACAGATCTAGACTGCATCACATAGGCCTTTAATACGGGTGTAGAGACCTTTTGCTCGGTATCATCTCTTCTGCCCATTGCCAATTGAGATCCAGCAGCCTAGAGACGAGATGCCTAACTACAAGATACAGGAAGTGATGGAGAGGGATGATTCAAGCAAGCTTCATGTAAGTTCAAGTCTCTACATCTACCTCTCAAGGCATTTCAAGACATTTCAATATTAATATGTGTATAGGTAATAATTGTAGGAGCCGGCCTCGGTGGCCTCGGTGCTGCAATCGCTGTCCGTCTCGCCGGTCATGATGTCACGGTTTTGGAGTCTGCACCAGCAATCGGCGAAGTCGGTGCCGGTATCCAAGTCCTCCCCAACGCTGCCCGAGTTCTTTTCTCCTGGGGCCTCGAGAAGGAGCTGGTTAAAAACGCCACCAAGCCAAGAAAATGCAACTTCATCGGATGGAAAGGGAATCATCTCTCGGAAATGGACTACCACGGTTATGCAGCTGCTTCGGGAGGCTACCCTTTCCTCGATTTTCACCGCGCGACTCTGCACAAAGCACTTCTTGACAGAGCTCAAGAGCTAGGAGCTAAGATTCTTTGCGGGTCTAAAGTCTTGTCTTACGAGATAGCGGCCGACAACAGCTATGCAACTGTTTTGCTAGAAGGAGGTCAAACCATGAAGTCTGACTTGGTAGTCGGGGCGGATGGCATCGCCTCTTCGCTCAGAGAGCAGTTCCTCGGCCGGTCCGATCCTCCACAATTGACGGGCGACTTGGCATACCGACTGCTACTGTCAACAGACGAGATGAGAAAGGACCCAGACCTGAGGGCTTTCGTGGAGGATCCCCAAGTCAACTACTGGGTCGGGCCTGATAAACACGCTGTCAACTATGTACTAAAGGGAGGAGAACTCTTCAATATGGTTCTTTTAGTGCCAGATGATATTCCACTTGACAGCGGCAACACTCTCAAGGGTAACATCGAAGAGATGAGAGCCCATTTTGCCGATTGGGACCCTCGCATCGGGAAGATGCTGAACCTTTGCGACGATGTTCTCAAGTGGAGATTATGCATCCGTCCTGGCCTCGACCCAACTTGGTCACATCCTTCGGGAGCCCTCACCATGCTTGGCGACTCTGTCCACGCAACACTACCATATCTCGCCAGTGGTGCGGGTATGGCTCTAGAGGACGGCGGGGTCCTTGGACTTTGTCTCGCCAAGCTTACCGATAAATCACCAGCCTCAAAGCTTAAGGCTCTAGCTGTCTACGAGGCATGTCGACGAGAACGCACAGAAATGGTTGTACAAAGAGGGACGTACAACCAGTGGATATATCATCTGCCCGATGGCGAAGAGCAGAGACAGCGGGATGAGCGTTTTAGGCAGTATGGGAAGTGGGATGAAGAGTGGCTGAGTGGGGAGAATCCTATCATACCGCAATCCTCGGAGACAGGAGAGGATCCTTTCCCTTGGAGATACCATGGAGTCGGGCGGTGGTTGTTGACGTATGATATGTGGAAGGATGTCGATGAGAAGTTTTCGCAGCTCGGGTCTGAGGCTATTGGCGGTTCACTGAGAGCAAGTCTTTAATTAGAAGCATTGTAATCTGTCTGGCTGGGTTACTGTTAGTTAGTCAATAAGACATTTCCAAATGTTACATGGCATTATCTAAACACTGTTCGAAGGTCTACGCCGTGACGGCTTCAATAATTCTCACATTTCCTCCGATAGAAACCAGAACACCCCAAGTTCCTTGCAGAGTTACCTATAGAAGGATCGAGCATTCTTGGCCTAGGGGAATAAACAGATTCTACAAATGCACTCATCACGTATTACTGGCAGAGGGAATACAAGAAACGTTGGATCTGGAAGTAGTTTAAAACGGCAAGGTAAATAAACCAGAATACAAAGTATTACACAATCTATGAACTCTATGGCAGATGATGGCAGCAATAGATGATGATTTTGCAATTGAACGGCGTCAAACGGCGTTGGTCGCTTTCAACTCATCTTTGCAGAGACGAGTAGTCACCTAGATACAATTAACTAGACAAGCCTTTCTCTATCACTTTTGGCATCAATTAAATCATTTGAACATCTGTTTATTCGTTGCAGCTAGGCAACCGATGCCAGTATCTAGTCTATAAAACCGACCTCCACCGAGACTCCCACTTTATGCTTCACTCTTCACCTCTTGTGAGGGGTTGTAGAAAGGATAGTCGTTGTAACCCTTCTCCGGAGGATCAGCACCGTAAAAGGTGTTGCGGTCATAAGCGTTAAGAGGCCAGCCATTCTGTAATCTCTCAGCCAGGTCAGGATTGGCAATGAAGTGTCGGCCCATGGCGACCAGGTCAGCTTCTTGACTCTTGATCTTGGTGGGAGCATTGTCTCGGTTGAAGTTTCCGCAGGCTAGGAATAGAATGCCAGAAGGCTGGAGAATGTTGCGGAATATGTTGAGAGAGTTTGCCTGCTTGCCAACTTCAACAGCAGTGCCATCTTTACTGCTACCGTTGGCAAGCGCAGCGAGCTTTTGCTGCTCGTCGAGAACCTCGTCGAAACGGGGCTCAATCCTGATTATCGTTAGTCATTTAGACGGTGTTTTAATGGTGGAGTATGACTTACATGTGGACGTAGACAGGCTTGTGGTTATCTGGAAGACTGGCGATCTGGGTGCAGAGGTACGACCAGTGAGTGTTGGGGTCACTGTCCTTCGTGCCCTGGAAGTAATTGTAAGGCGAAAGTCGAAGACCGACCTTGTCGGCACCGATAGCATCACAACAAGCAGTAAGGACCTCAAGCAGAAATCTGCATCGGTTCTCAACAGAGCCGCCGTACTCGTCAGTTCGGCTGTTGATGTTGTCGTGAAGGAACTGCTCAAGAAGATAACCATTGGCACCTAATCCCAACAGTTAGCAAGAGGTAGAAGCATAAAGTCTGTGAGTACATACCATGAATCTCAATACCATCGAACCCAGCGACCTCGACGGCTCGCTTGGCGGCAGCTGCCCATTCGGCAGTAATGCTGTGGATCTCATCCACTGTCAAGGCTCGAGGAGGATCATCCTTGGTATCAGTGCCATCGAGATATGTACCTGGCATGGGCTGATCCCCAGAAGACACAGCCCTCTCACCACCTCGCTGCGCGCTACAGGACGCCCGTCCAGTGTGCCACAACTGTGTGAAGATGAAACCGCCCTTGGCATGGACAGCGTCAGTTACCTTTTTCCATCCCTGTAATTGGGAGTCGGTAAAGACGCCAGGAACACCGGGGTAAGCACTAGCGTTCAGGGCAATGTCGGTCGCCTCAGTAATCTGAAGACCGCCGTCACTGGAGCGATCGCTGTAGTACTTAACCATACGAGGACCAGGGACGTAAACTCCACGGGACTCGAATTCGCTTCTCATGCGAGTGTTGGGTGCCTGGAAGGATATGGTTAGTCCTTCTTTGCGGATCAATAATTCGCTTTGACTACGTACCTGCACAAGTCGATGCTTCAAGGTCAACTTGCCAAGCTTCAAGGGAGAGAACAAGACAGTGTCCTTCAGCGCAGCGTGCGCCGCTGGCGGTGTGACTGCGATAGGCATCTTTGGAAGGGGAGCGGGTAAAGATCGGGGGGGAGAACGTGACAAGCTTTCAGGGAACTTGAAGCTGTTGGAAAGTTGCCTGATTGCGCTTGAGATTGATAGAACAAGTAGCTATGGATGCTGAAGCTTTAGTAGCCGATGTACTTTGTCCTTGTTCATTTTGTTGTTTCGATTACAACGAAGCATGGGTGGACTCTTGGTACCCCATCCCCCATCTTTGAACGATGAAAGTGGGTACAGAGATGTGAGGAGTCAACCATGGTTCTTGTTGGCCACTGATAAGACGCAGGTTGACAGGGAGGAGCAAGAATGGGGGTGGGTCTGACCAGGATCGGAAAGTTTAAGACAGCTAGGATAAAGAAGGGTTAGCATCAATGGGTAATCAACAGAACATCCGATAGGCTGCTTTCCAGCTTTTATGGGCCAAATACGTTTATCACTCCCGGGTAATAAATTTTGAATTTTGGGTTTTGAACGAGACGTGTGAAGCAAGACGTGTTACAACACAGGACTATGTGATCTGCTTAAAAATCAAAGCTTCCTATTCCTCTGCTAGAATCTGTATATTGAATTGGAAAGGTTGCAAGTTTAAGAAGTAGACTGAGCAACATGCATTACCTCTTGCCCGGATTGAGGTAAATACAACGAAATAATACTCAAGTCATCAAATAAAACATAGACTTATTTGCAAGGTTGATACAAATGCTATTCCACACTGTCAGACTCACTGGAGTGAAATGTATATCGATTAATTATTTAGATTTTTTTTTAAGTGTGAAAGAAGTTAAAAAGAGAATATTGCCCTCAAAGTCTCATGTTGAAGCATCGAAAAAGGGACACACAAGACTGTAAAAGGCAATATCCTCTGCTCTGCATTAAAGTATAGTTCAAAGTATATAGATTGATAATATCTATAAGAAATATAATATCTGTTTCTGCATACAAGTTTCCCATCCTGACTCTAGAGTGAGGCATGTCCATGTGTTTCGTAAGGAAGACCAAGACAGAAGAAGCCGACAACAATCCAAAGTGCCGCACTTGCGTAAATGGGCACGACCGAGAACCCAGAGTAAGTTGAGATAAAAGATGCCACAAGGCCACCAAGTCTGAGAAGTGTAGCTGCAATACCAGTACCAGTACCTCGCACCGGTCCAGGGAAGGACTCTGGAGCAAAGGCAAACATGATGGCGTACTCTGCACATTTTGTCAGTGTGTAAGATAGAGAAGTGAGAAGAGAGACTTACCAAAGTTTCCAAGAATAGCTGTGGCACACTGGAATCCGATGTCGGCGGCTTCAGTGCCAACGGCTGTGTATGCAAAAAGAAAGACGCCAGTGAGAACGGCAGAAATGGCCATCATCCACCTGCGTCCGAAACGCGTCTCTACCAGGAAACCTGCTGAGATGGGGCCGAGGACTCCGACAGCGGAAACAATACAGTAAATCATGTATGTATGGTTAAACGATGAGTTAGCCGTGTAACTCTTCTTAGACTGGAGATAAGAAGTAATGAAGGCAAAGTACAGCGGGTAGGCGATGCCAATAGTAAGCCAGATCAGGAACGTGACTGCACTATGCTGAGCCATCTTGCGGCCGGAGAAGAGCGAGCGATAACTACTCATGTTGAAGTCTTTGAAGTTCTCTTTGAGGATATCCTTCATAGAGAGCTTTCTCTCGGTCTGATCCGGAATGGCGTGGACGGGTTCGCCGGTAGATGAGACAACCGCAGCCGAGTAGATTTGACGGTCGATATCTTGCATCATCTCCAGTGTCAGAGTCTCAGGCTTGCCGTTATAGCGAGCGATATAGTTGACCGATTCGACAGCTTCTGCGTCGCGTCCCTTGGAGAGGAGATACTTGGGCGATTCGGGAATCTTGAAGACGAAGAGTCGGACCAAGGCAAGGGCGAGGGCAATACCGCCGAGAGTGATCATGATGTATCGCCTGGATAGGTCATCCTGTTAGTCCGATGTATCAGAAGTGCTCAGGGTGAACTACTTACCATCCCATGTTATCCTGTCTACGGCAACCCTCAGGGCTGCTGCAAGCAAAATTGGCAAGGAACACCCATGACAGGAGGGACACGATAAGCTGGCCAAGGTTCCACCATGCTGACAGTGTGACAAGCAACCACTGATGACTCTGCGGGACAAACTCGAGGAACACGATACTATCAACTGGGACATTGCCTCCAGCTGCAGTACCAATCACGGCCCACAGAGCGCAAAAGGTGATGAAGTCCTGAGCTCCAGCAACTGCACAAGCAAAGATGGCCCCGATGAAGATTGTAGAGTTGAAGGCAGGCTTGCGTCCAATAACATCGGCTGCAGTGCCCCAGAAGAAGGCCCCAACAATGAGTCCGACGTAGTAAGCCACTGAACTGAAGCTGAGTCTAGTTATGTCATCGAACTCGTTCATGATCGGGGGACGAACGGCGGCAATGCCTTGAGACCAGAAGTTATCGACCATCCAGCCGCAACCGTTGACGACGAAGAGGATCCATTGGAATCTAGAAGGGTTACTGTTAGCACGGATATGACTGCTCACTTTGGCTCCCCAAGACTTACTTTCCAGTACCAATCTCTGTCAGATGGCGGGCAACAAGCTCAGACTTGAGCCGATACGACTCGTTGACAGCACTGCCGTAGAAGTCGCGAACAGCACTGTCCTCAACAGGCTTTTGATCACCGAGACGGTAAGAAGTTGCACTTTGAGTGTGTTGAAGCTTGGCTCCAGTGGCCTTCTCGGCGATATCTTCTGCGTTGTTCGAAGCCATGGTGATACTTTGTGGAAAGAAGCGAGAACGTTGAAGGTGAGAGGTTGGAGACTGGAGACATCGACTGGTGTCGACTCGTGTATTTATCGCACATGAGACAAGGCACAGACTCGAGTTCTCCCCTTTTGTGGCGTGAGAGAGAGATAGACAAGATAACTAATCGCTGCTACGAGTCAATGCACACCCTGAACCCAGCCAAAACCTTACTGTGTAGCATCCGCTAGACGACCAACCACGCCAAGACAACGCGTATACTACGCTATCTACCTATCTTATCGGCTCGAACGCACCCTGCTGACATCCAAACCCCCACTTTCCCCGGATTATGCCTGCTGTTTGAGAGTTTAAACCACGAGATTTGGGATAAATGGGGTTAATCTCATCAGATAATTGGTGCCCGCTATCAATGGTCGAGACCTGGCTATGTATGAACATGTCTTGACCATTTCGGGGATCTCAGGCATGGATAATGTCGAGGACTTCAGAAACCAATAACGAGTGATCTAATATTCAGCGTGGGTCGGGGCTCTGACGAGTTGAGATGGTGGCCTTAAACGAGTGGTGAGTTTGACTAGTCTCCCTTGTACAATGTGAGCGTATCACTTAGACAATCGAACAGTTGGTACTCCAAAGTGACATTATTGACAGATAGAATTCTCCAAATGCTTCTTGCTATCTGAGCCGATGATTGTTGCGCATCATCCATACTTGAATGAGCAGTTTCTAGGGCGTGATATCTCGTGAAATTTGCTTGATATCTCGGAACAATTGATACATTATTTTATCTAGAGGCTCTCATTCAAATACGAGGTTAGTTAGAAGGGATCTGCAAAAAGCCTGCAAAGTACGAATCGAGCCAACTCGCCGCCGTGGCACCCTCCTCGACACTAGCATTCTTGATACGTCGAATGGCACCGACATACCCATCTGGCCTAACCACGAGAATCGAAACCTCTCCACTATCGACAGAGCCAAGCCACTTCTCTGTACATGAAGTTCGTTTGGTATCCAAATGCGCTGCGTCATCCAGATATACTGTCCACCTACTCTTGGAAAATGTGGAAGGCAAGTCTGAGAGCTCGAACTCATTCTTATCTGTGGAGGCTGTAAAGATTCCGCTAGTTAGCTGTTGTGATACAGTGGCGATGCAGTAGATACTACTTACTCAGAAGCGCAAATGTGACCAATTGGTTGACTGATGTGTACCGCTCTGGCCGCACGTAGACATCATCGGCTCGGCTGGCACGAGGCTTCTGTTGGTATGACGCCTGGGCTGCCTGGCCAAGCTGACACAAAAGCGAGGATGGCGTCGAGATAGACTCATCGAAGCCTTTGATGAAGCCACTCTCTTGACGTCCTGTAAGGTTCGGAGCAACTACATAGACTCGGAACTGGCCGAGAACTGGAACGTCGAGCTGAACATCAACTGGACAAGCGTCTATGTAGCGTGTAACCTTTGCTTGCGGAAGATTGCAACCAGGCTTGGCATCGCCACCCGGAGCGGCATCTAGAGGTTGGTTCAGCTCATTGAGACCGTACTCAACCCCCACTCCCGAGATGAAGCGTGTGTTCTTGCGGAAATTCTCAGCGAGCCTCTTGGAGTCACCTCCAGCGATCTCGTTAGCGTGTTCAAAGTCAAAGTTGATGAGATCCTCCGCGATCTTCTTCCGTTCCTGCTCGTAAGATTGCAGAAGGATACCATCCTTAGCGAAACCACGTGCAGCAAGGTTGAGCTTCCAGCCCAAGTTCCAAGAGTCATGGACACTGGTATTCATTCCCTGTGCAGCTTTGGGACTGTGTGTGTGACTGGCGTCTCCAGCTATGAATATCCGCTGAGTCGGGTCCAGGAACCGCGTTGCAAAGCGCTGGGATACTTGATAGTTGCCGAACCACTCGACTGATGTCCAGTTGACAGTGTATGGAGCCATGATGAGACGTGCTTGCTCCATGACAAACTCCTGGCCAAGACCTTTGGAAGTGACCGAACTCTTCATCTCGATGTAAAGTCGGGTCATGTTCCGCTCACGTGGAATAAGAAGGACTGATCCGTGTTCCTCGGAAAATATGACAGTCTTGCTCCAGATGTCAGGGAAGTCAGTGTCCAACTCTCCATCCAAGACCCCCCAAACAGAATTATGAGGAGTTCCTTGAGAGGCAGCGCCGGGAATGGCGTTTCGTACTGCTGAGCGAGCACCATCACAGCCTACTAGATACCTGGCCGGAATAGCTGTACGTGTTTGACCATCTTTGTCGCATTCAATCTCGAGGTAATCAGAAGAGCTTGTTACTCCTTGAAAAGTGTGACTGCGAGTGACCTCAACACCGCTTTTCGTCAGGTCATTGATAAATGTGCCTTCCATCATGCCTTGATGGCATAAAAGGATATAGGGGTGTAGCACATCTACCACTGAGGATGGATAGTGGACTTCACGTCCTGTACGGCGAAGTCCTTCGGTTGGCGAACCCCGCCACATGCAGATGTCATGAACCTTGACTCCTGTTTGTACAAGATCATCGCCAATTCGCAGCATCTGCAACGTCTCAATGGTCTTTGGCTGGATACCATCAGCGCGACCCACGGTTGTCTGGTCCGGCCTCTCATCGAGGACCTTGACTGAGAGACCAAGCTTTGCCAATACAACACTGGAGAATCGATCAGTATGGATAAAGGTGAACAGAAATTAGCGAGCTCACCTCAGCATGAGACCCGAAGGGCCAGCTCCAACAACGCAGACATCATGGACATCGGCATCGTGATATCCGTTGCTGTGACCATTTGTGCTCGTCGGGATGGCCATGTGGGGCAAGTGTTGGTAGTGTAATGTGAATGGGTACTGTGCTAAGAGTGATGATGGTGTTTGACTGTGTGACAATTGATCTCATCAACACATTCACCTCTCGGATATATCAATCAAGCTGGTTCGTACAAACAGACAGCTAAAGACTTTCTTGCGGCCTCTTCCGCCAAATGTCGTCTCATCCGTTGAGGACAATGTAGCAGCACCATGATTCGATCAGTCGGGCACTATCATCAGTAAGCTACTTAGCGCCGAGTCCACCCCCACTCCCGAGTCTCAACCGCCTTTGGCTATCGCTATCTCGGCGATTCGGCTTATGACTCGACCTAAATCTTAAGTTAGTCTACTTTTATCAGCATACACGCGGGGCTTGGCAAGGTATAATCAAGGATGGGGTCATGCTGCAGATCACGGCCTCCCTCTCCCGTTCAGTACAGAAAAAGACTCGCGTTATTGTCGCGACGAGAGAATTTTAGTGGCTTGTTGCATAACTCTCTGCCAGACTAGTACAATGGCGCCTGGTTCAATTGATCCGGAGCCTCTGCCTTGGCAGTCTACAGTTGAGCGCAAGAAACAACAACAGCGTGACATTTTGTCCAAGGCTTTATTGGAACTTGAGAATAGCCAAGACTTACAACATGTCGATGTCAATCAGCTTGCCGACACAGCCCAAACTTTAAGCCTTATATCCAGCGGGCAGCTGACATGCAAAGCCGTTGTGCAAAGGTTGATTGGACGGTAAGTGATTAATGATAGAACAAGTGCTGTGTCATCAATTAATTAATTTCTCTATAGAGCGATCCAAGTTCATCAAGAGGTGCGTGTTTCTTACGTGACGAATTAATAGGCACTATTTTTCTGACGACGATCGATCTCATATAGACCAACTGGTAAGAATAAGATGCACCCTATGAAGCCAGACGTCAAAAGCTAAATTGACTCTAGTTTAACCGAAGTTGCTTTCGAAGATGCGTTGCAACAGGCTCAAGAGCTTGACGCTTACATGGTCAGCAATAAAAAGCCAATCGGGCCTCTACATGGCTTGGTGGTCACCCTCAAGGACCAATTCAACATTAAGGGATATGATAGTACTCTAGGCTACGTTGGGAGGTCTTTCAACCCAGCTACCGACGACGCCGTACTGGTTAAGATGCTCAAATCACTGGGGGCTATTGTTCTCGCCAAGTCAAACTTGCCTCAGAGTATCATGGTGAGCGGCTGATCTTATTCCATCCTGGCTAAATACCTTGGCTCACTGGTATTTAGTGGTGCGAGACAGAGAATCCACTCTGGGGATTGACTACCAATCCCATGAATAAAGATTATACACCAGGTGGCTCTACAGGCGGAGAGGCTGTCCTGATTTCTTGCGGTGCCTCTATGATTGGATGGGGCACGGATATTGGTGGAAGCATTCGGATTCCGAGCCACATGATGGGCTTATATGGCTTGAAGCCAAGTGTGAGTTGTTTCTGGTCTTTAAGCCACTGTCATCCCGCTGATTTGTTATCAGAGCACAAGGCTACCTTACCAAGGTGTCCCAGTCTCGACAGAGGGACAGGAACATGTTCCATCTTCGATTGGTCCGATGGCAAGAGACTTGGGCATGATCAAACATGCCATGCATAGCTTGATTGAGTCAAAGCCATGGGAATATGACGCACGCTGTGCACCCCTTCCTTGGCGAGGCCATTTATACGAAGAAATGCACAGTCGCCCACTTACTATCGGTGTTCTGATGGACGACGGAGTTGTTCGTCCGCATCCGCCGATAACTCGAGTCTTGCAAGATGCAGTCGAAGCTTTAAGACGGGAGGGACACGAGATTGTGGAGTGGAACACTGAGCTCCACGAGCAGTGTATAAGAACTATGGTGATACTCCCGGCGTACAACTCGCGATCTATTTGACTGACTTGCAACAGGATATGTTTTATACCGCTGATGGTGGTGAAGATATCCGCCAAGATATATCAAGAGCCGGAGAACCATTCATCCCTCACGTCAAACGACTTGTCAACAAAGGTCAAGCAATTTCGGTGTACGAATATTGGAAGCTCAACAAGAAGAAGTGGGATCTTCAGCAAGGGTACTTGGAGAAGTGGAACTCGATCCAGTCTACCACTGGCAAAAGGGCTGACATACTTCTCATGCCCGTTATGCCGCATACCGCTGTTAGACATGGCGGATGCGGTTGGGTTGGGTATACAAAGGTCTGGAACGTTCTTGACTATACCGCGATGGTGATACCTGGCGGGACGGTACAGTCGGGGGATGTCGACTTACCGTTCAAGTACCCTGCTAGAGGACCTGAGGATGAATGGAACCAGGGGCTCTGGATCAAAGACAAAGGCGAGATGGCTGCGATGAAGCTCCCAGTTGGGCTGCAGATCGTCGGACGGAAACTTGAAGAGGAGAAAGTGCTTGGGGCCGCTGAGGTGATCGATCGCGTGGTGAGAGACATATTGCCTCGTTAAGTAGCCTATTCCCCGTAACGTATATAAGGAGCCCAGTCTGCTTTAATTAAGCACTTAAAGGTAGACGCTTTTAGTCTTTTAACCGACCGTCTCGGTCATCCTGCGGTTGATCTTTGCCTTGTGACCTCTTTCCATCCAGTGTAAAGTTTCCGTCAGAAGAAGTATTAGACACAGAAGAGGCTGCAACTATTGATATTTGAGGAACCCATGGATCCTGAAGCTAGATGCAAGCAGCATGCAGAGCTGCACACACAGAGATGTCAGTCCTGAACTGAATAAAGATGTTTTAAACTTGTCCTAAATTACTTAAATCTTTTTCGTATTTAGGATTGAGATCTTAACCTTCCCTTTCCTCCTCTAGCCACAGTATATTTACTCAAAAAGTGTTATACCAGAGGAGGAGGATGGGAAATCCGCCGATTCATGGGGGCTTCCAGTTGAGGTACGCCATGCTAGGGTATTTGCCATATGACTCCCAATTAAATGCTTTTTCGGCGACTAATCCTGACATAACCAAGGCTAACACCAGCGAGTTGTCGAAGCATTCTCCATCGGTAGCGTTCCTCTTCCCATTGATAAACCCTTTTATCATCCAAGGCCATGACTCTAGGCCACCCAGTATGAATCGTGGTATCAACCCAAGTTGAGCTTGGCCCCTCCATCGGCTCATTTCCCCCGCCAAGAGAGCTCACAATATCAGGCAAATCTTCATTAAATAAAGATAGTCCGTTTCGAAATCCCAGCGTTGACTTGACGGGGTCTGGTTGGGGGCCAAAGACAGCAATTTCCCGTTGATTCTGGGCGTTGATAAAGTCAATGGCTATATGCAGAGGCACCTGGACTGCTGTATCCGATATAACCTTCGTAACATGGTGACTGATGGATTTGAAGTTCAGCTGTTGGCTTAGCCCGCTGTCTTCACCTGTGAGGGTAATGAGAACTGGCAACTTTCCCACGTCTGTCACACGAATGTGGAAGTTGTCTTCTAGAAGAATGATTGTTACTGCCTTGAACAGTGACTGTAGGATCGAAAACTCTTGATCTCGGAAGTGTGGACCCCCAGATGAGGACGGTGGAGGAAGAGTCACGACCTCTCGTTGGTATGTCGCTACTTGGTTGCAGATTCTCCCATGCAAGTCGTTTATGAGCGTGACCAGTGATACCGTAGACATGTCAGGAGGAGGCTTGCAAGGGTAAAATAGCTTTGCAATGAACTGGTGGTACTCGATATCATTCCGGTATGGTCGATACCACTTTTTGTATAGCCAGTTATGCAAAGCGCAGTGGAGTAATAAACAGCCCTTGGCGCCAGGCACAATATATATCGGCACGGTCTTGTTGCAACACGCCTCCAAGTGTCTTGGCGATATATCCTTCACCTTTGTCTGATCACTTGCAGAGCAGGCGTCGGTGGGGAGTGGGCAGGGTTGGAGGATGCGTGTGACGGACTCCATATAGAGATCTCTTCGATGGTATATCTCCAGTTGACCTCGCATCTCAGATAAGATTTCGTGTCGGGGCAGCGGCGCCCTTTGCTTGATGCTTTGACACACGTACATTCTGAGGGTCGAGGTATTTTGCCTCAAGAGGTGATCTGGCAGCAGAAGGGTGATGTCAGATTGCAACTCTTCTTCTCCAGCTGATACAAAATTGATAAGAATGATGTATGCGAGCTCGAGCGATATTTTAGCAGTGAAATTTTAGAGAGACAAGAAGCAGGCTTTATATAGTGCTAAAAGCCTAAAAGATAGAGTGGCGCGTTGAAAGTCAACTCAAAGTAACATCCAAAGTGTGAGTCAGGCCTTGAACCTTGCCTTGGAACTCAACCCCTTGGAACTCAATCCCTTGGAACCCAATGAGTCGCTACTTACAAGCAATAAAGTTTGAGCACATTCTTTGCTCTTTCTTCTCGAGCTTCTTGCTTCAGATCGCGGCGGGTATGAGTTTAGGGGCGCATAAAATAATTAGTAAGTATTTCAGTATACTAAATTTACGCACTTCCCATTCCAACTTTGGAAGTCTCCTTGGATAAGCTCTTCAAACATCCATCTTGCCAGGTCCATCCTGCTGATAGTATATCCAACTCTTATACCGGTTTCTTGCTCATCACTCTTCCTCAAAACATCGTCTTCCCGAATCCACCCGACGCGTACTTTCTTTGTCCCTTTCATGTCCCCATCTGTCAGCAGTGGAGGTCGAAGCATCACATATCCACCAAGACCAGATTGCTTCTGCGTCGCGGCCACACGAGTAACACGCTCAAGAGCTGCAGTGTCGTTCTGAGCCTCTTTCAATAACCACCAGTAGAGTGGGATGAGGCCAAGTGGTTGATCACGACGAGCGCCATGTCCAGTTGATGAGATTGGAGCGTAGATGGGTGAATTTGAGATGCTGTCGGTAGAAACAAGATCTTTCAAAACCTGCATCACCGCAACTGCAGAGTCGCCAGTGATAGTGGCATCATCCATAGCAATAGGGTGAAACGGATTGAAGCGGAGTTTCCAAGTGCTTGTGATACCACTGAAAATGATCTGGGGGTCATTGAGAAGAAGACTGCGGACTGTGGAAACATCGCGGGATGATCCTGTGACCACGATGAGTTGTGACTGTTGGATCTCTTCAGATACGCCAAGATCCAAGAGAGTCTTTTTCAATTTGGAGTGATCTCGAACAACTATGTGCGAAGGATTAGCTTGGACGCTGAGAGTATGGACAATTTGAACTCACGAGCAGCTGCTTTATGGCCATCGAGTAATGTCCAAGCTAGCACATGCCGCAAAGTAGCACCGCACGCTCCGATGAATGCCGCTTTGACCGCCATGATGTGATATTTGGCTTGAGTAATTATTCAAAGAGATAAAAAAAAGTTTTACTTGTACAGATGAGATGTTGCATAATTCTGTTATAGCTACTGGTGTCTTTATATTTTACAATTATCGGTCTGATCATCAGTTCATTATGCGGACTTGTTGCGGAGTCGGCATCGGGACAACTACATATTAAAAAGTGGCTTGCCAAGTCCGCCTATGTCACAGGCCCAATTTCACGTCGTGAACCCGCGGAAGCCGAGATGGGTACCAAAATTCGCAGAAGAAGAAGAAAAAAGAATTTTACAGGAATAAGCCTTCCAGTCCAATGCGGGATTAGATCTTAGACGCGTTGAAAGCTGTCAGGCCAGAGACTCGTTTAGATGCCGAGGATCATGGATAATAGTCTCTAAAGGTCATGACTGGTAATATTTATTACTCGACTTGAGTTCCTGTAAGGATATGAATAGCAGCCCAATGGCTTGTGATTTCATTGCTTCTACGCCGACTCTTGAAACTTCTTCATCACTTCCTCGTGACTAGCCGGCATAAGAGCACCTTCTGGCACAGGGTTCTTGCTCTTGAAGTAGTCGCTCATCTGGTAAATGTCAGCAATATGAACTCCATCAAAATCACCTGGGATGAGTGGTAACTGACCTCTCCCATGGTGACCCACTCGACACCTTCATGTTTGTTGATGTGCTCGATGATGCGTTCGTGCATCAGAAGAACGTGGGGTCTACCTGATACATCGGGATGGATAGTCATTGGGAAGATGAATTCGTCTGTAGCGTGTCAGTGGACCGAAAGATTCACTACGTCAAGCTCGGTACTGCACTGACCATATTCCCGGTAGAAGTAATCGAAGTGATCTTTCCAGATGTCTTCAACGTCCCTGTGTCTCCTGTCAGTTCGAGCAAAAGCCTGGCTTCTAGAAAGACTTGCCTCGGGTTGACCCATCCATGTGAGTTTGGAGAGTTCTTGATAAACATCATGGGCGGTAGATCGTCTATATACCAGGAGCCAGGTATTTCGACCATGCCCGTCTCTTTGCCTTTTGTCAGGGGTTTCATCCACTCCTCGGCCTTCTTGGTGTAATCAATCTTAGTCCATGAGTCGCCTGTCCGCAGCCAATATGCCTGACAGTCGTGATGAGACATTGAGTGGTCGTACTCGATTCCGTAACTAAGCATCAACTCGGTCCCTTCTTCGCTTGTCTCCCACCAAGGTGCCACGCTTCCCTTGGGTGGCTTCCCACAGAAGTCGGTAAGTAACTTCCATGTCTTGTGCAGAACGTCCTTTTGCTGCTCGAAAGTCATGTCCACGGGGTTTTCGTGGCTGTAGCCATGTAACTGCTGCTGCTTAGTGGAATTTCTGACATTGGCATGTTGTTTGACTTACACCTATCTCATGTCCAGCATCTCGGACCATAGCACACTCCTCTGGGAATGTTTCCAGGCTGTGTCCAGGGATGAACCACGAGGCTTTGATGTTGTACTTCTCAAAAAGCTTCAACAGGCGTCGGGTACCGATTGTTCCCGCCCAGAGACCTGTTTCCCAGAGGGTTAGCAGTGAAAACATGAAACACATTGTTTTACCGACCTCTGCTAATGTCGCTTGTGCTGTCTTCGCCTCCGTATGATCCCAGCCAACCGGCCACGGCATCGATATCCACTCCGTAGCTAGGAGTACCCTGGTTAGCGAAATGTTCATTGATCGAGGGCAATCCTTACCAGACCAAAACCTTCTTTTTGCCCATTTTATTCAAGTGATCTTTTGTAAAACAAATATAAGATGCCTCAAAAATTCACTGTTGAAGTTAACTCTATACGACTCGGTCAGGTCCAATGCCATATAACCTGAGCTCAGAGATACTCCCGAAACGCGGGGTTCTTGTGTTCGAGCACTTGGGAAATGGGACATACCCCCACTTACCCCCCCTAATCGGTATCAGATTAGTTCCCGTTGGCGGTATCAGGCGTTATCACAAGTGGAGTCTACAAAAGCGAGCCGTTGCAACCCCCACCCCCATTCTTGAACTCAGTTTCTGGTACGAGACTGTGAGTTGAATCGGATAGCAGGCCGTCGTATGATGGCCCGCCAGACTTCGGAACTCTATCGTAGAAAGAAACCCATCCAGTCTCGTGATTCACTCACTACAAAGGCAATTTGACATGTATGTGAGTTTCTTACACTGAACATCGCAAGCGTCAAATTATTGCAGCTTGTTCTATTTTCCGATTCTCCTGATATCAACCAATTATATCATATCACTTGCCCAAAATGTCAAAGGTCAGTTACTTCGGACCAATATTTTCCCATATCATTTGCTCACATTGTTTCGCAGTTTTCACTAGCAGGCCGCTTAGCTGTTGTTACTGGGGGAGGTAGAGGCTGCGGTTTTGCGTTTGCCCAGGGGTTGGCTGAGGCCGGTGCCGACGTTGCCATATTCGACGTGATTGAGCCCTCGGCTCCTGAGGTCGAACAGCTGATTTCCAGCTACGGGGTCCAGATCAAATCCTACATTGTGGATGTAACCACGTTGTCGAGTCTAAGAGAAGGTTTCACCGCTGTGGCTTCAGACTTCAACAACAGACTAGACATCCTGGTCGCCTGCGCAGGGGTCAACAAGAATGTGCATTTTCTCAACACTGAAGAGGAAGACTTTGACAAGTTGTTTGCCGTCAATGCCAAAGGCGTTTACTTCTCTGCAAAGCTGGCAGCTCAGGCCATGATCGAAAACAAGACCAAATGCGGAAGCATTATTCTCGTGGCCAGCATTGCTTCGCATATGGCTATTCGGTCTCAGAGGTCAACAGCCTACTGCGGTACCAAGGGTGCAGTGAGAGCAATGGTAGCACCAATTGCTGCCGAGCTTCAAGAACATAGCATCCGAGTAAACTCAATCAGCCCCGGCTACGTCAAGACAGCCATGACAGCGCCATTCCCGGACTTGATCGAGGGATGGAAGGACGAGATCATGAACCGTCGCGTCGCGGAACCTGACGACATCAAGGGGGCCTGTGTCTTCTTGGCTAGTGATGCGAGCGCGTGAGTCATTGCCACCGTCTTTTGAACTGTCAGTTATACTAACCAATCACCAGGTATTGCACGGGCTCCGATATTCTTGTTGATGGGGGTGTCACAAAGTGGTAGTGTCGTTATCCCTGCCTCTCAGAAATCGTAGAGGGAAGAGCAAAGAAATACAAAACTCTATTATTATTAGCCAGCACTTGAGCGTTTGAGGCATGTAATTCGTGGGGCACTTCGGCCACCGTTTCAACTGTTCTAGACAAGTCTCCTGGATATGAGTTCCGATGTTCCCGTGTGACAAGCCCTGTAAACCTTGCATGTTCGACATGATCTGAGGAATTGACAGCGTTGGCATGCTGGCCAGGAGCCAAATAATAGTCTGTTGATATGACAAAAGTGCTGAAATATCCTTATAGCAGTTTTAAAAATATTTCAAATACCCTTCCTATATTGACTTTGATGCCGTTGCGATCTTGTTACATTTATCGAAACAGGATAAGGGGTGGCCTGTTCTTAGCTTAGTTCACGCACCAAGTTCAGACGATGCTACCATATATACCTGCCTTGTCAGGAACATTGATTTGTCCTGACACAGCCGTAAAGCTTAAATAATCCAAGTAAAGTATAATTACGAGTTTAAGATGATTCTCTCTTATCCAAGGGAAAGGACTAGCCTCAGTATCGCATGACATGTACTCAGAATCGTTTGCGTGAGATCTGAGCAGAATGAAATTCCTGCAATTTGTATTTAAATATTAACCTCGCCACATAACTGTCTTCTAATCCTCACAATTATACCCTCTTCACATTCTCTCGCCAATCCTCAACTTATCAATCATTATGCGTACTGTTGCTGTACTCGCTCTCCTTGCACCACTCGCGACGTGCGTCACGACCACCATATGGAATATTACAGGTTCATGCGCTAACAGCGATATTGGCCTTGTGTGCGTGGTTACGAAAACTGTAGCTGACCCAAACACAGTCTGCAAGGGGAAGGCTGGGACGTATGCAGGAGATGGGATCAATGGGATGTCAAGCTGTACTGGCCTTGGTTCCCCTTGTACTTATGTTTGGCGATGCTAAGCATTGTTCCTCGGCATGAAAGCGGTAAGTCTCGAGTTCAACACCTTGCTGCACGCACTGAATATCTTTAGTCAGCACTCCCGGAAGCACATATGATGATGGTAACATAAGGGACGCACGAGATATAATGGTGTAAATTTCAGTAAATACCTAGCTGCGTGGTCTGGCTTATTCACCGCTCGACTGAAAGCTATATGATCTTGGGTTGTCTATCTGTATAGTCATCAATCAGGGTTAAACCTACTTTATCTCTCACTCTCCGTACCATAATGTTTCCCTCGATTACACAAAGAACCTCCAACGCGGATCTTGTTCACCATCAGTGATCTCGGAAGTAGCAACATCCTCGGCCTTTATATCAACACCTTGTGCCTCATTCTTCATACGGTTCTGCTTCCTCATCCAGAATCCCAAACCTAATGTGAAAATGATGCAGGTGACATTGCAAGCAGCTGTGCCGATCAGGGTAGGTGCATAGCGAGGTGCATAAGTTGTTCTGAACGTCCCAGCGGATAGAATGCCACCAAGGTTACCGAGACCTACGAGTAGGCCAGTCGTAGCCGCTCGGGAGTTCTCACTGAGATTGTTGTTGTTGTGCCAGCTATGAACTAGACAACTCGGGATATATGCCCCAGCACACAGCATAAAACATGCGAAGTAGGCCACTCCAATGTGCGCTTCAGCATCAATGATGGCGAGGATGAGTAAGCCAACGAGGCTTGTGCACAGACTGCCAACGATATGCAGTGTTCTTTCTCTGTTACGGTCAGAGCTCCAGGTAACTGCGAGAAGAACCAGGAATCCTGCAACATTGGGAGGTACAGTCAGAAGGTTTGTGATAACCGTGCTATATCCCAAACGACGGATAATGAGCGGCAGGAAATTGGAGGTAGTGGAGAAGGCGACGGGGTATGTCAGGCTGATAACACACCACACTGCGAATCTCCAGCTGTTCCAGCTCTTGAAGCATTCTTTGAGATTGAACTCTTCTCCAACAGCTCCACTCCCGTCACGCAGAGCCCTTTGCCTTGCAACGTGTTTCTCTTCTTCTGTTAAGAACCAGGCACTTTGCGGGTCGGCAGGGAGCCACCAGAAGGCAACAATTCCCAACAGCACAGTCATTGTACCTGAGTTCCCTTGATTAGCAAGACATGTTTCAGATCCGCTTTAGTCCCTTTGACTTACCTTCAATTATAAACAACCACATCCAACCATGAACGTGAGAGACCTTGATCTGGAAGACGCCAAACGAGATGAGACCCGAGAAAGCACTAGCAAGCAGCGCACTACCAAAAAAGATGGCAATCCTAAAGCCAAGTTCGCCACGCTGGTAAAAGAGAGTCAGATAAAAGACAGCACCAGCAAAGAAACCGGCTTCGAAAGCACTGTGAGCTGTCAGTACAATTTCATAAGAATCCGGTGAATTTGACAGAACTTACCCCAGCAGGAGGCGGATGGCCAGCATGCCTCCAAAGTTCTTGCAGGCGGCTTGCAATAACGCCATGGAACCCCAGCCGACCATGAGGGACGGCAGCATGATTCTACCAGAAAACTTCTTCAGAAGCAGGTTAAGTGGGAGATCACAGAGACCGTTTGGGACATAAAAGAGGAGGATTAAAAGTGAGAACTCTTGGCCCTTGAAGTTGAGATCTTTGCTCATTCCATCTGTCTCGGCGTTTCCCAGGTTACTCTGTTTTCGTTAGAAAAGTCACTGGTGTCTGAGTCAAGACTTACTCTATCAACAGCATTGAAAAAGTACATGACGCTCAGATATGACAGGAGCCATGCGTCCATCTTGCGCACTATGCGGTGTTAGCACGGGGCATGTCGCTGGCTTTTTTCGTTTCGCGGGTAACTGACAGTAAGATCGCTCGGCAGCTGTATCGACAACAATCTGGGAACCTGTTTCCTGGTCAAAAGCCAGAGACTCAAGCTGCTTATTCTTATCGTCAGAAGCCATTGTGATAATGTTGCTTTCGGTCACAGCCTAATAGTTCTTGTCTAAGACTGAAACTTTTGGTTGCCAGCGACACCTCTTATTTATCATTGTTTGAGTGTTGCCCTTGGTCTAGTCAGTTTACTAGCTGTATCATTATCGTATCTGTAACCGAGACCAGGATCCGCAAGCCAATGGTCTTCAATCTCTGAGGGGAAACAAGACTACCTTAGCCATTCCATTAGAAGTGGGCTTCGTATCCGTCCTTCATAACCGGTGTTACCAGTACATCCACCTCAATTGGCTGATATGGCTTCTTCTCGTACCATCTACTTGATATGCTACAGTAACTTGCCATCAAAAATGGGGGCTCCTGGCGTAGGATCGTCGCATCCGACAGCTTTATCTAAGTGGGGAATAACATGGGAGATAATCAAGAGCCGTCCCAACAGTTGTTTTACCCCCGCCTTATCCCCAATCCACTACCCGCGTATCTATCCGGGAAGCTCATCCGCAATGTCTTACGAGGGAACTCTTCTGGGTAAGACTCCTGTTCAGTCGGTGCAAGTTCTTTTGATGTTATCGTGTTAAATATAATTGCAGGTCTATGACGGGCGGAGTGAAACCCATCACAGTTTGTTTAATTAACGCACTCCTCATTATCTATTGTGAGTCTAAAACAATAAACTACGTTACACATAAGGCGGTTTAAGTGAATGGGGAAATGTCCAGGCGTGTATCGATAGACGGAGTCCCGACTCATGAAATTCTGGGTTTTCTGTTACTGAAAGTGAGTTCCCACTTAAGTGCAAGGGATCAAATACTGAGGAGATGGCTCAAGCAGATCAGGCAACTCCAAGCAAAAACCTTTTTGCCCAAGAGTTCATTATTTTGAACGTCTTTTAACTCATATTGGACCAGAGTAACCGAGAAAACCATTGATTGAATAGGCAAGACATAGAACAACATATAAGTTGTAATGCTACAATAATACATCAAGCTGCAACCTGCTGCAGAGGTGTGCTTTCCACAGAACTCTCAGCCTTCTTCTCCAGGCCCTGCTTGTACAGCTGAGCTCTTCCGTATGACTCCGCATAGGATGCCGACACCACCTCTTCAACAGTAGCTGGCTTGAACTTGGCCTCCTCTCCAGGTGCTTTGCAGGTTGGGATACAGTCGACAACGTAGTCAGGGTTACCAGATACGAAGACTGGGATGGAGTACCTCTCTTTGCCAGTCTTGTTGATAACGCGGTGGACGTTGCTCTTGTACTTCTCATTTGTCCAACGAGCCATCAGGTTACCCAGGTTGACAACGAATGCCCCCTTGGTCGGTTGAACCTAATAGAGGTTGTCAGCTTTTCTCTTTCTTTAGCGAAAGGTAATAATACTTACATCAATCCAGGTGTTGTTCTTCTGATCCCAAACTTGAAGACCATCGACATCATCCTGAAGAAGCATTGTGATAGCACCGAAATCGGTATGAGCTCCGATACCTCGAGTAAGCTTGTCGTCAGCATCCTTAGGTTGAGAAGGATAGTGTAGGAGCCTCATGGTAGCAACAGCGCCGTCCAGGAAGGTACTGAAGTAGTCCTCCTCCAGATCAAGGGAGAGTGCTAGCACTCGCATAAGATCAGAGGCAAGTCTCAACGTTGACCTATAGTAATCCATGGTCTGGTACTTAAAATCCTCTAAATCGTCTCCCAAAGCTTCGGGCCACTGGTTAGGGCCACTGTTGAGTTTTTTGTTAACGAAATAGGGGTGAGACTTGGGGATTTCATCGCCGATGTAAAAGCCCTCTTTGAGTTCGGGCTGAGTACCCTCCTCGAGGATCTGTGACCTCAACATCTCATAACCTCGGTTCCAAGTGTTGTTGTTCTTTGAGACCTTTTCCTTCTCCTCCAGAGGGAGGTTGAAGAGCTTCTTGGCGCACTGCAGGGCTTTTGCTTGCTTGTCTACAGGAACAGAATGTCCTAGGATCTGGAAAAATCCATTATACAAACAGCTTTCGCGTACCTGGTCTACAACCTTCTTCTTCTCCGCTGGGTCTTCTGAGTAGAATCCTATATCATTTAGACTAAGATCTAAACAAGAGTTTGCGGTTGTTGCTTACCAGAGAAGTCAATGATAGGAATCTCAAGCTTCGCCATGATGTACTGTAGCTTCGGGTTGATTGCAATCTCGATTGATCAGTCAGTCTGTCGAGCAATTTAGTGAAGTAATGAATAAATGATGCCAGTTACGATTACTTCAAGACTAGATACATCTATATTAATAGCGTTGAGGTAAAAATAACCCACTCTGGGAGCGAAGCCTTTGACTCTAAGCTACATGCTTACTGTTGATGATCGGGAATTCGGAGACCTCCGGGATCACCCCCAACTTTGCATTGTCAACATAACTTGCATTAAACTGAGATAGGCTTGAATGCGGGGTTTATGGGCTGTACCCACCCTTGACTCTCAAAAGTGGGCGCGCTGTGATAAGGGCTGCTGGACTGCCAGGATACGAATTCCCGGCAATAATCGGAATTTGCCTGCTGGAGCAATGAGGGGTTACTAAATTCAGGACACCAAGCTTGTCGGTCCATCGTGAAGCAGGACATCAATAGATGAGGCTGTGTTTAATGTTGGCCCTTAACTTAGTAAGGTTTTCGCCATAAACCAGAGTACTGTATTCCAAAGCTTAATCTTACAGGTAACAGTTATCTTCATAGTAATGGAGGCAACTGCTAAATTGAGCTACTGAGTCTTGTTACTTACTAGCTATCTATGTTAAAAGACCGAGGTTGGGAGTCGAAATACAGTGTATACATTATTATACTACTAATATATTATATTATTAAGAGAGCATGACTTAATCTACTAAAGGAAAGTTAATATAAATATTAAAAATAAATGAGTTTAGGGTATCTTGTATTGTGCTCTATCTTATCTTATCTCTTGATATGTCTGTTCTTATCGCGACTTAACCTACTCTATACTAGGTTATTTATAGAGTAGTAATAACACATACACAAGCTATTAGACAAGACAGGTGTAAAGATAACTTGCTCCTTTTAGAACAGCAGATTTTAGCTATGTGTGACGTCTATATTGAATATCTAATGGGGCTTTAGATATTAGCCAAAAAATGAAATGCCATTTCAGGACATACGCTGCGCTCCGGTAGATCGGTTAAACTGACCACGGCGGGGGCGGGCATTCCTCTAACAGGTACGCAAGCGTTGTCAGCAAGGCACACCCGTACTTCAGCAGGGTCTACTCTGTACGGCCCAATTAAATACTGTCGCCAAATGGCGATGCGCTGGCATTAACTGCACAGCCAAGGCGAAGAAATACAAAGAAGCAAGGAAATGCTGGAAATGAGATCCTTTTCCTCGTCAAAACAATGAAACTAAACCTCCTTCTGGATAGATGGATCGCCGGGCAAATTACAGGCTTGTTGCTTGGCCCACTGCTCGCACGATCGACAAGGCTAAACTCTTTCCAGTATCAACGCGCCGCTCTCAGCCTTACAACAAGTATGATGTCAAATTGCTTGGCGACGATATGTACGGCAATGTTAAGAATCCAATCTGTATTTAAGAGTTCAAGACTCACCCAAGACTATGAGATTATCCACAAGCTATTGAAACTCACAGATATCACTCAGCATGCGTTTTGAAGCATTGGCTTATATAGGCCTGGCTGGCTCTGCAACAGCCAGCGTCATCCTCTCAAATGATGTTCCTCTTACTGGTCCCTCTTTTCTCCCCAACTTCGACATTTCCAAGACAGATTTTCTCAATGAAGCCAAGCAAAAGTTCCCATCTTTGGTGGAAGAACTGTTCGATACCAAGATCCTGAACAAAACAGACCTTATTTTTGCTGTTGATGTCTTTTCAGCCTCGACCAATGATTCGCTTTACAGCTACTTCCATGTCGGCGATACCTACAAACATACTCTCACAAAGGGAAACCTGACTGAGGACACAATCTTCAGAACAGGCAGTGTGACAAAGGTCTTCACTGTGTATGCTATTATCGCTAAGGCTGGCATTGAGGCATTGAGCTATCCGGTGTCCATTTTCCTGCCCGAGCTCTTGGGTAATACCTCTAGCAACCCGCTGGAGAGAATAGACTGGAGTGAAATCACTGTGGGGGCACTTGCTTCACATCAGGCTGGCACCAGCGGCCCGGGACGTACGTCGACCATGCCACCTTAGGCGGTCCACTGAATGCTGACTAAAATAATAGAATACCTTAAGCCGGGATTCGACGGGAACGATCGCAAGGGTGAGTATGATACCATCGCGTACATGAAACTTACTTACAAGACCAGCGTTTCTTGAATTTATGCGGGATACACAGACCCCCACGATGGGCCCTTGGCGAAGTGCACTGTACTCGGATGCTGGCTTTGGAGTTCTGACTCTGATCCTCGAGCGACTCACTGGCCAAGAGTACAAGGACGCCATTAAAGATATCATCTTTAAACCGCTTGGAATGAACTCTTCCTCTGCAGTGGTCCCTAATGGCACAGACGTGGATGCCGTAGCGCGGACTGGGCTCGTATCATGGGGCACCGATGTCCCTATTGTGGCTGGGTAAGTCAAGCCTCTGGACGTGCCGTCGCGTTGGTGAAATAAACTGACGGCAAAAAGATCTGGTGGCATATATTCCTCTGTCAAAGACCTCCGACTCGCAGGACTCTCTATCCTCAACTCTGAACTCCTCTCATCTTCCACTACTCGCGAGTGGATGAAACCTCGAAGCAGCACCGGCACTCTTGTCGAGCTTGTCGGAGCACCCTGGGAAATCACGCGTCTCACCCTACCTACTGGCCCTGGCTCAAACCGCACCCGTGTCTCTGACCTCTACCTCAAGGCTGGTGGTACAAATGATTACACCTGCTTCATCGCCCTGTCGCCAGACCATGGTATTGGCTTCTCAATCCTGATTGCTGGAGAAACTGCTACCCCTGCGCGTTGGCCGCTCCGCGATGTTACAGGAACAACCTTCATCACAGCAGCTGAGTATGCTGCGGCAGAAAGTGCCGATAAAAACCTCACTGGCACATTCGTCGTCAAAGGCTCCGAGACAACAAACATGACCATTGAAGTCACCAAAGGAGAGCCTGGATTGAAGTTGAAGTCCTGGTACGTTGAAGGAAAAGATGTAGTTGAGGATACTTCGTCTCGCCTCTACCCAATGGGTCTCTACTCCAATTCTCGCTCCCTGGCCGCACAATACAACATCAAGGGTAAGGTTTCTGCAGCTTTCCGAGTGGTTACTGGACTTGCCCCTCCGGCACCTCGTGCTGCTGTTGAGGGCGGAAAAGGAGGATTGTTTGACCATAGTCAGGCTTGGATGAACATCGGAGCTTCTGGGACGGCCGATGAGCTCATCTTCAATATGGAGGATGCAAGAGTCGTTAGCATCATCAGTCCCTACGATGGTACCGAATTTGTTCGAGCAGACTAGTGGCGACGGACTTGGTTATGTTCTATATCTGTCGAATTACAATGCGGCAGAACAATTAATGTTTCTTCTTATTAATGACGCTCTTGGCTGAATAAACTCGTTTTGCCTTTCGTCAAGAGAAGATGACTTGTCCTGCAGTGATATCCAACCCGTAACCACATTCTAACTTCGGTTAGTACCCCTCTTATTGAAGATTACTAAAGATCTTCAATCGAGCACCCGCTTTGAGCTTGGGGAGTGCGGCTGAAAGCTTTAGCGGAAAATCCTTGTGAGGCATTTATATCGAATCTCTTGTCAAGATAATCAGGCCGTTTAATAATGGCTATCTAAAGTATCATAAACTTTACGCAAGACATTCACAAAAAGTCGGTCTCCATGGTGCCTGCAATCGAGTCTCCCAAAGATCGAATCAGCGCGGCAGCAGCTGAAGGAGAGCGACTACTGTCGGTTATAGCTGCCACTGAAGATACTGTAGCCACTCTAACCCAGGTCAAACTCGACCTTGCTGCCCTCAAAAACATATGGTATGATGCAGACGCGTTATATAGCGAAATATCCGCTCGCCTCGAAACGGAACAGAAGGAATTTGAAGCTCTGCGAGATAGCCACTTCAAGAAATTCTTTGCCGGCTCACAGTATAAGGAGAAGCTTAACAAGGAAGAGAATGACGTGATAGAGCTGCTGGAGTGGCAGGCCAAGGCGGACAAGACGCGCAAGGAGCTCAAGGCCAAGCTGGACGACATGAAGGAGCGGAGGCAGAAGTTAGAACACATGATCGAACAACGTGTGCAAGCCCTGAATGAACTCGAGAAACTTTATGCAGTTGTCTTTGACGGGCCTTCGCCAGATAATGCTGAAGAAGATATGCTCGAGGCAGAGATGGAAGCAGCTCAACAGGTAATAACCAAAATCATTTCCCCGGTTTTCTTTACGGCACAACATTGACATTCTCAAGATATTTGATCCTATACAAAACTGCTATAGCCAAGTGGCTTCAGTGGTTAATTATATCACAATGGCTCGCTCACGCGTCACTTTCGCCGCCGGAAGCGCAGCAAAGGCGCTCAAAATCTCCGAATCGGATATCTTTGACCTGAAACCGGGGGCTGGAATAAGAGCTAATCGGAACTTCAACTCCGCTGTTGCTGATCGGAAAGAGCGTGAAGAGTTGGGCTTGGTCCGGCTTAGTCTGGCCGAGGCGTCACAATTCCTGGCCCTGGCTCAGGGCTCGATCCCGAAGTCGGCGGGTTTATCATGCCCAAGGTTGCAGACGGCAAAAGCGCTATTGGCAGACTCGATGACTGGAACAACACACCCGTGACTGACTACCTGTTCCATCGGGAGATCGAAGCAACGGCAGAGGGTATAGCTGCGGCGGGCGCGATTGTAGATGAGGAGCTACGAAAGGCTGAGGAGAAGAAGAGGACATGGACTGAAAAGAGGGATACTGCAGGCAAGGAACTGAATCAAGCAAGAGAGAAACTGCAACAGTTACGAGCCCGGATCTTTGAGGACGCTGTTATTGGTCAAGGAAGCTCAGCAGTGCCGTCCCATGAGCAAGCGACAGTAAATGAGCACCCGCCACAGTATCGAGAATCAGAACATTAGACCTTCTTACACCTAATTAAATACTTTATTTAGTTCTCTCTAGCATTGGTAAATTCATATCCGTCTCATAGCTGAATATCATTACTGTTTCTGCTACTATACCTATCAAAACCTCGATACTTAGCATCCATCCAGGAATGCGTAAATACTCGAATCATTAACCCCAACATAAATATATTCAGCCCTTACATCCATATTCAGATCTCCAAAAATGACGATGTCTGAAGTCGACCAGTTTGGTAAATAGTCAACCCCTGAAGCGATCGGTGCTCCAGGGTTCCACCATACGATAGGGCTCACGGCACCCCAGTTTCCGGACTCAGTACCGCGATTATACCACACGCTCAACCCGCCCGTAGTTTCATCGACAGCCATGTAATCACCACGTCCTTCACCGTTTATTTACGCAAAGCGGATATTCTCACGCTTCGAGCCAACCTTGGTAGCAACGACGCCCCATTCCCACCAGCCCCAGTTTCCTGTGTCGCGGCGTCCCTGGTTGATAAGGTAGCGGCGCCTTTTTCTGAGAGGTGTATGAAATCAGCTAGATCATCGCCGTTAATGTCGGCAAAGTGCACGCCTATAGGGGGAAGGAAGATTAGTCGTTGTCCATGTAGGGGACAAAGCTGTAACTGACCTTGACCGTCTCCGGTGCCCGTAGCGATCTCCTCGCCCGAGGCTGGACCCCAGACAAACTTAGTAGAGCCTTCATGGCTGAACCCCCAGTTCCACCAGGCTGTCGCAGACCCAGAGTCCTTGACCCAAAGAAACTCGGCACGGCCGTCGCCGTTGAGATCGGCAAACCGAACCTGATATCCCTTGGCCCCCCCGCCACTCGCAACGACGCCCATAGGCTGCCACTGGACCTTACCAGAATTGGCACCCGTATCGGGAGCGTTGCCAGCCTTCCAATACATGTAAACCTCGCCATCCACTTGGACGTGGAGGTAGTTGTCTCGCCCGTCACCGTCAATATCAGCCAGAAAAACACTGGGAACCTTTTTCTCCAAGTTAGAGCAGCTACTGCTACTGGTGGATTTGAAGGCTGGTGCCACACCCTTGCCATCGATCCAGAAGCACTCGCTCGTCTTTCAGACACTTCCAAGGACCACTATCGCCACCGCAAGACAGACATTCACCTTCTGAGCAGTGGTCTGCACAGTCTTTGGACTTGCCGTAAGTATTTCCAGGCTCACAGTAGAGTTGATAACACTTCCACTCGCGATTACCTGCACTACCAAGTCCTCATCCCGATACAATTGTGCCCTGCGGAAGCCAAGTGGGCACGGTAGGACATTCTGCCTTGTTTCCTGGATGGTCCCCAGCGACTAACTAGGTGGAGAACACAAGTTGGCGCGACATAATAAAACTTTTTTACCCGTCTTGAAATTGAAAGAGAATTCAAGCAACTGCTAAGAGAACTTACCAGGGTCTTTGACCCAGCCCTTTGGAACGCCTCATCGATACCACCAGCCCAATGTGTCGCCACGACGCCATATCCTTCATCATTCGGATGGAGGCCTCCAGAGAGTCCATCCGTGATCAGCACCATGTCTATGTTCATGAGGAGAATCTTCTTGCCAGCACTCGCGCGAGAGGAAATAAGGGCTGCGATGCCAGCATTATAACTGTTGTTGCGACCCTGTCTTGCTCTGTCCGTAGCTGGGATAATTGCAGCTACAAGAACAGCAGCGTCAAGGCACTCCTTGATGATCTTGTCAACCAGATCGGCCAGACAGTTTATAGCACGTGCTGCATCGTTATCATTGCCCAAATCATTAGAACCAGCATGCAACAGGACTACTTTGGGGCGCTGGCCAAGAGATAGGTCTGCAAAGCCCGATATCTGTGAGATTGTAGCCCCGTTGTGGCCCTCGTTGCCCGGATCACTCATCCCGCCGGCCTTGGCGGAGCCAACCATGTCTACTTTGTAGATTCCCTGTTTGGTTAGATAGTTGTACAAGAAGCCCCTGTATCCGGACCTATCAGAGCTCTCGAAGCTGTTGGTGGTGGAGAGTGAGGACTCGAAGGGCTGGGAGGGGACCGAACCACGAGCTAACGAAGGCATTGCGGACCTTTTCAAATCCAGAACTGTTTACTAAGCTATTCATAGTCTTGGTACTACTTAGGTTTGATTAAGATTATTAAAAAGATTTTATTGAAAAGGTTATCTAACGATAACTAATTTAAGAAATAAAAGTGAAAATATAACTAATACTATTAGAAGTAAGTATAAAGGCCAATCCTTTACATACCTCTATAGACACCCTAATAAAAGTTAAGGCATCCTCAATGGCTTCAGAATATTGCCCTCACTTACTAATAATATCTAGAAATCTCTAGCTACAATTATGAACAAGTTGATTGTTGGTAACTGGTTGGGTCTCTGACACTATGATATTTCCATATGGATCTGTAATAGTGAAAGAATAACTGGAAGCAGTTTGAGCATTGACAAGAATGATCCTGAAAGGAATGATAGAACAAGCGTCGGTTTGGAAGGTGGCAGTTGCGTTGGCGTTACCCCTCAAGTCAAGGGCCGAACTACCCCTAGCGACAGAGTTTTGAGGGTTCATATACCCCGAAGCTGCGTCAGGACCTATCCATAATGCCGCGCCATCATCAATGTCGGTGAACCAGAACGTATAGACTCCGGTGTAGAAGGGATAGAAATTTCCATAGAAATTGTAGACAGACCATTGATTATCTGGCTTCAAGTTTTCTCCATCGAGTACCTGGTTATACTCGACACGATCAAAGCCAGTGACGTTTGTTGTTCCAGATGCGTATGGGGTAAGACCTTGCTGAACAACCTGAAAGGGCCCTTGACTAAACTCGCCATTTGCACCGTTTGATTCACTGTCGGTGTTGAGGGGAATGAGTCCAGGTCCCCATGTCCCATCCTCAGACATTTCAGCTGTATAGTAGTCCCATGCAAGTCCGGGCTGGCATGACGGGGTAGGACATCCAGTAGGGGTATACACGACGACGGTTGTCGTTCCTCCACTTGTAGCAGGGAGGGTAGTTGTAGCAAAGGATACCCCTCCTGACGTGAGAGTAGTTTCCATTGGAGTGGCAAAGGTGACAACAGTAGTTGTTCCTCCAGATGTAGCAGGTAGGGTAGTCAAACCTGTAGTGGTTGCTTGGTTGGTAATAGTAGTTAGACCTCCTCCAGGATTAGTTGAGGTGCTTGAAGTCGACGGAACGTCTGTAATAACTACAGTCTCAGTACATGAAAGGCAGTCTGAGGGGACAGGTAGCGTCGTGGTACCAGCTGTTAAGCCAGTAGTTGTAACTGTAACAGCTGGCTGGGAGTAGGAACTGGTTGGAACATCTGTAACAATAACGGTCTCGGTACAGGTAAGACAGCTTGAGGGGACAGGCAGAGTAGTTGTTCCAGCTGTTGGGCCAGTAGTTGTAGAGGTGACAGTTGGCTGAGAGTAGGAACTGGTTGGAACATCTGTAATAACTACAGTCTCAGTACATGTAGAGCAGTCTGAGGAGGCAGGTAGAGTGGTCGTTCCAGCAACAGGTCCTGTTGTAGTCACAGTTGTAACAGGTCGAGACCCTGTTGGGACATCTGTAATTACTACAGTGTCTGTGCAGGTAGGGCAATCTGATGGGATAGGTAGAGTGATCGTTCCAGCAAATGGGCCTGTAGTTGTAACTGTAATAGTAGGTCGAGATTGGGAACTTGGAACATCTGTAATGACTACAGTCTCTGTGCAGGTAGGGCAATCTGAGGGTACAGGCAGGGTAGTTGTACCCGCAACAGGCCCTGTCGTAGTTACAGTTGTTACAGGTATAGACCCTGTCGGGACATCTGTCAAAACAACAGTCTCAGTACAGGTAGGGCAGTTTGAGGGGAAAGGTAGGGTAGTTGTGCCTGCAGTTGGGCCCGTTGTAATAACAGTTGTAATAGGTCGAGAGCCTGTTGGGATATCTGTAATAACTACTGTTTCAGTGCAGGTCAGGCAACCTGAGGTAAGAGGCAGAGTAGTCGTCCCGGCTATCGGACCAGTAGTTGTAACAGTGACCCAGTGAGTAGAGCCAGGAGTGTTTGTAATAATAACAGTCTCAGTGCAGATAAAGCAACCTGAGGTAACTGATAGAGTCGTTGTTCCAGCAACAGGCCCTGTTGTAGTGAGAGTAGTGTGATTAATGACTTCGGTGACAATGACAGTCGCGGTACAGGACTCGCCACAGTCAGAAGGCAATGGCAAGGTTGTAGTTCCTGGAATGGGCCCTTCTGTGGTCAGGGTAGTGTAGACTCGGTGGGGTACAATAACTGTAGCCGTGCATGGTAGGGTACCAGTCGACGGGAGAATTGTTGTTGGTTCTGTGACATTGCCGGTGATAGTAACTGTGGGCGTCACGGTGACAGTCGTGGGTCCGTTACAGGTAACGACAGTACTCCTACCACCAGATGAAGCTGGTGGAATAGTAGTAATGTATGCGGTGGAACCAGTGGTAGTGACAGTGATACACTCATGGCAGACATGGGGGGTTACAGTGACAGTCTCCGGTCTGTTGCAAGTAATAACAGTGCTCTTGCCACCAGATGCGGCTGGGGGAACAGTAGTGACGTATGCAATGGGGCCAGTGGTAGTGACAGTAATGCACTCGTGACAAACGGGGGGAGGGTAGCCAGCAATGACAGTAGAAACTCCACCTAGGGTATCAGGTGGAATGGTGGTACGGAAAGTAACTGAAGCTGTAGCTGTGACGGTTGCACAACCATCGCAGTCTGATTCAGATCCACCAGGCTGACCCGAGTTGTCGGGATTGTTGGACGGGGGCGACGAGCCAGCACCATTAGAGTTGGGTGTTCCAGTCGAGTCCGCATACTGGGTGTAAGTACGGGTCACTACAGTAGTAGAGGTCTGGCCATTGTAAATAACTTTATATGGCTGGACTTCAACCACTTGAATACCACTATCGGGGCACGTCTCCTGCAAAAGACCAGGAGCAGCAAAAGCATTGCTCACCAGGCCTAAAGCCGTGCCCACGCCGAAGATAGACGGAGGGCGCATGACTTGGCGCCAGGTCAAGATAACGATTGAAAGAAGTAATAAATAAATGAATTAAGGAGTAAATGAGTAAAAAACTGCTAAACGAGTGTAGTGAGCTGTATGTTCATGTCGGCCGGGTTCGACTTATAAATAAATCTTCTTACTATCATATATAGATACATAGTCCGTGACTTTGACTTGAAGCCTTCATGTATCGTCTTTCCTAATTCAGGCGAGACCCTCAATTAGCAGGGCAGATGGGCAAATCCTCACTAGCAGGCGGTAGAGCAAGCCTTCACCAGCAGGCGGCTGGGAAGTTGAGCTGACATCTGCAGAGCTTACAAGCCTACCCCCCACTTGACTTCTTCTCAAAGACAATGATAGAGCGCAAACCTAACTAAACTTGACTTCTTCAGTACCTGAAACTTGGCTCTCCCTGCCCCAGCAGGATTTACGGGATAAGAAGTTAGCTGAAGATGGAAGGGTTGTGCACTAGTTAAAACTAATGGACGGTTTGCCGATTTTGGCAGCTGTTAGACCCACATAAATACGAACGATTGGCACTGAATGACAGCCTCTTTCCTTCAACCAGTCCACGCCAACCCAATCCAGCTAATATCAAATTACTAACTTCATTTGATCAAAAGAGCCCTGTAACTAAATGGGTATACAGATCTATAAGTCCCATTGTACAATTAGTGGGAAGAAAGGTTTTATGTCAGTAGTATATATGTCTTGGCTACTATCTCGGGAGCAACTGGGCGGCTTAATTACGTTGGTAAAGGAAATAAACTAAGTAACGGAATAAAGATTTTCCAGGTCCGGGAAAAGCTGTTACTAATATAGTGTTATCTGCAGGTAAATTTTCCTAAGGTAACCTTACTCTTTAATACTAATGTAAAATAAAAAGGGATGGCAGATAATAAGCCGCACTTTGGAAAGATTCCAGCAGTAAGAATCTTCTTTAAAACCAGACTATGAAAACTTCCAAGCTAACTTCATATCGCAAGTGTGACTATTGCCGGAGTAAAAAGCTCAGGGTTAGTCACCATCTCAGTCTTCTAAAGCATAGCCGCTAACAGACAAAGTGCTCGAAGGAAAGACCAAGATGCATAAGTTGTGCGCGGTCTGGGAGGCCGTGCCGTTATAGCGAGAGGACACAAAGAACTCCTCTGACGCGAGAGTAACTTATTCGGCTGAACCCTTGCATTTACTTAGCTGACCCCTCCTTTCAGCCATCTGACAAGAGTTGAGAGGCGCCTCGTAGACGTGGAGCGCCTGTTCCAACATCTTCTCCCTGATGTTGATATCAATGAGGCCTTGGCATCGCGGGGCGTTGAAGCTCCTGCAGAGGCATCCCAACCAACTACATCTCTGTCGCCACCAACAAATCCTTCATCGCCTGATAGTCCGGTTCAGGCCAGCAGTGCCATTTCAGATGCCGTGCCTGCAGAGAGCGATGGCTTTGATTGGCAGGAAGACGTCGACGAGCTGACTGATGGGATGGCGTCTCTATCCGTTGAACCGAGAGGAGCGGGATATCTAGGTAAGTCAGTGGGCGCAGACATAAATAGGTAGCATATTAACTAACTCTCACCAGGGCCGACTGCTGGTGTCTTTTTTCTCAGATCACTTCTTCTCTGGATTGGTCATTCTAGGCCCTCCATGAGTAGTAGCCCTGAAGTTATGCGACCCTATGCTGGGGTTGAGTCTTCTTCTCAGCTCTCTAATTCCGTCACCTCAAGACAGGTTACCGAACAATTGGTGAATGGCTATTTTGAGGTCTACCACCGCAGCTATCCTTTCGTACACGAACCTACCTTCCGAGCCCAGCTTCACGAGGTTATACAGCGACCAAAGCGACGCTCATGGCAGATGCTGCTCTATACCGTCATGGCACTGGGAGCATGGTGTCTCGACAACGACAACGCTGAACTCGACGATGAGCTGTACCATCTCGCGCTCTCGTTTGGCGACGCTGAGTGCTTGTTCGCAAGCGCAGATTTGACCTTTGTTCAAGCCCTCATTCTGTTTAGCAATTTAAGCCAGAAGCGCAATAAGCCCAACACGGGATCCAACTTTCTTGGGCTTGCGACGCGGATGGCTCTGAGCTTGGGTCTTCATAGAGAGCTGCCGGAGTGGAACATCAGTCTCTTACAGCGAGAAATGCGCCGTCGTGTTTGGTGGGGGTTGTATATGTTCGACAGTGGTGCTTCAACTACTTTTGGGAGGCCGATCCTTCTTCCGGGCGAGGATGCCATGGATGTGAGACAGGTTCTTAATATTGATGATGAGGTAGGCGATAGCCGGATACAAGGTGAATATTCTGCTGATGCGTGCAAAGGACCTAACAAGTGGAACAAAAGCCCCTCCAGAAGAGGTAAACAGGCCAACGCTGTACTCGGGCATGAAGTACCAGAGCTATCTACACGTCAAGTCCAACTACATCTCCAATCGTCTGCTCTCATCGTCGTGTATCGCACTGGAAGACGCGCTATCCATGGATTTAACATTGGACAAGTGGTCCAGCATATTGCCAGAGTACTTGAAACTAAATCACCATGTGCCTTCAGCTGAGCCCGCGTTCTACTTTAATAGGTCACGTCTATGGTGGCGTTTCTGGAACCTCAAGATCATCATCTTCCGTCAGCTTTTTCTCAAGCGAGCAATTGGCAGGGGAAATTCTAGCATGACGGTACCAGTCAATGAGGTTGATGAAAGGTGCATGAACATTGCGGTATGCGCTGCAAGTGCGACGATAGCGTCGATTGATCAGTATACGAAGGAGAAACAGATAACTAGGCTTGTGACTTGGTACTCCATGTAAGTCATTACGCACAAGTCTGAGAATTGAGGCTGACTTTTCTAGCTATTTCACATTCCACGCTTCGTTGGTCATCATCCTTGCTATCCTTAGTAACTCAGAATCACCAGACATGCCCAAGTGGCAGGAAGACGTCAACACGGTCCGTCACATATTCAGAGGAGTATTTGCGGATATTGAGCTCGCGACTCGCTGCGCCAACATCATCGATGTTATTTTGCCAGACCCTCTGCTGACAGCGGGTGATTGGGCAAATGTACAGCTTGATCCTATGCTGATGGATTTTTCGACGTGGCCAGCAGCTTCTGCTGATGAGTTTGCCAGTATCCTTGGCTGGCCGGACTGGGCCAACTTTCCGCAATGAACGGACTCGTGGAAGGTCATTTTGCCAGGGGTCATCAGTTTATGATGCGTGCGTTGGGTTCGAGTAGATGGGATCTTATGTATTCTCCGTTCGGTATATCGTTTTCATCGGCACGCTTGATCGCTGCTTCTGTCGTCGTCTCGATTCCGGCTCTGAGGTGTCGAGATGCCAGTCGTTCCCTAGCGATGTCGACTGGGACATCGACAAACCATCTGGAATACTAGTTAGCCTGGAATAAAAAAAGACTTGGTCCGTAGCCGATGAGACTTACTTGTCATCCACCAACGTGGAAATGCGGCTCCAAGGGTCTTGGTGCAAGAGGACGTAGTTGCCCTCAATAATAACAACTTGGGCACGAGAAGAGATCTTTATGGCGTTGGGGATCGGGTCCTTTTTCGCATGGTCAAACCCCGGCGCTTTTATGATGATTAGCGGTTCGCTATGGGTCGTCACAAGTGTTTTCCTGAGTAGGACTACGAGATCTAACAGGGCGGTGGCATCGAATGTGAAAGGCGCACCGCGTCTTCGAAATGCTTCGTTCGGGTCGCGGAAGGAAGAGAGAGAGGTGCGAGTATGATGAAACCCATCCTAGAAGTTGAATGTCAGTGACAAAGGTGTTGCTTGGAGTTGGGGACTTGAGGATATGCTGATCACTGACCATGGGAAGGACTGCGACGTCGGAAATACCGTTCTTCTCTAGCTCTTTGATCAAAGCATCCGATAACGTTGTTTTGCCAGATCCTGGTACCCCAGCCAATGCAATCAAGATTCTTTGTGTTGGAGCTGACAGTTTCTGCCGGGTCAAGAGACGCTCAACGCGCTCAATGAGCTTCCCTATTGTCTTGACCAAATCACCGTCCATTTCGAGAGGATTGATTATCAGATACGAAATAGCGATCTTTTCAGAGCTCTTTAACCTTGGCCTAATCTCTTCGACCCTTCTTGAGTCATGAATCGACAGCTCCAATTCCCCACGGGATACAGTAGCCCGACTGGTGACGTGATTGGTTCGGAGTGGAGTCGGCCGGACCCAACGAGATGAAGTCCTACGTAGTATCCATCTCCAGTATTCTGTGGGGTTCAAGTCAAACGCGGAGCAAAACTTGGTCACCTTATGCTGATCCTATACGAATATAAGAACCCCAGAAAAACCCCATAAATGTTCCTTTCCCCAGTTCTATCCCCAGATTCAATTTCGACCTAAACGTCACCTTTACTATCGTGTTTCAATATGGCTGGAGGACAAACTACCGACGAGCAGCAGCTTGCTGCAGTACCCAAGAAGGGTGTCTGGTGCCAGTTGCGTGAAAACCCTTACATTCTTGGACTTTCTATGGTATGCTACCTCTTTTTGATATCCTTTCCTGAGCTGACGCTGTGCACTTAGTTTGCCAGTCTTGGTGGCTTCCTCTTCGGCTATGATCAAGGCGTTGTGTCGGGCGTGCTGACCATGGAGTCGTTCGCTGCTGACTTTCCACGAATCTACCTGGACAGTGGCTTCAAGGGTTGGTTCGTCTCAACCTTGCTTCTGTGCGCGTGGTTTGGATCTCTCATCAACGGCCCTATTGCCGACTACATTGGTAGAAAGGGCTCGATCCTCCTAGCTGTTATTGTGTTTACCATAGGCTCAGCTTTCCAGGCTGGCGCTGACTCTGTCCCTATGCTTTTCGCTGGTGAGTAGCAACACTGTATGACCCTCAGGTGATACTTTCTAACATCAAAATCAGGCCGTGCTGTCGCTGGTCTCGCAGTTGGCATGTTGACGATGATTGTGCCCATGTATATGTCTGAGGTGTCAAGCCCCGGCATCAGAGGCACCCTCGTTGTTCTGCAGCAACTTAGCATCACCCTCGGCATCCTCGTAAGCTACTGGCTGGAGTATGGAACCCAGTACATCGGCGGCCATCGATGTGCACCAGATATACCGTACTCAGGTGGTACTTCCGACAAACGCACGTTCGATCCCCGATATGATGTCGGCCCCAACGGATGCACAGGCCAATCCGAAGCTGCTTGGCGAGTCCCCTTTGCGCTCCAGATCTTCCCTGCGCTTGTTCTGGGAATTGGCATGATCTTCTTCCCTGAGTCCCCGCGCTTTTATCTCATGCGTCACAAGGAAGACCAGGCCCTTGCCGCTCTCGCTCAACTCCGTCAGGTTCATGTTGATTCGGAATCTATCAGAGTTGAGTATCTGGCTATCAAGACCGAGGTCCTGTTTGATGAGTCTGTATCAACGGAGAAATTTCCCGGGAAGAGGGGACTTTCCCTTTTCGCTGCTCAGCATGTTGCTCTCGTGTCTACGTGGCCTGCCTTCAAGCGCCTCGCCATTGGCTGCTGTATCATGTTTTTCCAGCAGTTCATGGGTTGCAATGCCATCATCTACTACGCACCAACCATGTTTGCGCAGTTGGGACTCTCTGGGAATACTTCTGGTCTTTTGGCGACTGGTGTATATGGCATTGTCAACACACTTTCAACACTACCCGCCCTCTTCTTGATTGACAAGCTTGGTCGTCGTCCGTTACTCATGTGTGGCGCAGCTGGAACCTTCATCTCCCTCGTTATTGTCGGTGGCATCATCGGAGGCTTCGGCTCAGGTCTCGCTGACAATAAGGCTGCTGGCTGGGTTGGTATCATCTTCATCTACATCTACGACATCAACTTCTCGTTTTCCTTCGCGCCAATCGGCTGGGTTCTACCCTCTGAAATCTTTAACCTCGGTAATCGCTCCAAGGCCATGGCCATCACCACTAGCGCTACCTGGATGTGCAACTTCATCATCGGGCTTGTGACACCTGACATGCTTGCCAACCTTGGCTGGGGTACCTATATCTTCTTCGCCGCCTTTTGCCTTCTTGCCTTCCTATTTACCTCCTCCTTCGTACCTGAGACTCGTGGAAAGAGTCTAGAGGATATGGATCTCGTATTTGGCGACACTGCATCTCATGAGGAGAAGGCAAGGCTGATGGAGATCGCATCTTCCATGGGCCTGACAGAAGCCATTCCTGGGTCAAAGGTAGGCCTTACTAAGGAAGACCTTACCACGGCAGAGCATTATGCTTAAGTTAGTGACTTGCATGGTTGCTACAGTTTCTCAAGGGATGGAGTGGTATACTAGGTCAACAGTCTACAGATTTACTTCAATATCTGATAAGAAGAAAAGAAATACCCATTCACTATTCAAGTAAAAGACTTCCTAAAACTTGATATCTATAGACCTCCAGGAGTTACTGCCACAGTGAACGTCCCCTTGCATCTTGAAGTGAGAGAACCAATCATCCTGATAAGTAATATTGTACCCAGCGCTAGCATACACCTCAGATACAGCATTCGCAAAGATGTCCTGCTTGTTAATCACAGGACCCCAAGGCTTAGGTGCAAGGAAGTTTTGATCCGGCAGAACCAGGCCATTGACGGTACCCGGCCAAAGAGCCAGGACCTGGGTAGCTGTATCAACCGCCCGTCGATGTAGTGAGTTCTTTGGAGTACCGGCCTCCACGATCGACTTGGCCTTGTAAATAGGTCCCATAGTGCCTTCCATGGTGATGCCGGTCTTTCTTGAGGTCTTTTGAGGCGTTTTTGAGGAATCTTCCCCTACATTTGAGTCTGATGGCTTCTGTCCGGGGCATAACCAGCTATCCGACTTGGCATAGTAGAAAGGCATGGGAACTCGAAAGATATCCTTGTCAGTGATTCCAGTCTCTCGTTTGAGGATGTTGAGATTGGCTTCAATGCGCTGAGCAGATTCTTTCTGTATGGTGTCAAAGTTCTTGAACTTGAGAGCCTCTTGGATAGTCTGCCTTGGAAGACACAGCTCCTGCTTCTTCTCCTCCACTTGAAGTGAACGGGAAACAGCCTTGACACTTCCATGACCCGCCTTGGAAGCCTTCTTCAGTAGATCAAGACCCTTGAGCGGATCTGCAACCATAATGATCCACCCGCGCTCATTGTAGGAAGGTAAGAGCTGGAGGAACTCGTCTACATGGCCAACGTACAACCAGCTTGTGTCGAGGATAAGGGGGTCTTGAACCTCTTGGGCCTTGAGAAAGTCAACCATGAGAGGAGCTCTTCCGTCCCAAGCCCCCATGATCGTTCTGCCCTGAGGGAACGACTTTCCATTGTGCTTATAGGGAGGAATTGTCTCCAGATTACCAGTAGAGTCAATAGTATCGCCGTCACCTGGATGCTGGACTGCGCCGACCTTGTCGTTTCGGAGCTCATGGAACGCATCGCGGCCGGATCTACGGGAGCTCTGGACTGATCGGATCATGATTCGGATATTAATCGGGCCGTTCGGGCCAGGCATGCTAGAGTAAGCGGGCTCGAAAAAGTCTTGTGTCCAGATATCTTGGTTGTCGAAGAGGAAGATGGGGTCTATGATACCAGAACTGGCGACGTTGCGCTTGATATCATCCACAAATTGCTGCTGCTGCGGGTTCGAGCCAGGCTCGTTCACGCCGGTCGAAAAAATGCGCTGGGCCACCTGCCCGTGGTGATGAGTCAGTACAGGGGCAACTCGGACAGCGACAGTATCAGTTGCTTTTGTCTTGCCATCAGTGACTGTGAACTGTATCTTTGCATGGCCATCCCAGCCCTTGGGCCGGCGGACGTCACGGGCATCAATACCCAGTTCGAGGCCTGATGATAGCTCCTTGGCCGAGAACACATAATCGCTTGATACGTAGATCCACTTGTTGCCTTTCTTTGTGAAGACACGAACTTTTGCTGCGGCTGCTCTGTCGGTGACTTGGATAGAGCCCTTGGCAAATGGACTCAATGCGGATATGGGAAGCGTTTTCAGCAGCGCAACATATTTTGAGTTAGGTACGTTGGATGTCATCTGTCGCATCGTTGCACAAGTCCAAATAAGTCTCATTGCTCGGGATGATGTCGACACTAGGTCCCCATTTCTTAGCACAACGACGGCCAGTGTCGCCGATGTTCGGTAAGATTAAGGCGCCTCGAGTACCGGTCCATGAGGATTTGCCATCAATGTCTTTTTTGTCGACTTTTCCGTCGCGGTTGGTATCTGCGAGGATGGTCACTGTGAAAGCATCGCATGTTGCGAATAACGCCATAGTAATAATTGTCAGCAGAGATAAGCTCAATTGAGTGCTGCCAGTGTACCTAGTGTAAAGACAGTCGGGAACTTCATTTTGACTTGAAGCTCCTAAGATGTTGAGATGAAGGAACCCAAGAACAGACAATTGGCTGTTTTACGTTCCTTAACACATATTATGCTTATTTATAGCAATTGATAGAACATCCTTCTATTGAACTCTAATCTCGGTAACATGGCTCAAAGTCCACTTAGCGGGCTCGTATAAATCCTACACTGGTTTCTAGACCAGTCGATTGCCTGTGGTGGAGCAATGTCCCTTGCAAATCCGAGGATCCAATTATGGTGGCTCCGTTTTAGGCTGTTATTACTGGTCATGGCGTTTAAACCCCCTAACGCTTTTGTTGACAGTCATGCCGTCGATCTAATAATGGATTCAACGCTGGATCTCTTTATGTTAACTTCACATGTAAGAGCGCGTAATGCAAATACTATCTGCTAACTTTATCCTATAACCCCCCCCCCCGCGCAAAATCCTAAATATTAAAAGCATTGTTAGTAGAATAATCAGTATATGCTAACCTTTTTCATTATATAGGATAGAAGTGAGAACAAAACAGTAGTGAGGGCGAAATCTGCTTTAACAATCGCCACTTACTGTCTAAAAAGCTTAAAATCGACTTATGTTCTCAAGGCCGCTATAATGGATTTGCATAATTGTTTTCTTTTTAGGCACCTTATATATAATGTATGTAATCTGTTTTTAATTACTGTGTTAGTTAGTAGTCTAGGGTATGTCTCTGTGTATATATATTTAACGCAAGAACGTGAAGTATGTGGGTAATATAACTATTAGATAAGTATTTTATATAACCCGACTTTTAGGTTATGTAGTTAGCTATATAATAGCAATTAAGCTGTACTACTTAAAGTTAGTTATAATAAGGTTGTTAGTAGTTAAAAGAGGCTTTAGCCCCTATTGTATAAAGGTAAAGAATACTAATAAACACATACAGGCTTAAAGTTAGTAATAGGATAGATAGCAGGGGTAAAAGGACGCGAGATATGTTAAAAAGCTATATCGATGGTCTGCATAAAATATGCATTATAGTAAATAGAACTCTAAGCTAGCTGTATTATAACAAAACACGCATATACTACATTTTACAAAGTCTCTCCTCCATGGCTAGTTAAGTAACCATGCTCAAAGACCAGACAGGATCTGGGGAAATAGCTTCTCAGTAAAGTCCCAAAGAATAGGAGTGTAGTCAGGAGCCCAAGTCAGGCCAGTCCAGAAAGTGTTACGCTGGCCCTGAAGGGCATAAATCTTATTGTAGAAGCCGCCCTCGAGCTCCTGAGAACAGACCTTAGGAACAGTCAACCCGTGAGATGCAAAAGCAAGAATATCGGGAGTGGTCACATCGTAAGTTCCAGCTTTGTCGATGTTGGTGAACACCTGCTTGATCAGAGCCTTGGCCTTTTGAGCTGTCAGGCTGGCCGTACCAAGGACACGAGTTGTCCAAAGGTCCTGCTCACCCGAACGAGAGTAGGCGTCGACAAAGTCACCCCGAGGAAGGTAGAAGTTGGTGGCGTTGTCAGCGGTGTTGGTAATGCCCGAGACGGTCTTGGGCAGGCTTGTCTTGCCGACGACGCCAACGTACAGCGTCTCCCAGGAGAACTTGGAGAAGAGCGACTTCTCTTTGGTATCGAGGTCCCAAGTACCGACGTTATCTGGTGATGGAGTTGCTGCGAAGAGGACCTTCTTGGCCTTGATGGTCTTTTTGCCAGAGGGTGTCTGCACGACGAGCTCTGAGCCCTGGGAAGTTCGCTTGCTCCAGGCAACTGTGCTTTCAAGAAGAACGTCATCCTTTATCAAGTTATAGACGTTGTCGTAGAGTGTCAAGGTGGAGCCTGTCGATGGATACTTGAATGAAGGGCCAGTAAGACCGAATCCGAAGGCCGCAAGCTGAGGCTCTCCAACAACAGCCATGACATTCCAAGTCGGGGTATGAGTTGCGTCGGAAAGCCAGATAAGAGTTCGCAGGATGGAAAGGGCACTTCCAAGCTGGTACTTTTCAAGAAACTCGCCAAAGGGAAGAAGAAGGTCTTCGGGAACTTCCCCCTTCTTGAAGTAGCCGTTTTCGAACCAGGGCTGATACTTGATGGCCAACGCAGCATATGTGGCCAGGGCGACAGTGGAGTTGATAGTGCCGTAGTCGGGATCAACCTTCTTTCCGGTGCTGAAATCAACGTCCTTGGTGGTGAGTAAGCCCTCGGCGGCGCTGACCAGATTGGGGGAGACGAGTCCGACATTGAATCGCTTGAAGAAAGCCTTGGTTGTTTTTCGGTCGAGGTACGCTTGGACTCCGTAATTGATCGGTGTCGCGTTGGCGCTCGCCTTGTAAGCGTGGACATGACCGCCCTAAGAACGCGTCAGAAATCGGATTTCTCTCTTGAGCAAGGTAACTCACGAGTCTGTTCTGCTTCTCAATGACCACGACCTTCTTGCCGTAATCCTCTCGCAGCCTGACTGCAGCGTAAGCACCAGTTGCGCCACCGCCGACAATGGCTACATCGACCTCAATAGTTTCCTGCTTGGGTGTAGCGAAGACACCATGGCTTGCCAAGCAGGCAAAGAAAGGGAGGAAATTATTCAACTTCATCTTGTCAAGGAATCGAAGGTGAATGAGGAATTCCGAGAGAAGACGGAGACGGAGGGGAGGAGGCTTAAGTACTGTACCGTGTACGTGCGGCTGATTGCTTACCTTGTCCCTTTTGCCATTAGCCTAGTTCAAAGCTTCCATTGCACGTCAGCACGAGCATGGCGAATCAGCAGGTCGAGAGAATGATGCAGTGTGACTTTGTCATTTAAAAATTCCGGCACGAACGCACGGTTGACTACGTAGTACATGCCGATCAGAAGGGATTTTCAGGGCGCCGTGGGAACTACCGACGTAGTATCCGGGACTCTCGGCCATACAACAGAGTTTAATTCAAGGTCACACCGTCACATGCCATAAGTCAGCGCACGAACAGTACCCGTATAATTTTATTTTAATATTTCTACAAAGTATAAACATGATACGGTCGCCTGGCGACCGTAACCGTCGCCAATGTTCACGCAACCGTCGCAACGGCCTCCGAATTGAGAGGCTGTGCCCATCCGAGCGGCTGTCGACCCCTGATCCTTCACGCAGTACCGGAATCAAATATCAGGTCATCTTTAAAACGGTTTGGTAGAATATGATGTCATTTTCCCCCAAAATGGTGTCTTGTATCCGTAAAGCCTATTGATTATCTATGTAAATTACTCAAGACGATAAAAGCCTTTGTTTTCAACTTGCTTAATCTCCACAACCGTGTCGTTTCGCACGTGGATTCCAGTCGTCTCAAATTCAGTGCTAGAACCAGGCTGTTCACTCGATATCATAGTATGCACTCCCTCGACCTGATGCGCGTCACCAGAATGATAATGCAGTCCGTTCTCCATGTCGGCCAATTGATGCGTTGAACTTGTTTCATCAGCTTCGCGATCCTTATTTGTCCGAATAAGTGTGGTGAGTTTGATGGCATTGCTCGGGCGGCTGATAGGCTGGCTGCTTTTCCCGTACGAACTGAGGAAGCTGGATGGGAGAATGTGAATAAAGATTGGACGAAGAAGCGGGAAGCATGCTGTGACAGCTGGTTAATAATTGGGTCGCATGGCTAGCAAGGACATATACTGACCAGAGACAATGGCGATATTGACTTCAACAGATCCCAGAATACAGAACATGGCATAGTCATGAGGCATCTGTGTTGTGTTGTCGGGGTAATTCACAAGCACAATGAGCACAAACATCGATGCAACACACACACTAGACTAGAGGTTAGTCGGATAATTTGGGACGGTGTAAGTGGGAGGATATGAAGTCTTACATGGTGCCAAGAAGGAATAGGGCACCGATTGCCAGCTTCTGACCAGTCTTAAGTCTGAGTCTGAAGACTTCAATAATAGGTAAGACCAAGATGATGACGTCCATGATGAAGTGAGCCGTGATGGTGCCCAAAAAGAACTGGTCGCTGTTGATGTTACAGACCTTGTCTGTAATAGTGTAATCCCAAAGTGACTGGATGGGGACACAACGAAATGTGAGCATGAATGTTCTGAGAATAATCCAGATGACGACCACAACAATCATGATCATGATTGGAATTCGGATGGATGAAATGCGAAACAAGCGCCAGTACAAAAATAAAATGGCGAGCTTGGAACAGGCGAGTGTTAAAGCGTAGCAGAGGGAGTTGAAGTAGGCCAGAAAGCGTGCTCGCTGTAGAATTGCCTCACGTTCATCGGTAGGCATTGAGTCGGGCATGTTCACTCCGAGATATGCATGAAGCGTCCCTGTATGGCTGTAAGCCTCGTACCCGTGGACAAGACGGGAATTGCCACTGACATTCAACCATGATACCACAATACCCCGTCGCGAAGAGAAAGGCCAGGATGGTGAAGTAATCATCAAACCACCAGCTCATCTTGGTCATACGCCGGGCGCAGACACGAAGAATGAGGGACGTCAAAGCCGCGAGCCATGGGATCGCAACACCAGCCCAAATATTGGGTTGGAGTCCAGCCATGATGTGAGCAGGCGCTATTACAGCGCCAATTCATAGAGATTGTGCAAAATAATGGGAAACAACAGTTGAGAAATTTTGCTGCAGCAAGAATGGGGACGGGAATCTCTTGCGGGCAGGATGGGATCTGCATTTTGAATGGCACCGATGACGGGAGCTGAACCTGTCTGCAGAACAACTGACTCGTTCGATGCAGCCATGATAGCTTTCCCCGGATACGACCATGCCAAAAGAAGCGCTACTTATCGTTATCTCGTCTTAGCTCCAATAGATAACTCGACCGCTGCTGATTACCCGCCAATTTTGAGTTTACGCTTGTCGGGGTAGTGGCCATCCTACTGGCTGCAGCGGTCTGTTGGCGACAAGCCTCGTTTGAGAGTTTTGGTACTTATCTGTTCGACAAATCATCTGGAAGAAAGACATGCTTCCTTGGTACTTGACTGATAAAGGGCTGAAGCAAGCTTAGGCTGTCTAATTTCCACCCTTTACGAAAAAGGGGGCTTACTGCGTCGGCATTTGCGTCTTGACTCGCTGTCAAAGATCATGATTCTCGAAAGGCCGCTTCCAAGCCACAGCTGAGTCTGTTCTTAATTCCGCTCTTGAGTCTTGGCGTTTATCATGGATCATTGAAGAGACGGGCTATTCCCGAGTTGCAGAATTTATTCGGTGGCAGCATCGCTAGCATCTTTTTGAACAGTTTGCTTCGCTTAATTCTCCCAAGATCTGTCCCTTGCGCATTGACCCTGGATGCATGAGACTGGGAGCGACGCTTGTACCTTTTCAATGCGCCTTATCATCTGAACTTCAAAGATCCCTGCTGCTGGGCATCTTACCAATGTAACCGAGGATTTGGTATGGGATGCTCATTGGGGTTTCTTTTCTTACGCAGGACTCCACACAGGTTAAACAAATCGCTTTTAGGATATAGTAGCAAGGCCAGTAAAGACTGATTCATGGCCAGATAAGCGTTAGTTCTCGGTAACACTACCCCAGCACCTGGTGCCTTCTTTAGTGCCTTCGTACCTTGAAGCCATGTGAACGTTACCTTGGCTCGTTAAACTATTGGGTATTGGCGATTTAATTTGTCTTGATGAATATTGCATTCCGCTACAGCGCAATTATTAGGGAACATCAGAGATTGACACAAGGGCTAATTGAGCGGCGAGCTCTGTGCATGACGGGCAGTAAGCTTGCAAGAGTCGTAGTAAGAAATTGTATTGGTACAAGGCACCTCTCTTTTTCCCAGAGATGCCGAACGAACTGAATTGAAAGAGATGGACTAGCAAGCATTTCTATATAGAGATATTTGCAAAGTATGTAATATACAAAGTTTGTCGATATAGAGAATCTTGGATGGGGGAGACACAAAATAAGATACAACAAAGAGAAAGTACAATAGCAAGATTAGCCACCACTTCCAAAGGCAGGGTATGAAGGGGTGCTGTGATCGCAGGCAAACCTAACAAAGTAATTATTCTGTGATCCACTGCCATCAACAATAACAGTTCCATCTGGAGCTGTAACTGTAACAATCATAGCAAAGTCTCCCTGGGCATTAGCCCAGAAAACACGCATTGGTGTATAGGTATTAGCTGTAAGTTGAACCTGGTATTGCAGGGGTATAGAAGTTCCATATGAAATAAACTCCTGCTCTAAATCCGCATTACTGCGTGTCCAGGTAGATAGAGCCTTAGAACCAAACCAAACAATTGCTACATCATCACTATACGGGACCTGAATAGTGTATATACCAGAAATAGGTGTATAGAGGAAGGAACGATGATTGACAGCCTTGTAGTTCCATGTCTGACTTGGTGAGTTAGGATAGATGCTCTGGGGATCGCTGGTGTGTCCGAAAGTTGTATTTCCTGTCTCCATAATGCCAATTCGGTCCGTGATACCAGTGAAAGTTGGTTGAGTTGTCTTGAAGGATTCCGGGCTGAAGGATGAGTAGTGAGGAGCATCGCTATTATAAAACGAGTTATTGTAAATAGCGTATTCTAGTCCCGCGTTATTACACGATTGGTCAGCTACTTTTGTGCCAACGGCTGGAAGGGCCACAAGTACAGTCGCAGGCTGCCCGTTGGCAGGATCAGTCTGAGTGGACGTAGTTGCGGCTGAGACCGAGCCATAACTAGTCACAGTTGTATACGACTGAGGCTCCTGTACAACGACGGTAATTGGGTCGCCTGGAGAGCTTGGGGATAAGGTACTAGTAGCAGCAGCTGTGACCGACCCCCAGCTAGTAATAGTGGTATACGGCTGAGGCTCCTGTACAACGACGGTAATTGGGTCGCCTGGAGAGCTTGGGGATAAGGTACTAGTAGCAGCTGCTGTAACAGATCCCCAGCTAGTGATAGTGGTGTATGATTCGGGTTTCTGGACGACAACAGTAACTGGGTTACCTGGAGCACCAGGCGATAAGGTACGAGTTGTAGCTGCTGTGACAGACCCCCAGCTAGTGATAGTGGTGTATAATTCGGGCTCCTGGACAACAACAGTAACTGGGTCACCTGGAGCACCAGGCGATAAGGTATGAGTTGTAGCTGCTGTGATAGACCCCCAGCTAGTGATAGTAGTGTATGATTCGGGCTCCTGGATGACAACAGTAATCGGGTCACCTGGAGCACCAGGGGATAAGGTGCTAGTGGCAGCAGCTGTAAAGGTTCCGTAGGTGGTTATGGTTGTGTATGACTGAGGGTCCTGGATAAGCACAGTAATTGGATCGCCTGGTGCACCAGGGGATAAGGTGCTAGTAGCAGCAGCTGTAAAGGTTCCGTAGGTGGTTATGGTTGTGTATAACTGAGGGTCCTGGATAAGCACAGTAATTGGATCGCCTGGTGCACCAGGGGATAAGGTGCTAGTAGCAGCAGCTGTAAAGGTTCCGTAGGTGGTTACAGTTGTATAAGGCTGAGGATCTTGAACTAGAACAGTAACTGGGTCCCCTGGAGATCCCGGTGTCATAGTGATAGTAGCAGCAGATGTAAAGGAGCCATAGCTAGTCACAGTTGTATAGGGCTGCAGCTCTTGAACAATAACAGTACCTGGGTCCCCTGGAGAGCCTGGTGCTATAGTAGTAGTGGCAGCTGCTGTAAAGGAGCCATAACTAGTTATAGTTATATAGGACTGCGGCTCTTGAACAACAATAGTAGCTACATCACCAGGTACAGCAGGTGCTAGTGTTGTTGTTAGAGGAGCTGTGAAGGAGCCATAACTGGTAACAGTTATATAGGACTGGGGCTCTTGAACAACAACAGTGGCTATGTCCCCAGGTGCAGCAGGTGCTAGTGTTGTTGTTAGAGGAGCTGTGAAGGAGCCATAACTGGTAACAGTTGTGTATAACTGGGGGAGATCCACTAATACAGTACCAACACCGCCTGCAGAAGATGGCTTCAATGTTGTTGTCAGAGGAGTTGTGAAAGTACCGTAGCTGGTGACAGTTGTGTATGCCTGAGGAACCTTGACAAGAACAGTGGCAAAGTCCCCAGGAATGGAAGGCTCGTATGTTGTGGTGAAAGGCGCAGTAATGGTATCGTCATACGCTGTGACAATTGTGTATGACTCGGGAAGATCGAGAACTACCTTCATGAGACCACCTGCCGAAACTGCCGGAAAGATCGAAGATTCAGGGGCAGTGATATCCGCACGAAAGTGTGTCACTGTTGTATATGATTGAGGAAGATCAACCTCTATAGTTCCAAGGTCACCTGGACTGGAAGCAGGGTATGTTGTGGTAGTAGGTGCAGTGATACCTGCACGATAGTTTGTCACTGTTGTATAAGATTGAGGAAGGTCAGCCTCTACAGTGCCGAGCGCACCTGGACTGGAGACAGGGTATGTCGTAGTAGTAGGTGCAGTAAAAGCCCCATAGTTGGTGATAGTGGTATAAGATTGCGGAAGATCAACCTCAACAGTGCCGAGACCACCTGGACTAGAGACTGGGTATGTTGTAGTAAATGGTGCGGTGAAAGAGCCATAGTTGGTGACCGTGGTATAAGATTGAGGTAGATCAATCCATACAGTCATCGCCTGATCAGGTCTGAGAGGGTTCTCTGTCTTCATTGTAGAAGCTGTGACGCTTCCATAACGGGTGATGGTCACGGCTGATTGTGGCTCAAAGACCACCACTGTTCCAGTGGCGCCTGGACCAGACGGGGATATAGTGCTTGTAGATGCAGCTGTCACTAACCCGCCATAAGAGGTAACAGTCACCCACTGATCTGGTTGATAGACAACTACAGTACCTGCTGCGCCTGAACTCGAGGGCCATATCGTAGCTGTAGATGCAGCTGTTGCTGTTGCATCATAGGACGTAAGAGTCACCCATTGATCAGGCTGATATACGACAACAGTGCCTACTGCACCTGGAGAAGAGGGCCATATTGTGGCTGTAGATACAGCAGTAGCCGTTGCATCATAAGACGTAAGAGTCACCCACTGATCAGGCTGATAAACAATGACAGTTCCTGTTTGCCCTGGAGCTTGCGGAGTCACTGTAGTTGTGAAGGCACCTGTAATTGTTGCATCATAAGATGTAATGGTGAGGTAAGGAGTTGATTGGAGTACGACCCCAATCAACACTGAAACGACACCATCAGAGCCAGATGGGGCCTCTGTGATGGTGGTAGGACCAGTACCAGTGCCGGTTTCGGTGACAGTAATAGTGGTGTAGGATAAACTTGATGTTATGGAAGGTGTAGAAGCAGGTAACTTGACAAACTCAGTTCCTGTTGCGCCAGGTTGAGAAGGGGACTGAGTGCTGAGTACAGTTGTACTATCAGTACCCGAGATGGTGACTGTAGTATAGGGAATAGAGAGGACACTGGATTGAGTAAGAGTCTGCGTAGAGATAACCGTGTCACTATCAGTATCTGAAGTAGTGACTGATGTATAGGAGGCAAATAGAACTTCAGGAAGAGAATTAATCTGCGTGGTGGTTGTAGTAGCATCATCAGCTCCTGAAGTGCCGGTCGATGTATCAGGGATAGAAAGGGTAGATAGTTCGTCCAATACAGTCTCTATCACACCAGACTGAGAAGGAGTCTGTATGCTGGTCACAGTGGTGCTATCTGCGCCCATGACGGTGAGTGTTGTGTAGGGAATTGATAGAGAGAGTGCGGAAGAGGGCTGGCTTGAAGCGTCGGTGGTAAACGTGGTATCGCCCCGAGCCACAGAAGTTCTACCCGGGGGCAAAAGACTGTTTGACGCAACAATCTGTGAAGAATCATTGGGAACCTCGGTGACAACTGTGCCAGCCTCCCCCGATTCAGAAGAAATAATTGTGTAGTCGCGATTGGCAGACTCTGATCTTGTAGAAATGCCAGTAACATCCTCGTCTGTCATGGCTTCTGTGGGCTGAGTCACAGGCTCTATCGAATGTGACTTGGTCCTAACTCTGTGGCGTGTTACCCGTGCACGGGTGATTGGGTCTATAAAACTGGTATTATAGGACGCCGGCTGACTTGAAAGAGGTTGTTGTATAACTTCTGATGAGGTAAAGCTCCCACTTTCCGATGTTCCTGCTGGGCTTCGAGCTGAACTTTCTCCCCCCGAAGGAGAAGCCAAGCTTTTAGTAGTGCCGAGAGAAGCCTTGTTGACATCCGTGGTTTCAGGAGTTCTCGAAGTTGTATCCTGGTCCGGTCGTGTAGGCAGCAGGGTATGCGTAGTGGAATCTTCGGGATTATCATGCGTAGCCGAGCTTTGAGCGGTGGTAAGAGCAGCCTTGTTAATATTCGCGGTTTCAGGAGCTGTCAAGGTCGTATCCTGGTCAGGTGATGTAGGCAGCAGGGTATATGAAGTCGAGTCTTGGGGATTCTTAGCCGAGCTTTGACTATTGCTCAGCATCGTCGACTCTTCGCTGTTGGGCCCAGCCGAAGAGCTATCCACTGGTCGTTTTATAAGCACGGTTGGCACGTCACTGCTATTTTCAGGCGGAATAGTGGTGGTTTCATTGACACTTAGTGTTGGGACTGTGGTGGCCATAGTCACGTCTGTCTTTACAATAACGGTGATAATTTGCGACTGTCCTTGGGAGTCGGGAGGCGGGACGGTGAAGGTCGTTGCATCGCCATCGCCGTAGATGGTGGTGGTGCTGAAGCTAGCATCATATGAGATCATAAATGTGCTGCAAGCATTAGTGAATGTAGACGGGAGTGAAAGAAACCAAAGCGTGATTCATACCTCGTCAAAGTCTCATAAGTCGTAGTTAATCCATCGACGATTTTGATGGGCTGAGTCTGGACGACCCTGATCCCTCCCGGGCAAGTAGGAAGCCACTGATCCGACAGTGCATGTGCATTGCATCCTGGACCCATCAAGGCGAGGGCCCAGAGCGGTTTGATGCGCCAAAGCAACATGGCCGAGGAGGAAATGAAACAAATGGGTGTGAGTAATTGACCAAATGGCAATAACGAAAAAAGCAAAACAGATGAATTTATCGGATTGTTCTGGCGCAATAACAAGAGAAATTTAAATGAGTGTTGAGGAGTGCTTTGCTGAAACAGAAGCGCGGTTTGTGCCTGGCATTAGGCGAGATCAGGGGTGGCATAAATATTTCTTCAATTTACCCACAGAAATGCTTTTGTCCACGGTAATGCTGCAGCCGGAGGCTTCAAGACTCCGAGTGTAATATTGATTCTGTTGCCAGACTAAATGCGGACGGGACGCGGCCCCCCTTTTTTGGTTTCCGGTCACGTGGGCTACCTTGCTGGTTATATCCTTGTAACCCTTGAAGATCTAGACATGTATTGGTTATAAAGGTTTTAGTAGGAAATTCCGAAGACATCACCGGGAACCGGTCTCGCAAATAACCCTTTCAGAAGAGGGATAGTTAGATATTGGCTCTCGCCGTCTGTAACCTTATTCTGGGCTAAGCCTTTCCGGGCGTAACCACTGCTGCAGCTTTAAGTTTCTCTCACAGATATAATACGGTCTCTGTAGTAATCACATAATCTCTCAGCCACAAGCCTCAACTGCAAATAACGCATCTCGTGTAAATAATAGCATTTAAAGGGGGTTCTAGATTCTAGGAAATATCTTAGATAAATATTATAATTAAATGTTATAATTAACTTTTAATATTACTATTAGTTTATTATAAATATCTTATAATAATTATTTATTATAAATTATTTCAAAAATATATTAAACTTTAAATATTAATTTAATATTATATCTATAATATATTAATTTACTTTAGGATTTATGAGTAATATCCGATTAGTAGATAAGTTCATTATTAGGCTTATTATTATAGGTAAAGAGTAAGTAAGTACTAAAGATAATCTTTACAGGCATACTGGCCAGAAACACATCTAGCAATTAACGTTTTGGCAATAGATAAGTCCTGGATCTTAAAATGCAACTATTTACAAACCATGTAGGCACCATGCAGGCACCATGCAGGCACTATGCAGCACATCAAAAATGTAGAGCGTGTGCTGCATGCTTATTGCAGTCAAGACCAGTAGCACCATGCTTCGGGTACGCCGATCTCCCTCGGAAACATGTCAATGCCGATAGCGACTATGGCATCGTAGGAAACCTAATTGAGATCTCGCTTAGACCCCAGTTGCCGAATTGGGGAAAAGCCGGAGGAATTCCTAGATCTCATTCCACACAACATTCTTGGTCTGACGCATCTTCTTGTGGCTTGCAAACCTTCAATCAGGTGATAAATAACTACTCAACAACGGTGAAAAAAAAAACCCGTAACCGAATAGTGCCGATCGTTTTCGGATTTCCAAATACAGATTTCCGACCTGGTGAGGCTTCTCTGGCAGCAAATTCTGCACGTCGAAACAATCAAAGGGACTCTTCCGCGTTACCTACCATGAGCTAACAGATAAAAACCAGAATAAAAGCAAAGCAGACAAAAGGTCCTGCTGCGGTGTTTTCAGAAGGCCTTCTTTTTCGTTCAATTATTCTGTGCAAGTATTGACAATGGCATTCATCGCCATTGCACCGGAAATCACTGTTCGCAGGCGGGGTAGCCTTCCCTGGAGGATCTCGGTCGATTGATTCGAGACCGATACGACAGGCTCTTTTCAGGGTCTTGAGGCGGCGAGGCCTACTCAGCCTACCTCCCTTCTTCTGTGTCAGGCCACTTGTGTTGGTGAGAGGGTCTAGAACACCAACCCCTTAGATCCACTGGGGCCGAGTCGGCGGCAACTAACCCCCTGGCCCCTAATATGGACCCTGGAACCGACAGTATGGTTCCGAATTTTAGCGGGCTGGTAATTTCAACTTAATCTTTTCTCAGGGACTCGAACAGTCTCAAGCCTTCTAAGTTCTGCCCCTAACTAGCGTGAATCTCTTACAGTCCGAGAATCAGCGGCCTTGAGCTCTCACCGCAAGCACTTGGCTGTGAGTAGGAAGGCTTCTATCGCGCAGTCCGACGATCCAGACGTTTATGAAATCAAATCATTGTTTTCATGTTTCTTATTTATATCAATAGTCGCTCTGTTTTAGTAGTTATGAAACATCAACAATCTTTACTCTTCAGACCATTTGCGTTTGACTTTCATTCACTTTTAGACAACCCACTCAAAACGCATTCATTCACTCGTTCTTTCGGTCCAATTATCAACAGTTTACTGTAGATCTCTTCGCTCTCTTGAAATCCCATTCTCCAATCAATACAATCAATACAATCATCCAGTATCTGACAGAGCTTGGACTCCGGTCAACTATCACACATCACTCTTTTGTACTCATACACTTCCAAGATATACACGGCTACATTACAACCCTCAAAATGCACTCACAACTTACCTTGATGGTCAGCTGGTTCTGTCTTTTTCTCACAGCATTTTCCCTCCCCACTCCCGAGGCAACGTCTTGCCTCTGTGAGGTTAGCCTTCCCACAATCACTGTTCGCCCAAGACAAGGCGGCTATGAGAACGTCTACACTAGGACATATCAAGATATTATTTCTCAGCACTTGACAACAGTTATCTACACTCTCACTCGCACTTGCTCAACTATTGACTGCCCAGTTGCCTTCAAGACTGCCCCTCCTGCTGGTTTTACTCAGGCAGTGGTTGCAGATGGCACTATTACTGCAACTCTTACATTCCCTACCCAGTCCCTAGCAGCCTACTCTGCTGCTGGTTACGTTGTCATGCCAATCAACACTGCTACTCCTGACCAGTCTGATTCTGCCTCTGACCGCCAATCCAGCTCGGGAACACCAGCTGGCTCTGATGCCTCTTCAACCAAGAATGGCTATCCAGGCTACAACGGTTCTGCCTCTCGTTACCAATCCAGACCGGGAACACCGGATAACTCCGACGCCACTTCAACCGAGGATGGCTCCGACGAGGGTTCCGACTCTTCCCATAACAGCACACCTAGCTCTTCTTCTACTGCTTTCACTCCCTCATACTCTTCTGCTTCTGATACTGAGAACACACCCAACCCATCAACCAAACAATCTTCTACCTCTGTCAACCTCCCTAGCAACGACAACAGTGAGTCTGTTGATCAAAATATTATTACTACTAGCAGTGCTGGATTTATAAAACCTAATCCTATGGCCTTGGTTACTATGCCGATTGCCGGCATAATTATGTTAGTATTATTTTAAGGTGTTCCTATTGCCTTTCTTTACCTATTATTAGAATATAGAATATACCTACGTATAAGCAAAATCTCTCTTATTTATTCTTATTTTAGTTTAGTATAATACTAGTGTTCTTTTATCTTCTCTTAAACAGCCTAATAAGTTAAGTAAAATTAATTAAGCTATTTAATAGTATAATTAGTACCTCTATATAACTAAATTAACTAATTAAAATTAAAAATTATAAATAGTTTAATAGCCTTTTATAATTTAAATAGGCTTATTTAAGTATACTATTTTAATTTACTAAGTATACTATAAACTAAGCCTATTTAAGCTAAAGTAAATAAAAAAAAGGCATTTTATTAATCTAAAAAAGAATTATTAATATATAGACTTTTTTTTATAGTAAATTTCTTAAAGTTATTTAAAGGCTTATTTTTTATATTAAATAAAAAGACTTAAATAATTATATTAAAAATAATTACCTCAGTTTAAACTACTGCTTCTTTACTAATATTACTTTATCTATTCTTAAACGTAAGGTCGGTTAGTTATATGCTTTAGTACGTACATTTAATTAATAAAGGTCAATTTAACTTTCACTAACTAACTTACACAAATAGAGTTAACTTATTTCCTTTAGTACATTCTAACTTTAATAGAACCTTTAAACCCCGCTATTACCCTACGTTTATCTAACTCTATTTGCAAACACGCTATTCAGCCATCTTAGCAGTTTGCTCTTATAGTCTCAAACTATAAGCCTAGTCTATATATTTATTTTATATAAGTAGGAGGAAGTAAACTATATACATTTAGCCTTAATAATTACATTTACTAGCCACTTTTTATATAAATCTAAACCTATTAATAATATAATAAAAGCTACTCTATTTATATTAAGGGGCAAGCCTTTCCTTATAGCCTTTTTTAAGTTCTTTAATCTAGCTAGCTCTTTAGCTAGCTAGACTAAATTTATTAAATAACTAA